AAGACTGTTTGCCATCCTCCTGATGAAGCTCACATCTTCATTTCCCAGCTCCATTCTCCCGGTGGTAATGTCTTTAATCCGCTCAATCCCGTCAGTCTAAATCACAAAACAATAAGTTAGAAAACAATTTAGGAACCAAAACAATACATTTAATTATTAGAGTGTAATATACTTACTAATGCACCATCGGCAGCACCCTCCGGAGTCAAGTAACGGACCGATGTTTGCCGATATCGATCCAAGTATGGGTCATGATACCCCATTCGACCCACTGCTGATGGAGTGACAATATCTTGCATTTGTCGGTTCGCCCACAAGGTGATGAATTTCTCCAGCTTCAAAGGCCAATCTCGAGTACCTTGCCGCCCATCTCGACCATGGAAGGCCTTTTGACTTTCGGGGACCTCCAACGGAATGCATTGCTCCCAACCAAACTGACGGAGGCATCGATCCGGCAAGTGCCACTCCACGGTCCCAAAACAAATGAGAGGGACCCTCGTGCACCATTGGCTGATTTGCTCGGGGAATTGCTGGAGATGCCAATGAACGATCTTCTCCGGGTATGGATCGAAGATGATCTACACGCGCAAAATGAGTAAATTAAGATAGTAAGAATTGGAAAAATACATGTCTTCCATGGCAAAAAGGTATAAATGGATCGGAGTATAGAAGTTACCTCTCCTTCCCAAAGTCGCTCAAACCTCCGCCGATACTCATCCAACTTGTGTTGGGCAAGGTTGTCACAAGTTGTGTGTCCGAGCCACCTTATTAATAAAACAATAATCGAAATTACAATAAGCTAAAACACAAGGGAAAATCAACCAAGAAAAAACATGATGGGTATGAGAAGTTTACCTTGTTCCATAAGCTTCTCCTCTTAGGGGATGATCGATTGGCCAATCCCGGTCGGGACGTTGTACCGGTGCAAGCCATGGCATATGCTCCCAAGCCCAAAATTGGACGATGAACATAGCGCCGCCGAACTCCCTCACAGCTTTTAGAGAGGCATTGCACAAGTTGTGGTAGATATTAGCTAGGCAAGCGGATGCCCAACTATACTCCCCCATCTCCTCCCAACTACCGAGGATGATCCTAAGCCATCCACAACTAAGGAGATTGCTTGCTTTTTTGGAGAAGAACACTCCTCCGATCATGCCAATGAGATAGACCCGAGCATATCTCTCGATCTCATCCTCCGGACTTTCCTCGGTTAGGGGATGACTCTCGTAATGCTCTCTAAAGTACTTCATCAACCAAGTAATTGACACTTGGTGTTTCCTCATTGGTGGCATGCGATCGGTCGCATCAACTTGCCCCTTCACTGGTACTTTTACTCCCAAAACACTATAGATGAAATGAACCCAACCGGGCATACCGTCGACATCGTCAGGGGCATGATCAGTCACGCACACCGGTTTGCCATCGATGGGGAGATGGGTTAGGATGGCGACATCCTTTAGTGTGATGGTGGCCTCTCCTTCTCTCAAGTTGAAGCAATGGGTCTCCTTTCTCCATCTCTCGACTAGGGCGGTGATGAGTTGGCGATCAACTTTGATGCCGTTAAAATATCTGATCGAGTCCAATTGTGCCCTTTTGAGAAAGGGCAAGATGGCTGGGTGGAATGGGAGCACATTGGTCGTACCCCTGTAGCGGATTATTGTTTGTGCCTCCTAGGGAAAATTTACACGTTAATTAGTATATATTAGCAAGGGTTTAATCCTTATAACTAAATTACTTAAATTAAATTATTTAACTTCAAGCAGAATTTTATCATCAAAAAAAGACATTTCATATAATTAACATAATAGCATTATAAATTAATAATAATTTAAAGAGATACATACATATTATCATAAAATGAACATCCTAAATTAATTAACATAATAACATTCTAAATGAATAATAATTTAAAGAGATACATACTAATTATCGTAAAATAAACATACTAAATTAACTAAATTAAATGACATTATTAATGAATAAATATTTTAAAGAGAAACATACATATTCAATTGTTTGAAATTAATAAAATTCCATTTGTACACATAAAAATAAATCGTAAGGACTATTTGGTAAATTATTTAATCGTTTTGGTTGTTTTAAATAATTTAATCGAATACAAAGCAACACTCGTTAGACTCTTAGAAGAGGTATACATCTTCTTAGAAACGCAGTCTTGTTGACAGAAAAAGGGGGGATCCGAGGATCTCTTAATACCCGATTTCCCCAGGGAATGGGAGGATATGATAATCTCTTAAAACCCCATTTCCTTAGACGTGCATCTCTTTATAAAGAGTCGAAGTAAGTGGCGCTATGTATTCGATTAAATTATTGAAATCAACCAACACGATTAAAAATTCAACATTAATTTATTTTATATTCCACTAAATACATTAACAAAATAAAAGAATGATAAATGGTAAAGAATTGTATGTACCTGGTGAGCGTTCCAAACATCCCTTGACCGATGGTTGGGTTGGTCGTACAAGTCGGTTGGATCCAACGGTCCTTGCTCGAGATAATACCGTTGGTTGTAAATATCGACGTCCTCCGCAGCCTACGAGAAAATAACAACGAGGTTAGTACATAGATTAATTAAAAAGCAAGATAACAACAACAAAAATTAAACCCGAATAATGAGTACGTACCGCTTGAAATTCATCAACAAAAACTCCTTCTCCTTGCCACCAATCGGCCATTTTTTCGGCGCAATTCGGACAGAGCTTCGGCTCGGCTCGGCGAGTTTTGAGGAAAAAACCTAAGAAATGTTTTCTGATGGCAGATCGGACTTTGCCGCAACCAACAGACTATTTCCTAGGCTTTTGGGAGGGGGAGGGTTTAGAGAGATAAAACTTAGAGAGAGAAGGAAGAATGGGTTGTGGTGTGAAGAAATGAGAGGGGAAGGTGGGCTATTTATAGGATTCAGATCGCAGGCTCCAGGGACGAGGCGGTAATTTTGCCCCGCGTGGATCGCATTCTTCCAATGCGTTTTCCGCTTCCCCAGGCGCAGATTGCACCCTCCCAATGCGGTTTGACTGACCTCGGCGCGGATTGCACCGCTGGAGTGCGATCTGGGATCCTCGGCGCGGATCGCTCCGCTGGCGTGCGCTGAGCCGTTGGATCGTCCGTCAATCCGACGATCTTGAAGATCGTTCCGCGTCCTCCCCAAATCGCATCAGTTTGGTGCGTTTTATATTATGGATTGCACCCCTCTGATGCGTTTTACATGTAGATCGCAGTGCGTTTTACATGTACATCGCAGTGCGTTTTACAGTTAAAACGCATCTTAGGGGTGCGTTCCAAAAAATAAGGTGCTAGTTTTGTAATTTTTTTTACATGGGTGCTATTTTTGTAATTTTTTTTAAAGGTGCTATTATTGGAAAAATCCCGAAGAACCGTGGAAAGCCTATTTGCCAAAATCTTGGCAATGCACTTGTAGAGCACATTGCAACAAGATATTGGTCTAAATTGCTTCATCTGGTCTGCCCCAGCTACTTTTGGAAGAAGAGCCAACACTGTCGAGTTGATTTCCCTGGGTAGAAAACCTGTAAGGAAGAAGGAGCTGATTGCACTTGTGATATCATCTCCCACTACTGACCAGGCTGCCTTATAGAATTCTACTGTATATCCATCTGGACCAGGGGATTTATTAGTTCCCATTTGAAACAAAGCAGATTTAATTTCCTCATTAGATACACTTCTACAAAGATGCTCAGTATCCACAGGCTCCACTTTATTAACCAGTAATTTTTCCATTTCTTCTACTGAAAAACACTGCACTTCCTGATTTTTTTCCCCTAACAGTTTCTTATAAAACTCTACTGCTACACTTCCAATGTCATCCACATCAGTAACAATGCTACCATCCTCTTTCTGAAGTAAGGAAATATGATTCCTATGCTGCCTCACCCTTAATGACTGATGGAAGTATGCTGTATTTTGATCCCCTTCAGTTACAGCTTGTATCCTGGCTTTCTGTTTATAGAACCCTTCTTCTGCTTTTTGAAACATAACACACTCTGCTACTGCTTTTGCTTCTTCTTCAAACAGCTGTGGGGATGGATCACTAAACACCTTTTGCTGAATAGTCTTCAAATCATCTTCTGCCTTTCTAGCACGTAAAGATATGTCTGAATAGAACTCCTTATTAAACTCCTTAAGCTTTTGCTTCAGTAATCTCAGCTTATGGCACACTCTGAAAAATGGATAACCAGTAACCCTTATGTTCCATACTTCTTGCAGTATTTCCTGAAACTTTGGATGATCACTCCAGAAGTTAAAGAACCTAAATGGCTTAGGTAATGTCTTCTGGTTAGGGGAAGAATTCAAAAGTAGTCCACAGTGATCTGAGTGTGTTCCTGGAGTTATAGTGCTAGCAAAACTACTTGGAAATTTTGTTAGCCAATGGCTATTCATGAAAATTCTATCCAGTTTACGAGCTATAGGATTTCTAGTTTGCTTATTAACCCAAGTAAAACATTCCCCTACTACCTTGTGCTCTTCCAATTGCATTTCATCAATCCAGTGCTGAAAATCCTGCCCACTAGACCCTGGAGGAGTTCCATTAGAAGCTTCAGATGCAGTAAGTATAGCATTGAAGTCCCCAAGAACTAACCAGGGCTCATTACTGGTTTGAATAGACTTCATTTGTGCATAAATTTGACGCCTTACTACTTCATCATTTGACCCATACACCACAGTTATCTGACAGTCCACACCTCCCCTAACCTTCAAATGCACAAAGTTTTCCTCTATCATTTCTGCTGTAACCTTCAAATCCTGCCTAAAGAAAATCCATATCCTCCCATTGGAAGATTTATCATAATTCTCCAAATACCCCCAGTCTGAAAAATAGTCAGTACAAATTTTCCCCATTTTACTCTTCTGTACTCTTTTTTCTAGCACTGCCAAGATATCTACCTTCTGTGTCCTCAGATGCTTACTAATAAACCCATGTTTTGAGCCTCTATTGAAGCCTCTCATGTTCCATGAGGATACTATCATTTGTGTTTAGAAGACCGGCCCCCACACCCTGCCTTCTTGCCTCTTCCACTGGTGATATAGTCAAAATTAGCTAGAGATGAAACCCCACCCCCAGTGAACTCTATATTTCCACTATCCCCTGAGAATGAAACCACTACTGCCTTTCCTTTAGAGATTTTTGCAGCCACTGCAGGACTGACACTCTTTCTCCCCTGAATTACCTCCTGGAATTCCTCCTCTGAAGGCAATTGATCCACCACCTGCACTTTCTCTGCATTCTTATCAGTCCCCTGCCCTGGTGAAGGATCCTTCATACTGCTCTCAGTGCCTACTACTTCCATGACCATATCGTTCATCACTACTCCTAGGTTCAGACTCTCCTCCCCCTTATCCTGATGAACTTCACCCTGATTCTCACTCTCCGATTGCACCACAAGATCCCTCTCAGTAACTGGATGTTGAGTTTTCTTCACTTTAGGCACCCACACTCGGCGTACTTCACAAGCCTCTTTGCTGCAATCATGTCCAAACCTTCGACACTTCTGACAGACAGGAGGTAAATTGAAATATTCCACAGTAGCTAAGAAGGGAACACCTTCATCAGGGACAAATCTCAGCTCCTTGGGGCACTCTGAATCCACAGTAATTTCCACACAGCATTTCGCAAACCCCAACTGATCAGTAACTCTAGTCACTTGAGAACAGAACGGCTTTCCAATCATGCTAACCACCTTACTCAAGCACTCGGGCAACAGACATTCCATTGGCAATCCTGAGATCTTCACCCAAACCGGTAGTCCAGGCTTCTCGGGGGAAACTGGCAAAATCCCTTTCTCCCATTTCCTCAAGAACATATTGTTGCCCCAAAGATGCCATGGACCACCCCGAAAAATCCAAGAGCAAGTCGAAGCATTCGGAAATCGGAAAACCAGTAGCTTTTCCCCAAACCAGGAAACCCTAATTTTCCCATCTCTCCCCCAAAGCTTATTTTCCCAACTTCGAATAACTCCTAGAGATGGCGGAGCAGAGATGAATTGACCTACCAAACAGTGTTGCCAACGAGCAGCACCCTTGTCCAGCAAGACCTTCGGTAGACGCAACGCTCCATCGACAAGATCTGGCTCTTCATAGTGAAGCCGACAGCTCTCAACGATTGTGAAGAGATCTGCCCACGATTTTCCTGATTCCGCCATGGGAGTCGCGAGCCAACCAAAGAAACTCAAGATAGAAAGGAGAATACCGACGACGAGGAGCGCCGCTGGATGAATTCGCCGCCGGCAGGAGGCCAGACGGCGAGGGAGGACCAGCTAGGGCAGCCGGGAACCCTCGACGGCAGGAGGCCAATCTAGCGGGAAAAGTTGTTACTCTCTTTTTTCTCTCTCTCTCTAGCTTTCTCTCGATTATCGGGAATTGATCATTATTTTTTCGCTCCATTATATTGTTGCCTGTACTAAAATGAAGTTTTTGTTTGTTCTTTTTGGGTGGTTAGTGGGCACAAGCAGGTAGCTAGCTAGGTCGAGAGAATCTCTCCCTAATTCTCTCTCCGTGCGCAGTACCTTCTCGGGTCATGATATATGCATTGTATTCATCTGGTTCTCGACTAAGAGGAAATTACGTAACAATAAAAAAAAAATACAATTGCATATACCATTGCACCAATGGAGATGCTCAGTAATTGATATACAACTAGCAAAAGTCCACTCGCTACCGTTTCACATGTGTGCAAAAACAAATATTTTAAAAAGTAATAGTTTTAATATTAATCCAAAAGTGAAAGTGATTTTACTCGTTCTTAATTTTTCTTTCTATGGGTTTCTTAGTTACAACATGTGGTCGGCGAAGCGATGAACCTGCATAAAGGTCTCGAGCATATGTTTAAACTTCTCCCATGGCGCTATAGTTATAGTTTGTAGGGGTTAGTTAAGCCTCCTGTAACTTTTGTAGAAGAAGCTTTTGGCTGGATCTTTTAGAGAAATATTTTTTTAGAAAAAATTAGAAGTATTTTCTAATATAAGAGGTCATGTAAAAATATAAAAAAATAATTTTTAATATAAAATATGAAAGTTAAAAAGTAGTCAAAATAAATTTTATTAGATTTCACTCATATTAAATAATATTATGTTCTAATTTATTTTATTTTTTAAAATGATACGAATGGAAGAAAAATATGTTTTCCAAAAAAATATTAAAATATGGTAAGTACAATTTTGTATTTTAAAATCAACTTTTCACATAAGTTTTAAATCGGAGCTTCAACTTTCAAAAGATAAAAGCACTTCTAAAATATGGCAAAACATATTCGTACTCTTTTGTCTTTGGTTTTTTTTTTAAAGTTTATCATGGTTCTCTTTTTTATGAATATTCGAGCCTGATTGCATGTTTGAGAAGGTTTAAATTACATTGACTTGGCTAAGACGATGATTTGGCTAAAAATGTGAACGAAAACCCAGTGGATAATAATTGAAATACATAAACCATTAAACAATTAATTTAATATATAAAATCCAAGATTGTGAGTTACTATTCATTGGGATGATTAATGAAAGGTATTCATAGCCAAAGAATCACATTGACAGTGGTATCCATGGCGAGACACATTTAGTAGAAGAGCAAGCAACGATGATGCTTGGTTTCTTTGTTTGCAATAAGACATGTGTGTAGAGTTATGCTTAATGAAGTATCCATTGGTGGAGCGACGAGTGAGGAGATATCCACCCATGGCCAATCTCCATTACAATGAGCTACGATCAGTTGGATCGCAGAAGACTGTCCCTCGGCCTAAGTAGAGTTTGAAACCCTTGCATACTACCAATTCCTAACAAATTAAGTCGCTAAAACAGGATTAAAGTATCTTATATCATTATATTGTATGTGTTCTCTAACTCTTAGTAACTAGCTTGCCCTATGTGCTTAAAGTTTCTAAAAATCAATCATATTCTGTGCTGGCTAGCTTAAATTTGAGCATGAGACTTAAACTTCAAGCTCATAGCACTGGCGATTCCTAGCTAAAATTTGAATACAAAACTTCATCGTATGAAGAATCAATTCCTAGTATAAAAAAAAATTGCATCGAGTTGGAATAGGTAGAAACAAAATGAAGTTCTAATATCAAAATATATCACTATTCTTATAAAAATGATATGATAACTTCCCTTCCACTACTATGTACCTTTATGGGATCGTGTTATTATATATGTAATCAACAATAGCTTTTAAACTCTCTTCTGTAATAAAAAAAACCCTACCCTAATTACAACAAAAAAATTATTTTCAAAAAATAATTTATCGTCTGTACTATGTACTTTTCTTTCTGACCGAGAGCGGATCCCATGACTAGGGGGATCCTTAGTCACTTGACTAAGCCCCTCCTAGCCATTAGATCTGGACACTTCAATCCAATGGTTAAAAAGTGGGAAGGGCTATTTAATTAATGACAGGGGTAGTTTGGGTATTATGGAAAATTACGAAGTATACAAACCGGATTTACAATCAGTACAAACCATACAAACATACAAACAGTACAAACTAGAGCGACAAAACATACAAACAGATTTACTAACATTACAAAAGTATGAACTGTACAAACAATACAAACTAGACTAACAAACAATACAAACCATACAAAAAGAAAAAACAACCGGGTTGACTTTGGAGGCTCCATCCCTATATAGAGGGGCTCCTTCCCAAAGTCAACCCGGGTGTTTTTTAGACATACAAACATGGTGGACAAAAATGACAAACTAGACCAAAAATTCATACAAACTAGTAGGGGTGGCTATTTGGACCCGGACCGGATTAAAAACCGGAAACCGGACCGTATAACCCGGACCAAGACCGGACCGGGACCGGATAGTAAACAATCCAATCCAATCTTTGGGCTTAGATTTGAGGTAAAAAAACCGGATAAAGACCGGATAAGAGAGCTCAACACCCAAAACTTAAGGTAATTTGCATAAACGGTCACAAACCTTTGCACTTAGTACAAAACTTAACCAACTCCTCACCCTTTAAGGCCTTAGGCCACTCAAATCCCACAATCTCAATGTAAAATCAAGACCAAATTGGGACCGGACCGGATCAAGACCGGACTGTATCCAATCCAATCTTCGGTCCTTATATTTTCAAAAAGACCGGACTGGACCAGATCAATTTGGGCCAATTTAACCGGACTGGACCGTATAGCCACCCCTACAAACTAGAAAAACACCCGGGTTGACTTTGGAGGCTTCATCCCTATATAGAGGGCTCCGTCTCAAAGTCCACCCGGTTGTTTTTTAGACATACAAACATTACGAATATGGTGGACAAAAATGAAAAACTAGACCGACAATCCATACGAACTGGAAAAAACACCCGGGTTGACTTTGGAGGCTCCATCCTATATAGAGGAGTTTCATCCAAAAGTCAACCAGGTTGTTTTTTAGACATAAAAAACATTACAAACATGGTTGACAAAAATGATAAACACGGTACACAAAAATAACAAAGTTTACAAACATTACAAAAAAAACTGACAAACATTACAAAATAACAAAGCGTACAAACATTACAAAATAAATCGACAAACAATACCAAGCATACTAACAATACAAAATCTCTCTCTCTCTCTCTCTCTCTCACACACCTGGGACAATTCTTCCCATGTCTCCTGTCCAAAATAAATGAATGGACAGCAAAGGAGACGAGGAAAAGAAATAAAAGCCGGCGGTAAATTTTTCAGCCGGGGAAACGCGGAAGCCAGCAGCGGCCAAATTGTTTTTTTGTTTATTATCTAAATTAATAAATTAAATAATCATGCAATTACTCAATTACTATATTGTCGTTTATTAAATTGAATTAATATGAGCCATTGGATTTTAATGAGGTGCAAGGATGACTTGATCTTAGCCCTTTCTGACCTCCTCGAAGAAAAGAAAAACACTTTCCTGGACCTATGGAATAAAAAGAAAACTTATATAAATAAGAAAAAAACAACAGCCAACAGAATGAAGAGTCTCTCTTGCTTCCATGTGGGACATTAAGATGCAAGTGACCTTTCAGCTACAGTTGAGGCCAAATTAGCATCACTAATTATTAGTTAACTAACTGATTAGGAAACCGACAACATAACCACGGGGATTTTTGCCTTTGACCGAAGTGCAAGCAGTACTTTCTAACCATTAATAAAAAACTACAAGTTGGTTGAGAAAAACAATTGAACAGTTCATGTTAAAGAGGAAAAGGCACATTCCCTTCCCTGCGAATCTAAAAAGGTGCAGCCGTCATTGCGCTGGTCCTGGCACGGGATATGTTAGTTTAGTTTATCATCAGAATTCAGAAGAATACTCAAGTCACAGTTAACTATATAGTGCTTCCTTTACATATATGCCTCGGCTCTAAGGTCTATACCTTTTGACCAAAAGACTTCTAGCATATGTATAGCAATATTTCACAATGATGTTTTAACTCTTATGATATTGAGTTTGAATCTCGTGGACTTCTGCTGACTTTGCCCAAATTGTAGTAGTTTACGTAATTCTTTATGGCAACACAGAAGAACAAATAAGTTTTCATTTTATCAAGACATAGGCAGATGATGATTTGCCTGTTTGTAGTAACATAGATATAGGCCAATTTGCTTCTTGGGCATTGTAGCCAACTTTTCCTCTGGGGAGTTGCTTCGATATCTGAAGCTACCATTCGCCATTTCGAGAGTGGTTCTCTTGTCACAAAGCTATAAAATAATTATAAAATCGTACCATAGATTGTACGAGGTGGTCGCAAGAGGCAAGAGGCAGAGGTGGTCGTCCATACCTTTCATCTTCAGTAGGCAAGGGCAGTGGCGGACCCAGGATTCTTGAATAGGTGTGTCGACTTATAAAATAATATATTAAATAAAAAACAATTAATAAAATTTACAATATCATTTACAACAAACCAGGATGACTTTAATATATTGAAAGGCTTGTAAAATATATTCATTGTCCATGTTGCAAATCAAAGATTTTTTTGGTATACACTAAACAATCATTCATAAATTGGTAACTCAATCAATTCCGAAGATTGTTCTTGATTACCTTCATAGCTAAAAAGGCCTTTGGAAACTTGTAGTTGCAATAGATAAAGTCAACACTAACTTCATAACAAAGTAAACTAAAGACAATATATATTTATATATTTTATTAACTATGTAACAACAAATTTCTTGTAGAATAATAAAGGTGTCTCGCTTACAATTATTGAGGTGTGTCGAAAGTCTCGAGTTTTGATTTTTTTGTTCCGTCGAAAGCATGTTCTCTCACAAAATTTTCGAGCCAAGGTGTGTCGGGTGACAACCTTGCAGGGGAATGGCTATGTTGCTGAGGAAGATGTTGACAGAGAATAAGGTGGCTCTGCAAAGGCGGCAGGTGCAGCACGCTATGCTTGGGGAGGGTATGAAAGATGAATGTTCAACCTACTGACTCTCTAAACCTCTTCTTTCACTTTTAATAATGAGGAAACAAGGGAGAGAATCTGGAGGGACAGACCATGGAGCTTGTCCAATACTATAACAACTATTGAAAAGTACAACCGAAGAGGCAAACCAGAAGATATTCTGATGGAGAAGCTGGCTATGTGGGTGCAAATCCATGGATTGTATCAAAACCATAGGAGCGAGCAGAATATGGTGGCGGTGGGAACTCACTACTTCCCAGGGCTCCTCGAGCAGAATATGTATAGCAATATATCACAATGATGTTTTAACTCTTATGATATTGAGTTTGAATCTCGTGGACTTCTGCTGACTTTGCCCAGATTGTAGTAGTTTACGTAATTCTTTATGGCAACACAGAAGGACAAATAAGTTTTCATTTTATCAAGACACAGGCAGATGATGATTTGCCTGTTTGTAGTAACATAGATATAGGCCAATTTGCATCTTAGGCATTGTAGCCAACTTTTCCTCTAGGGAGTTGCGTCGATATCTGAAGCTACCATTCGCCATTTCGAGAGTGATTCTCTTGTCACAAAGCTATAAAATAATTATAAAATCGTACCATAGATTGTACGAGGTGGTCGCGAGAGGCAAGAGGCAGAGGTGGTCGCCCATACCTTTCATCTTCAGTAGGCAGGGGCAGTGGCGGACTCAGGTTTCTTGAATAGGTGTGTCGACTTATAAAATAATATATTAAATAAAAAATAATTAATAAAATTTACAATATCATTTACAACAAACCATGATGACTTTCATATATTGAAAGGTATGTAAAATATATTCATTGTCCATGTTGCAAATCAAAGATTTTTTTGGTATACACAACTAAACAATCATTCATAAATTGGTAATTCAATCAATTCCGAAGATTGTTCTTGATTACCTTCATAGCTATAAAGGCCTTTGGAAATTTGTAGTTGCAATAGATAAAGTCAACACTAACTTCATAACAAAGTAAACTAAAGACAATATATATTTATATATTTTATTAACTATATAACAACAAATTTCTTGTAGAATAATAAAGGTGTGTCGAAAGTCTCGAGTTTCGATTTTTTTGTACCTTCGAAAGCATGGTCTCTCACAAAATTTTCGAGCCAAGGTGTGTCGGGTGACAACCTTGCAGGGGAATGGCTATGTTGCTGAGGAAGATGTTGACAGAGAATAAGGTGGCTCTGCAAAGGCGGCAGGTGCAGCACGCTATGCTTGGGGAGGGTATGACAGATGAATGTTCAACCTACTGACTCTCTAAACCTCTTCTTATTCACTTTCAATAATGAGGAAACAAGGGAGAGAATCTGGAGGGACAGAACATGGAGCTTGTCCAATACTATAATAGCTATTGAAAAGTACAATGGAAGAGGCAAACCAGAAGATATTCCGATGGAGAAGTTGGCTATGTGGGTGCAAATCCATGGCTTGCATCAAAACCATCGGAGCAAGCAGAATATGGTGGCGGTGGGAACTCACTACTTCCCAGGGCTCCTCGACATCGACCGAGCTAGCCTGGAGTTCAAAGGCTACAGAAGGTTTCTAAGGATTCTAGTGAAGGTTGATCTCAAGAACCAGTTCCTACAGGGTTCGACTTCCCCTTCACCGATGAATCCACTGGGATTGAACACAGTGATGTGATCAATTTGAAATATGAAAGGTTAGTGGAGCTATGCTACTTCTGTGGAAGAATCGGTCAGAACTGGCCGACGTGCCAGAGGATGTACGAAGAGAGGAGGAAGAAAGAAGTTGCTTATTTGTCAGATATCTACAACTCGTCTCTTAAGGCTGGAATCGACTCTCCCCATAGGCACCAATCTTCAAATTTCAGAAGAAGTCGAGAGGGTGAAGGGACACAGAGATCATCGGCTAGGAAAGACATATCAAGATCGGGAAGCTATGCTCGATCGGGAGAGGTTGAAGCCAGCGGGTCGTCTTCAGCGGGGAGAAGGGTCTCGGAAGGGAACCATCACTACAAAATTAGGAAGCATAGAGGACAGTAATTGGGGACAAAAATTTAGTTTTGTCTCCGGAATTCTAAGTTTAAGCGGTATTAGGGACGAATCTATGGAATTGTCTTCAAAACAATAAGAGCTGGATGTTTCAATGATGCGGGCCTAACCCATGTTGTCCCCAAAGACTTCAGCAAGATAGCCGGGATTTATGAAATTCGAAAATTTTGGGTTGTGGATTCTCTCTCAATAAAATCGGCTTGAGTCTTAGGGTTTATTTCTTCCCAACTTCCGCCTACTGGGATCTCATTCTTCTTCAGCTTCTCGTATTTATTTTTTAGCGGCAATAGAAATCGATGGTGATGAGACCATAGCTACATTGGCGGAAGCCACAAGGTATGAGAGAGCTTCTCCCTACGTCTCCTTTCGATTGTTGTTGCTTCCTCCAATTTGCAGCATCACTAGATTCCTCTTCCTTTGCGTTGTGGTTTACATTCGTCATCCTCCCATAATACCCCTAATTCAATTGATTAATCAGTATATTGATTTAATAATTGCAATAACTCTTATGATCCCCTGAATCCTTGCCCTTTGATTTTCGTTTAGGTCCTAGGGGTTTACTTCCTCATTCCCAATTGATGTGCATTTCACCGATTATTTTAGTTCAATAATGATTTGTTTCTTAGTTTGAAGGTTCTCCATCCTTAAATTGACTCAATGGGTTTTCGTTCATCCAATTGATTTGTGATGAAAAAGTGGACTGCAACTAGTTCCCAAACTCAAGATGGAGGGAGAAGCACGAGATATGATGAGAAGGCATTCATAGCTTCAAAAAGAGTTATAGGTATGTGATTCATTCCTCTTGATCATGTCCATGTGTGTGTTGGTTAACGCATGACTAGCTAGGAGGTTTAGTTGAAAATCTCTGCTTTCTACTCCACGAAGTATTTTGGGATATGTGGATAAATAGTTCTATTCATATTGAATCTGATGATGGTGGAAAACTCGCTTGTTAATTGATTAATCACAAACCAATGCACTCTGCCACATAGCTTGTTATAATTACATCTTCCTTTACTCTTTCCAGCCAGTCCTTTACTATGAATTGGATGAAATAAATTTTAACCACAAAGACCAACTAGTTTAAATCATGCCCTCTAATTTGTAATGCCCTCTCTCGGAAGTAGGTAAAATCATTATTCAATGCCTTTTACTCCTTTTTAACGTGAGTTATTGTCTATTACAGTTCTGCTTGTTCATTATTTGCTAAGCTCTATGTAGCCTTAAGAAGTGGTGTTATGGCTTGTGATAGCTAGTGGAAACTACCTATGCATTATGATGAGCTTATCTAATTGCTTGACTTAAATTGCTATTTTGTTGAAATTTTCTCTATGTTCATTGTGTCTGCAGGCCATTGAGTGTTTAGTGTCTAGAAGAATTATGGAGGAACCATTTTCAGAGATGAAGGACACATTTCCAGTATAGACAAAGAAATAGTTTATTTGTAGTTTAGCCTGATAGGAATGTTTCATATTATATTGTTCACTACACAGTACACAGATACTTGTGTTATTATCTATAAGAAAGGATTTTTTTCCCATTGTGTTGCGATTAATGGTTTGTAATTTGTAGTCCGCATAAAGTTAATGTTAAAACTTATTAGATACCAATTCTTTTATCAAGAAATGGTTCTTAGGAGAAAACTCATTCTCTCGAAAAATGGCTCTTAGGGACAATTTTAGGTATTGAAAACAGTTAAGAGGTACGATTTTTCGTCTAAAAAAACACTCATAAGAGACAACATGTTGTTCCGAAGTCATAAAAGGACAGTAAGTGTACTCGAATTTTTTAATATGGGGACAATTATGTGTCCCTCATATTGGAGACGACTTTCATTTTTTTGTCCCCAAAAGAATAGAGGACAGAACCTATAGGCACCATCCATGGGGACGACGCTTGTCGTCTCCAAATCTTTTAGAGACGAAAAACCCTTGTTTCGGGCACAATAGTTTTCGTCTCCAATACGTATTAATTTTGTAATGCATCTTATCCCACCGGGATTCACAGTTAGAAGGCTAGAGCATGAAGTTCAAGAAGTGGAGGAACAAGATGGGGGCAAAAGATTTGGGTTTGGAGATGGACAGGGCGGCGGCGGCGATGAAAGGAGGCTTGAGATTGGAAGAGGAAAGAAATCTCCAGGAATCCGAACAAAGGGCCACGACGGTGGAGACATGGCTGTTGTTTGGGTCGTATCATTAAGTCTCCTCGGCCCAACATCATGTCTTAGTGGGCTTGGCTGAATATGATAACTGCCAGCACATACATGAAGGATTGGAGGAGGAAGTGGTCTGCAGGATGAAGAAAAGGGAAAGGAATGGGCCTAGCAATAGATTTAAATGAGGAAGCCCTTGCATCTTTGAGCCCAGCAGAGGTCATTTTCATGGGTGGGCCTGGGGGACTAAACAAACAAAAAAGAAAAATCAGAAGTATAAGACTCACCAACTTGGAAGCTCAAAGGGGAATCACTCATAGGGAGATCAAGAAGACACTAGAAGGAGAGGAAAGGCAACGGTTGTTCGCCAAAAGCCACCTCTTCAAGAATGATTATAGTAAGTTGGAATTGTAGGGGATTTGGTTCATCCCTTACAAGAAGTTATGCAAAGCGTCTTTGTAAACGCTTAGGCCCTTCTATTGTTTTCCTCATGGAAACGAGCAAGAACGAGGAATTCATGGAGGAACAAAGAAGAAGTCTCAAAATTTCCCCAATAGAGAGTATGTTGAACCGATTAACTCTTCTAGGGTTTTTGCATTATGGTGGAAAGCGGGTATTAATATTAATGTTTTAAGTGGTGCTACTATATAGATGTTAGTATTGATATGGGTCGGAAGTTGTTTTTTTTTTTTTTTGTACTTTTGTTCATGCACCCTCTACCGTTGTTATAGAAGAGTTTTTTGGGAGCACCTGAGCACTCTTCGGAGTAGTAGGGAGGATAGTTGGGTTATTGTAGGGGATTTCAATGCTGCTATCTATGAAAACGAAAATAACGGTAGATGTCCCCTTAGGTACGAGAATGTTGAACCCGTTAAAAGGTTTATTTTCCATAATGGTCTTATTGATCTAGGATTTAAAGGAGAATCTTTTACCTGGACAAATAAGAGCACGGGGCAGAATACAACGAGAGTCTGTTTAGACCGAGTGATATGCTCAACATCTTAGAGAACCCTCTTCGGGGAGGCGGTTGTCTTCCATGAGAAGATGGTGGAATCATATTATTGTCTAATCAGACTGGAGCTCCACTACAAACATAATAGAAGGAGAAAGACGCTTTTAGGGTGGACGAGAGATGGCTAGAGAAAGAAGAATGTAAGGAAATTATGGCCCGAGCATGGGACCCAGGGGGTCAATCGTCCAACCAACTTAGCAAATGTGAGTGGGATCTCAAAAAGTGGTCAAAGGATTTCCGTAGAAACAGTTTACAAAGGGAGAACGCTATCCTTGATCGACTTGAGATACTTCAGCGCCTGCTTAGATCACAGGATAGTGTGGATGAAGAAAAGACTCTCACGAAAGAATAGTAGAGAATATGGATGGAAGAGGAAGCCTTCTGGAACCAGTGCTCGAGGGTGAATTGGCTTCAGAAAGGTGACCATAATACTTCTTTTCTCCATTCAAGTACGATTCTTAGAAAACATAAGAACAAAATCCTTAGACTCAAGGATAATGGGGGATATTGGGTGGAAGATGAGAATAGGCTTAAAGGATTATCCCAAGATTTCTACAAAGAGCTTTTTAGAGCTAGAAACCCTATTCCTTTTAACCATATGTTGGAGGGATTCCCAGAAAGTGTCACTACAGAGATGAATGAAGCACTGTGTGTGCCAGTGACCAATGAGGAAATTAGGAAATCAGTCTTTACATTAGGAGCGAGGAAAGCTCCCGGTCCGGATGGTTTCTTTGGTCGGTTCTATCGACGCTTTCTGGGATATCATTGGGGAGACGTTGTGCAGAGAAATTAAAGACTCTTTCGAGTCTGCCTCAATGCCCCATGGTTGGAATGACATGCATATTTTTTTGATTCCCAAGGTCAATAACTAAGAGATGATAAGCCAGTTTCATCCAATCAATTGCTGCAATTTTAGATATAAAGTTATATCCAAAATTATGGCGACTCGCCTCAAGATTTGGACACCTGACTTGGTCTCAGAGCTTCAGACTGCCTTCGCTGGGGGGAGGCTTATACAAGATAACATCATCATTGTCCACGAGGCTCTCCATAATTTAAGAACCACAAGCTGGGAAGAAGAAGAGACATGATGCTAAAGCTTGATATGAAGAAGGCGTATGATATGGTGGACTGGGACTGCTTGGAAGCTCTTCTGAAGAGTTATGTCCTATGGGTTTGATGAGAGGTGGTGTAAGTGGGTCAGTTCGTGCATCAGGTCGGTTCGTTTTTCCATCCTCTTCAATGGAGAAGCAACAGAGGAGTTCAGATCGTTGTGAGGCATCAGACAGGGAGACCTATTATCCCCTTTCCTCTTCATTCTGATGTCAAATGCACTCTCCTTTTAATTGATAAGGCGATCTACCAAGATCAATTAAAAGGGATCAAATTGAACTCTAGATGCCCTGTGCTCACCCACTATTTGTTTGCAGATGATACAATCATTTTGGTCGAGCAAACCATCAAGAAGCTGCAAAAATCCTGCAACTCAACAGAGATTATGGAACAATCACAAGGCAAGAAGTGAATATCAATAAGTCTTCCATTTTCTTCAGCGCGAATGTCCCAATTAAAGAAAAGGCCAGTATCATTGACCACATCGGATTTTCCTCATCTAATTGTCACTCAAAATATTTAGGGGATCTGACGGAGTGGGGCAAAGAAGAAAACTTTTCAATTCCTCATTCAGAGAGTGGAGAAGATGGGGGAAGCTTGGAAAAGTCTCCTTCTCTCTCATGGAGGGAAAGAAATCCTGCTCAAAGCTGTTATTCAAGCTATCCCCTCCTACATCATGTACCTTTTCCACCTTCCGGTGACCCTGACCAAGAAAATGGACTCTCTCCTTATCAATTTCTTTTGGTTATGAACAATGAAAAAGAGTAGTCTACATTGGTGCCGGAAGGAGATACCGTGCGCTCCTAAATCTGAAGGGGGCTTAGGATTTAAGAATTTCAAAGACTTTACCATGGCCCTTTTCGCTAAGCAAGCATGGCGGCTCCTAAATTCCCCCAATTCCCTTTGGTTTTGTCTTCTCGAGGGCCTCTATATTCCGAGAGGGGACTTTCTCTAAGCAAAAAAAGGGTAGTAGATCTTCTTGGATCTTGGCTAGTCTCTGGGAGGCAAAAAAAAAAGTCATCAACATGGGAGCTATTAAGGTCATTGGGTCGGGAAGGGATACTTGGGTTGTTCTTGACCCGTGGATCCTAACTCTGCACAACTTCGGCATTAGTAGTGGTCCCCAACAGAACCTGAGGGTTAATGACTAGATCGATCGGGGAGATAGGAGCTGGAATGAGGAGCGGTTTCAAGGCCATGTTACTGTTGAGGAAATGGAAGTTATCCTTCGAATTCCAAATGGGGAAGAAGAGTCAGATAATTTTTGGGCCTGGAGTATCACCAAGGATGGTGGGTTCTCGGTTAAGACTGCTTACCATGATTTTCACAAAGCAAACACAAACTTTCAATCGATAGGGAATGTAGAGAATTGGAAATGGATATGGGGGCTAAACCTCCGACCAAAACTCAAATTCTTCATTTGGAGATGCTCCAGATTCGGGTTGGAAACTAAAGAGAGGCTCTTTCAACGGAAATGTGCCCCGAATCAGACTTGTGAAGTTTGTCAAAACCTGTATGAATCCATTTTCCACTGCCTCTTCTATTGCCAACATGCTAGTGATTCCTGGAGTGCTATCTTCCCATCTCTTCCACTCCCTCCCCAGAATACCTCCTTTTTTATTGGATTTGTGCTCTTAAAGATACCCTTTACCATGACTCCCTGATTCACATGGTATTCCTATGTTGGAATATTTGGAAGGCAAGGAATGAGTGTACTTTCAAGAATAGAGTTCCCTATCCCCAAACTTCTGCATGCAAGCCTACAGAGAACTTAGAGAATGGATTTCCTGTTCGAGATCCCCACCTCCCAACCTCACCCTCCTACTCAGCTCAGGAAAACCCAACATACTATGAATCCCCCGCCAAGTAATCACTCGTTGGTGATTCACTGTGATGGGTCATTCTTGAGCGACTCCCTGACGGCGACTTATGGTGTCGTAGTTGTTAACCACCAAGGACAAGTGTGTGATGGGCGAGTAGAGACTCTTTTTTGTCCACCCTGATTGAAGAGGAAGCGATAACTCTTTTGGAAGGTCTAAAATTAGCACAAGAATATGGATTAGAATGTACAGTTCAATCTGACTGTCAGCTGTTCGTGAAAGCTCTGAATACAAATCACTCATGTTGGCCATGGAGGTGTCCTGCCTGGATTAACCCTATGGTCACTATTCTAAGGACAAACCCTGCCATTAATGTCAAAGAGGTGCCAAGGGCATTGAACGTCAGAGCTAATTGGGTTGCACGCTTGAAGGCTAGATTTATTCTACCTGAGGACTGGATCAATATTCTAGGTTTAATTTCTAATCTCCTTTAAGACTCTAATTGCATGCTTCGCGTGATTCTCTCGTTGGTGGAATAAAAGTTGTTGTTATTGTAAAAAAAAAAGTATGAACTTGTGATCCTCTTTAAGGACAAAGTTAAATCCTTTTCCATATGCATATTTGTGAGTTTAGTCCAGCCCATACTTCACGTACTATTGTTGTTGTTCATTTGTAAAATCATAGTTCAACATAGTTGCCCACAAGGAATCTTCCTTAAAGCTGGGAACTTTACTTGAATTTGCTCATGCTTGTCCATAGCTGGAGATGGGACTGAGAGATCGAGTTTAGGTCGTTTGAGGGCATCACATGGATGCAAGCAAAGCTTGTATTTACTTTACATCCAGCCAGCCAGCCACCCTAAAGCTAGCTATCTACATGCATGCATATATAGCTCCATCAATACATTATATATACACAACACTAATGTCCCTTCATCTTCACACTCAAAAGTACCAATCTTCTCTTCATTTTTAGCTCCATCTTCTTCAACTTGATCATAAGTAGTTTTTTTCTCTCTCCAAAGCTTGCATTCCATCTAATAGGTTCATCAATATTCGACATTACTAAAATGGCTTATTTTGATTCATCGATTTGTGAAAGCAGGAGTACTAGTCGGGTGCTCTTCTTCATCTTGATCATCATCCTCTCGTCCTCCACAGCTCATCGTCGGTGTCGAATAGTTTCGGCCCCGCAATTGCAAGCATGAGAGATATGCTGAAGGCTGCATTATCGAGTGATTATCGTGGTCATATGGGGAAGCATATGAAGCTAGATGGATTTGTAGAGGCTTTTCGACCCACCACTCCTGGTCATAGTCCAGGAGTTGGACATTAATTAATTAATTATATCATGTGTATTGTATTGTTTAATTTTTTTTTTTCATGAATATTGTAGGGTTAGAAACTATTTAAGGTTATATTATTTTAATTAATAATGTATTATTATTTTCTTGCCCAGGTTCAGGTTTATAACTGATTCTCGGCCCTCAGAACTGAAATTAAATCATCTTTTTCAGTATTCTGTGTTTCTTAATCAGATTGTAGTCTTCAATTTAATTTAGAATTTAAATTTTATATGCAAAGATAAAATCATAGAGTTGTGATATTTTAGTATCAACTTATTTTGGTCATTTTTACACGTGGCCTGAAGTAGTTGTAGTAGGGGGCACGTCGCGAAGACTTCATGAGAATCGAAAGTAGTCAGTTATCAGTAGACGTGTTCATCTTCACACATGCGGGTAGAGAACGTGTGTGATAATTGTAGAGACATTATCGATAAGACTATGAATTCATTTATCTAAAAGTGAGAAGAAGAGACTAACAAATCACATGGAAACAACTATGTCTCAATTTAACTTTTTCCCTATAGCTCATAATTGCGAAGGGTTCCTACCACAATTTTTTAAAACAAAAAATAAAGGTTCCTTCCACAAGGGATACACCACACGAACCAACAAGGTTACATTGTGACTCGGGCCAGAATAGAACCACTACTTCACCGCGGCTAACTGTGATATTGAGCCCATGACATGGTTTAAGCCTCACTATTATTATAGAGTGAACAAGGATACGCACAACAATGCAGCCATGAGCACAATGTTCCTCTATGAATTTGCAATGTTTCTCCACCACTATGCACCATGCACCAAGAGTTTTGCATCGAGCCTCACGTCATGAGCCACCAAGGCTACAACGCTTCTCCATGAACGTGATGTTTCAAGTGCACCGCCGAACTAGCTTGATTGAACTATGGCTCTACACTCACAAACCAACAATGTGGCTAAGAAACTGTGATATTGGGAGGGGTCTAACCATCGCTCCATGTCGTCATCGTGATATTCACATGATTCCACGTTTTCTGGTCTCAAAATTCGTTATTTATTCACAAAGTATCACGGAAGAACTCTACTTCTTCACGGGATTCTGTTTTTGAACCAGAGAAGAAGATGACCGTTGAACCCAACGACGCCGTTCCCACAAAGACCCACTGAACTAGGAGCGATGTCTTTTCTGGCAAAGTTAGCTTTAGTCATGAAGTTCTTAGTTGTGTATCTTTCCATTTTGGCAATGTGCTTTCTTCAGACACAAGCTTTGTCTTCTTCTTCCATTATGTTTGTACTGAACACCCAACTATATAAGCTGAAGTTTGAATGAACCAAAGCAAGCTCTTTTCTCTCCAACCCTAAAGGTTGTTATGGTATCAGAGCCCTCAACCCTAGCTGCCACCATCACAACTCATGGTTGCAAACCAACAAGCAGCCGCTACTACTTCCACAGAAGCAGCAGCACCCCCTCTCAAAATGTTTATCCCATGTATGACCCTTTCTATCTCCATGGTTCTGAGCAACCTGGCCTCCAGCTCGTTGCTGAAAAACTCACCCCCACCAACTACATTGACTGGAGCAAAGCCTTTCACAACACTCTTGGTGCCAAGAACAAACTGGGGTTTGTAGATGGCTCCATTCCAGATCCATGCCAAGGTCATGCCAATGCCTGGTCTTGGACAAGGAACAACATCATGGTGCTCTCCTGGATTTAGCAGGCAGTCGACCCTCGGATAAGGAAGACCATCGTGTCCTGCAAAACAGCCTTGGAAGCTTGGAGAAGCCTGCGTGACAGGTATGGCCAAGGTGACATGGTGAGAATAGCTGAGCTTATTGAGTCTATCTGCAATCTCAAGCAAGGTAACTCCACTGTCACTGAATACTATGGAAACCTCATAGCCCTAAGGGATGAACTAGAGAACTACCAACCCATAGAACCTTGTGCCTGCACTACTACCAGCCACAATACATGTAGGGCTTTGCAATTGGTTCTAGGGTACAAGGCACCAACTATGTCATCCAATTTTTAAGAGGTCTCAATGAAAACTTAACAAGTGTGAGGTCACAAGTTTTATTTGGTGATGCTTTGCCACCAAATGATCGTGTGTTCCAACGAATGCTTCAACATGAGAGTCAACTGTCTAGCTCCCAATCAGGGAAAACTCTAACAGCAAAAGGGATGGCCTTTGCTGCTCAAACAAATCCTAATTATCAAGGCAAAAGGCCACGACCATATTGCACCTTTTGCAAATTCACAGGCCACACAGAGGACACCTGCTACCACAAACATGGATGGCCTCCTGGCATGTCCAACCCCAAATCTCCCAATTCAGCAGGCAGAACCTTGGAATACACTCCCTGCAAAAAAAAAAAAAAAAAAAAAAAACAAGGTCACACTGAAGACAAATGCTTCCAAAAGCATGGTTATCCATCACGACTTGGTAGCAAAGGCAAGGTTTCTGTTAATGCCACAACAACTACTGCTGAGAATGATGAAGTTAAGTTGACCAAAGCTGAATATGAGAGATTTCTCAATCTCATGAAGGACAAGGAAACTGGGGAACACACACAAAACTATGCTTCTTCCTTTTCTGCTGCAACATGGGCTAACCATAGTCCTGCAACTTCAGGTAAATTTTCATTCACAGCTCACCATGATTCTTCATCCCAGCATGCCTGGATTCTAGACACTGGTGCCTCAGACCACATTGTCTACTCTCTGAATTATCTTGTCCAATCTAGGAAGGTACCAAACATTCCCATAACTCTTCCTAATGGAGCTCAAGTTGAAGAAACACATGTTGGCACAGACACTTGTGTTGCTGACCTTGTCCTTTAAAATGTCTTGTTTGTCCCACAATTCAACTTCAATCTCATTTCTGTGAGCAAACTGACCACCAATCCCTATCCTCACTTAACCTTCTTTTCCACTATCTGTCTAATACAAGATTTGCAGTTGAGGAGGATGATTGGTTCTGCTAAGCCCACCAATGGCCTTTACTTTTTTATAGCAAACTCATCTCTAGGACTCGCAAACATTTTGCTGCAGCCAATGCACCAACTTTTGACCTCTGGCACTATAGATTAGGCCATGTTTCTCATTCCAAAATCCCTCTTTTGAAGGAACTCTGTACATCCATAAAAACATATGCCTCTACACCTTGTGATACATGTCATTTTGCCAGACAGAAGAACCTTCCTTTTCCTTGTAGCAACACAGTTTGCAAACATGCTTTTGAACTCGTTCATGTTGATCTTTGGGGTCCCTATTCTATTCCTAGTCATGATGGTTTTCGGTATTTCCTCACCATTGTTGATGACTTTACTAGAATGACTTGGATTATCCTATTACAAGCTAAATCAGAAGCTAGAACCAAACTTCAACACTTCTGCAATCATGTTGACAAACAATTCCAGCTACATGTTAAGAGAATCCGTAGTGACCAAGGCAAAGAGTTTCAAATGCACGATTTTTTAACACAACTGGCATCCTACTTGAAAATCCTATGTCGAAACACCTCAGCAAAACAGCAAGGTTGAAAGAAAACATCAACACATCCTTACTGTTGCTAGAGCCCTTAGGTTTCAAGCCAATCTTCCCACTCATTTTGGTCAGATTGTGTTAAGCATGTTGTTCATCTAATTAATCATGTCCTTACACCTGTCCTTGCCAATAAAACACCCTATGGAAAAAAATTCATAAGCCCTCAGACCTCAATGAATTAAGGGTTTTCGGATGCCTATGCTATGCCTCCACATTAACCAGCCATAGAACCAGGTTTGATTCAAGATCACGCAAATGTGTGTTTTTCTAGGCTTCACCACAGGCATCAAAGGAAACAAACTCTATGATTTGGCCAGTCATGAGGTCTTTACCTCCAGAGATGTACAGTTTTATGAGGACCATTTTCCATTCAAAACCACTCGGTCCATTCCTCCTCCTTCTAGTCCTTACTCCTCATCTCCCAACCCATCCGTCTTTGATGAATCCAACCCTCTCTATCAACCCACATCATCTCCTCCCTCAGAGCCAGAACCATTCATCAATGATATTCATTTTGAAACAGATTATGATGACCCTTCCCCTACTCCATCATCCTCTTCTGCTTCTCCATCTCCACCTCAGCCACTCCCTCCCCCACCACCTCCTGCTCAACCAACCAGGAAATCCAACAGAACCATTCACCCACCCAAACACCTACAATCCTACCATTACAACCTGCTTCAGCAGATTTCTTCCACCAATCATCCTCCAATGCAACAAACTCCAGGTATGACTTACCCCCTTTCTTCTGTTCTTGATTATTCTAATCTCTCCCCTTCTCACAAACATTTTGTTCTACGCATTTCCACACTCAAAGAGCCAGACACAAACCAGGAAGCCTTCTTATCTGATGAGTGGAATGATGCCATAAAGTCTGAAACGCAAGCCCTTGAAGCCAACCATACTTGGGACATCGTTAAAAGACCTGTAAACACAAGAGTCATAGGTAAAAAATGGGTGTACAAGTTTAAGTTCAATTCATATGGCATCCTTGAGAGAATAAAAGCCAGATTGGTGGCCAAAGGGTTCAGTCAACAAGAAGGAGTTGATTACCAGGATACTCGTGTATGTTGACCATTCTCTTTTCTTCAAAACCACTGCCACATCCTACACCTGCATACTCGTGTATGTTGATGACTTAGTCGTTTGTGGCAACGACTTTACTAAGATCACCAACCTCAAATCCTATCTCATTCAGGAGTTCGGCATCAAGGACTTTGGCAATCTCAAACTCTTCCTGGGTGAAGTTGCTCGGAGCAAATCTGGCATACACATTTCTCAACAAAAATACACCCTGGAGATCCTGGAGGAAGCTGATCTTTTACATGCCAAGTCTGCCTCCACCCCAATTGATTACAAACAACACTTGTCTGCTTCTCACTCAGATCCCTTTCCAAACCCAGAATCCTATCGGCGATTGGTGGGCAAATTGATCTACCTCACCACTACTCGCCCACTCAACAGGTCAGCCAATACATGACCAACCCCAGCAATGATCATTTCAAGGTTGTTCTTCCAATACTTCGTTACCTCAAATCAGCTCCATCCAGTGGCATTTTTTTCTCTGCCACTTCCTTATTGCATATCAAAGCATTCAGCGATTCCGACTGGGTAGCCTGCATCGACACTCGTCGATCTGTCACCGGCTTTTGTGTCTAGTTGGGTGACTCCCTAATTTCCTGGAAGAGCAATAAACAGACAACGATTTCACGATCCTCGTGCGAGTAAGAATACAGAGCTCTCGCATTTACCACCTGCGAGATTCAATGGCTTCTTCATCTTCTCAATGATTTCAACATCAGTCATCCTCAACCTGAAACACTCTACTGCGACAATCAATCGGCGATTTACATCGCGGAAAATCCTACTTTTCATGAGCAGACCAAACATATTGAACTCGATTTCCATTTTGTTCGCGAAAAATTACTTGCAGGTATAGTCAAGATTCTCCACGTCTCCAGTTTGCATCAGTTGGCCGACATCCTCAGCAAACCTCTCCCACCGGCGAATTTTCACTATCTTTTCTCCAAGCTCGGCGTGCACAATTTGTGCTCTCCGACTTGCGGGGGTATCAGGGAAGAACTCTGCTTCTTTGTGGGATTCCGTTTTTGAACTAGAGAAGAAGATGAACGTTGAACCCAACGACGCCATTCCCACAAAGACCCACAGAACTTGGAGCGATGTCTTTTCTGGCAAAGTTTGCTTTAGTCCCTGAAATTCTTAGTTGTGTTTCCTTCCGTTTTGGCAATGTACTTTCTTCAAACATAAGCTTTGTCTTCTTCTTCCATTCTGTATGTACTGAACACCCAGCTATATAAGCTGAAGTCTGAATGAATCAAAGCAAGCTCTTTCTCTCCAACCCTAAAGGTTGTTACAAGGACCACAAGGGTCCAATGTTGTTTTTAATTTGTACTATATAACTCTACATTGTCAAGTGTCAGGAATTTGGAAGGAATGAATCAAAATTAAAGGCGTGATTAATGTCACATTAGAGTGTTATTTGTCTCACTACTAATTGCTAGCATGAATCAGGTAAATCAATCTCAAGAGCCCCTTCAATCCAAGTCTGGAAAGAAACAATATTTCAGACTCCTGTGTTTGTAAATTTGATAAGAAAAAAAAAAGAAAGGGAATGAAGAACGTTAGAAAAGAAGTTCGGCCACAATTGACAGTGCATTGAACCCTGGACCACAATTGTTGATGTCCCGAGTTCATACCGTGACAAACTAAATATGTGCTATGAATATATCATTTTTTCCTCTTGTGGTAATTTACAAACATATTTTTATAGGAGCACTTCTACTATGCTATAATGTATTGGTGCTTTAATGTACAAATTGAAGTTGTACCATAACGTTAAATGTATAAGTTTAGGTTATACCATAAATGAATTTATACCCTTATGTTATGGTAAAACTTTACAACTTAAAATTTTACCATCACATAAAGACTCAAGTTCAAGTTGTACCATAAAAGAATTTGTACAAAAAAGTATAGGTACAATCTGAAGTTGTACTATAACGTTAAAGGTACAACTTCAAGTTGTACCATAAAGGCAAAAACCTATAGCATCAATGCTATATAGCATTGTAAAAGTTCTCTTTTTATTGATACTAGATTGTTCTGAGCCGCGCTCCGCTAATGCAGGGAAATATTTAAGAGCCTTGACTACTAACCCGTATATTGGTGTTCACAGTTCAGCATTCGATAGCCTTCCATCGAATTAATGAACTCATAAGTAAGATACGTGGTAAATAATGGACTTTGGACCAGAAGAAGCATCAAATGAAGTAGCAGTTACCAATAGCATGCTCGATTTTCGAGAATGGGTGGGTGAAATGGAGGTACTTGACCATCGGGCTATAGGGCCTTTGTTTACATGGTCGAATCAGCAAGAGGGAAACATAATTTCAAGGAAGTTAGACAGGGTTCTGGTTAATTCAGATTGGCTAGACCAGTTTCCAAACTGTAAGGTGGAGATTTTGGCTCCTGATTTTGCATATCACTATGGGATGGGGATTTGCCCACATATCCCTTCCAAGTCTTTTCCTAAGCCATTTCGTTGTTATGACATGTGGTTAAACCATTCTGGTTACCAGCAGCTGCTGAAAGACGTTTGGAGCAAAGAACTCAGAGGATCTGTAGTCAATAAGGTGAAGAATAAGCTGAAGATACTAAAAGCTGAACTCAAAAAGCTTAGCAAGGAGAGGTTTTCTAATATATCAAGAAGAGTAAGTGAGGCAAGTCAGAGGATGAAGGTTGCCTAATTGAGGACTCTGACTGATCCTTCTAAGGATAATATAAGTATAGAGAAAGAAGCTGCGCAGACATACTTAGAACTCCAGCAGGCAGAAGAGAGTTTCTATAGACAGAAGGCAAGAATCAACTGGATTAGCCTTGGTGGCATTTTTTCCACCAAGCCGTTAAAGTTCAAAAAGCCAGGAAACAGATTCCAAAACTTATATTGGAGAATGGAGAGGAAGTACTCGATCCTGAGCAAATTGCTGCAAAAGCAGTGAACTTCTACTATGAGTTGTTTGGCATTGAGAATACAGAGGTTTGCCCTGACCTGAGACTGATTGAAAATCTTATTGATAAGAGACTGGATGATGATGCAGGTAGAATGCTCTGTGCAACAGTGCTAGATGATGAGATAAAGAATGCTCTCTTTAGCATGGATTCCACAAAGGTGCCAGGACCTGATGGGTGGACAATACAGTTTTTTCAAACAAGTTTGCCCATCATTGGAGAGGATATTACAGCAGCAGTTAATGTATTCTTGTCTGCAGGAGCATTGTCGAAAAGTATGAATGCTGCCTCGCTCACTTTATGTCCTAAAGTCCCTACTGCTTCTAGTATGACATAATTCAGACCCATAGCCTGCATCATTGTACTCTATAAGATCGTATCTAAGGTCCTAACTGGTAGATTGCAGAAAGTAATGCCTCATCTAGTTAGGAACAACCAGTCAACCTTTATTAAAGGAAGGATTATAGCAGACAACATCCTAATGGATCAAGAAATTGTACACGACTATCATAGGAAGGGTATTACCCCTAGATGTGCATTCAAAGTTGACCTAATAAAGGCATTTGACTCGATTCATTGGGGTTTCTTGTTCATGGTTATGGAAATGATGAACTTTCCTGCTCAATTTCTGACTTGGATTAAAGTCTGTCTAGAAACTGCCAGTTTCAGTGTAACAGTACAGGGCATCCTATTTGGGTTCTTCACAGCTAAGAAAGGAGTAAGGCAGGGTGGTGCTTTGTCACCCTACCTCTTCACTCTAGCTATGAAAGTTCTATCTTCTATGCTAGACAAAGCAGTAATAGCTAGACATGTCCCTTTTCATCCTTAGTGTAAAGCCATAGGGCTTACCCACCTATGTTTTGCAAACGATTTATTGATATTCACAGAAGGGACATCTCAAGCTTTGGAAGGGTTACGAAATGTGCTTTATATGTTCTATAGAATTTCAGGGCTTCAATGTAATCCAAACAAGTGTGAAGTATTTTTTGGAGGAATGGAGGAGAGGACAAAACAGATAGCATTGTGCATATTAGGGTTTAAAGAAGGCTACCTACCTGTGAAATATCTTGGCGTGCCACTTCAGTCTAGATCCTTGTCTAGTGCTGATTGCAGTCTACTCATAGATAAACTGACTAGCAAGATTCGATCTAGGCGTGCCAACAAGCTATCATATGTTGGTAAGCTGCAGTTAGTATCTTCTGTCCTTTATTCTATAACGCAGTTCTGGATGACAGTCTACATGTTGCCCAAGAAAATCATTACAAGGATCCAAAAAATATGTTCTGAAATTCTTTGGTATGGTGAGGGTACTAGAAGGGCAAAAGCCATTTGGGACCTGATATGTCTATCTAAGAAGGAAGGGGGTTTAGGATTGAGGGATTTGTATACATGGAATGTGGCTTGTGCAGGCAAAATGATTTGGATGCTTCTTATGCGTGGAGGATCGTTTTGGGTGGCCTGGATTGAGAAGCATAGGTTAAAAGGGAGGTATGTTTGGTTAATTCCAGAGACACAAACATGATCATGGTTGTGGAGGAAGCTTCTTAAGCTGAGGGCGTGGTTTCAATACAGATTATTGCAAGAAGGAAATGAGGTCACATGGGAAGGCAGATTGCTGGAAAAAATCTCTATCAGAGTTGTATGGCAGCCTATTTGACCACGGAAACAAAAGGTGTTGTGGTATTTAGCTTGGTGAGGGAAGTTTACTATTCCTATACATCGATTTCTGGCATGGTTGATTATACACCGTCGTATCGGGACTTGAGCATAGCTTAAGGAATGGGGTGTCATTGAATCTAATATTTTTCTACTATGTCAGAGTGAATCTGAAACACGTGACCATCTCTTCTGAAGTTATCCTTATGCTGTGGTGCTTTTACATGCCTTAATTCCCCAGTATTTCTTGGTCTACAAACTGGGAAGAGATGTTGCAGCAGCTCTGTCATTCAGTATATCAGGGAGACATGTCCATAGGAGTAAAGTGGTGCTGGTATGTGGCGTTAATGTGGAAGGAGCGGTGTGCCAAAATATACACGCCTGCCAGGAAAAGTTATGGGGAGCTTTTACAACACCTCAAGCGGAAGTCAGATTTTATTGTGCACGCAATGTTGAGTTCCACAATGTAGTAGGAAGCTCTTAATCCTCTTCTCTGTTCTCAATAAATGATACCTCACGTTGATGTGATTAGTCCTCTCATGGTGGACTTGATCCTTGGCCAAACATATTGCACTCAAACTGTCGCAATACACCACTGCCTGATCATGATGTAGACACAGATTACCAACCAGTCCCTTCAATCATATTCCCTCCTTAGCAGCTTATGTCAATGCCATACACTCTGCCTCAGTAGTAGAAAATGTCACCGTCGACTGCAAAGTTGCCTTCCAACTCACTATAGAACTCCCAAGAGTGAATACATAACCGGTCATCGATCTCCTCATGTCAACATCTCCAGCATAGTACGAGTCAGAATACCCAGACACCAAGCACTCTGCATCACTTCCGAAGCCAATCCCCACATCAGGTGTACCCTTAAGGTACTGGAAGATCCTCTTCACAGCCTGCCAATGCTTCTTCCCATGTTGTATCATGAACCTACTGACAACACTAACAACATGTGCAAGATCAGGTCTAGTGCATACCATAGCATACATCAAGCTACCTACTGCACTAGCATATGGGACTCTTGACATGTACTCCTTCTCAGCCTCTGAATGCGGTGCATAAGCTGAGGATAGATGAATATTTGAGGCACTAGGAGTATTTAAGGGCTTTGCTGAAGATATGCCAAACCTCGATAGTATCTTCTGGATGTAGCTCTTCTGTGACAATAAAATCTTCTTCTTCAACATGTCCTTGTAAATCTCCATACCCAAGATCTTCTGAGCATCTCCCAAATCCTTTATCTCAAACTCAGCACTAAGAAGCCCTTTTAACTTCTGGATATCAGACTTCAACCTCGCAGCTATGAGCATATCATCAACATACAGAACTAGATATATCATCAAACCATCCTCTGCCTTGCTATGATATACACAACAATCACATGGACTTTTGTTGTAGCCCAGCTCAAGCATGTAACTGTCAAATCTCTTGTACCATTGCCTCGGAGATTGCTTAAGTCCATACAAGGAGTTCTTCAGCTTACAAACATAGTCTTCCTATCCTGGAACCTGGAATCCTTCTAGCTGAGTCATATAAATTTCTTCCTCCAACTCTCTATGTAGGAAAGTTGTCTTCACGTCTAGCTGCTGGAGCTCCAAGTCATAATGCGCCACTATTGCTAGTAGCACCTTGATCGAAGTATGTCTGACCACTAGTGAGATAATCTCATTGTAGTACCTCCTTCCCTCTGCGAGATGCCTCGTGCAACAACCCGAGCTTTAAATTTAATGCCCTCTTCTGAACTGATTCCTTCCTTCTTCTTGTAGATCCACTTGTTTGTCACAATCTTCCTTCCTTGTGTCATTTGACTAGCTCCCAAGTCTAATTCCTTTCATGGGTTTCCATCTCATCTCCCATTGCGGCAAGCCACGGATTAGCTTCACCACCCAAAACTGCTTCTCTATAGGACTGTGGCTCTCCTGCATCCACTTCTTCAGCAACATGAAATGAATACGCCACAATGTCCTCAAAGCCATACCTCTGTGGAGGTACTACTACAGTCGCTCTCTTCGGTCCACTGGAAGCCATAGACTGTTGATTTCATGCACTGGACTCTGAAGTTTCTGGCTCTACAGAGACATCTTCATCATGTTGATCTTCTCCACCTTGGTGCTAACTCAATCTCTTTGAGAGTTTGCAGCTCCACTTGTTTATCAACATTCCTACTACCTTCAACAATAGTAACCTTTCAACATGGGGTTAAAGATAGACTTCTCATCAAATATCACATTTCTACTGAGGTATGCTCAGAAGGTGACCAGACTCGAAATCCATTAACTCCATCTCCGTAACCCACAAATACACCCTTCTTTGCCCTTGGGTTCAGCTTACCCTCATCCACATTATAATTAACAGGACACCCATAAACTTTCAGTAAAGAGTAATTAGCAGACTTACCATACCACACTTCATAAGGAGTCTTATACTCGATACCTGTGTGAGGTCCACGGTTGATCAGGAAGCACGCCATGTTCACTGCTTCTGCCCAGAATCTTCTCTTTAGTCCAACATTAGAGAGAATGCACCGTGCTCTCTCCAACAATGTCTGGTTCATCCTTTCTGCAACGCCATTCTATTGGGGGTGCATCTCTAACAGTCCAATGACGGGCAATACCTTCATCCTTGCAGAATTTGCTGAACTCAGAATTGCAGAAATCCAGACCATTGTCCGTTCGCATCTTCTTGATCTTCTTTTTGGTCTGATTCTCCACCAATGTCTTCCACTACTTGAACTTCGTGAAATCCTTAATTTTCTGCTTCATCATGAAAATCCAAGTAAATCTCGAATAATCATCAATAATAGACAAAAAATACATGCCGCCTCCAATGGATTCAACTCGTGAAGGACCCCAACAGTCGAAGTGGAGGTAATCTTATATCCCCTTCGTCCGGTGGATACCCTTCTTGGGAAACTTGCTGCGATGTAGCTTCCCAAACACACAATGCTCACAGAATTCCAAATTCTGCACCTTGTTCCCACAAAGAAGATCCCTCTTCGATAGAACTTGCATCCCTCGTTCACTCATATGCCCCAGTCTCATGTGTCAGAAAGAGGTCATATCTTCCTGATGAACCTAAGACGATGCAAGTGCAGCAGAACCAGACAACACAGACCCTTGTAATGCATACAAGGTCCCACGCTTCACGTCCTTCAGCACCTTCCTTGAGCCTTTGCGGACATACACAACTTCACCTTTTCCTTTAAAGCTGAAACCCTTGCTGTCAAGTAGACTCAAGGAGGTCAGGTTCTTTGTCATTCGTGGAACATGCCTGATATCATTCACGGTACAAAACAAACCATCATGTGTCTGAACCTTTATGGACCCGATTCCAGCAACCTTGCAGATAGCTCCATTAGCCATGACCACGTTACCACCGTCTATCTGCTCGTAGGTTTTGAAACAATCCTTGTTCGGAGACATATGGTACGAGGCTGCAGTATCCAAAAATCACACATCACCGATGTGCCTTCTCATCTACAGCCAATGCGAGATCGTCTTCAGAACTGTTGTCCACTTCTGCCACAGCAACTGAACTGTGGTTCTTCCATTGCCCTCTTCTCCTGGGACAGTTGTACTTCCAATGCCCCACTTCCTTACAGTTGTGACAAACATCACCTAGCTGTGGACTAGGACCATTGGAATTCCAATTCGAATTCCCTTTACCAGATTTCTTCTTTTCCTTTCCACCTGTAACATCCAAACCCGATGCTTCACCACCTCTAACAGAATCAGACGCCTTATGCCTGATCTCTCTCGTGTGAAGAGCAGATCAGACATCCTCCAACGACAAGCTATCTTTACTAGCAATAAAAGAATCCACGAAATTCTCATATGAACTCGGCAAGGACACAAGCAGGATTAGGGCATCATCTTCATCGTCAACCTTAACATCTATATTGCTTAAATCTAGCTAAATAGAATTAAGTTGTCCCAAATGATCCCTCAAAGGCGTACCTTCTTGCATCCTCAAGCTGAACAACCGTTGCTTGAGAAGCAGCTTGTCGGTTAAGGACTTCGTCATATACAGACTCTCCAAATAAACCACATGCCCACGGCAGTCTTCTCAGCAGCCACTTCAATGATGACATCCTCAGACAACGATAGCATGATGGTTAAGTGTGTCTGCTCCTCTAGGGTATTCCACTCATCGTCATCGACCGCTGCCTTCTTCTGTTTCGTAGACAGCGGCCCCCATAGCCCTTGATGTTTCAATAAAGCCTGCATCTTGATCTGCCATATAGCAAAGCTGTTCTTCCCCGTGAACTTTTCGATCTTCATGTTCACCGACGTCATTCTTCAAAATCGAAACCCTAGCTTGACTTCCAGTCGCGGCTCTAATACCACTTGTTATAAATGCGCCGCTATGGATCGGGAAATCACTGGAATCGACAAAGCAAGAATACGAAAGCGGGAAACAAAAACACGACACACGATTTACATGGTTCACTAACATGATGTGTGTTAGCTAATCCACGGGTGAGAGAGAGCCAGTTTCACTATATCGAGGAGATTACAGATTACAGATGAGATTAGAAGTATTTATACTTCTCCATGTGGGTCTAAACTGGTGCATTATAGCACTCATTGGGCCTCGTGGCCGAGTTGGACTTAGTAATTAGGGATTATTATTAGTACATCGTTAGGTAATTATGGTTATTTTTATTAGTTTTATTGTTTACTTGTTGGGTTAGGATTAGTTTACCTTGTTTGAGAGGGAAAGGATTTGTGAGAGAGTCCTATAAATATGTACGTTATTCTTTGGGTTTGATACGTCAATGAATAATAAACCAGTTTAGTAGTATTCATAGTAGTTTTAGGAGTAGAAGTAAAGTAGATTATCGTTCTCTCGACGTATTAGAAACGATAATGTGCTACTGAATTCCTTGCTATGATCAAAACCTAGTTTAATAAAACCGTTCGTGTAGTTCGTTCTGATCCGGGTGGGGAGTTTAGTCTGGGTCCTTCACTGCGTCTCTACCAGTCCTTGGGTATCCTATATCAAAAGTCCTGTCCTGGGGTCTCACAGCAAAATTGGTTAGTTGAGCGCAAAAATCTTCATGTTCTAGAAGTAGCATGTGATCTTTTGCTCTCCTCCTGTGTCCCATCTACGTTCTGGCCTGATATGGTTGCCACTGCTGTTCGTCTTATCAACTACCAGATAACTCCTGTCCTTGACAATACTATTTTGTACTTTCGCCTCTATTCTAAAGCTCCTCGCTATTCCCGTCTTCGAGTCTTTGGGTGTGTCTGTTTTGTTCTTCTTCCACGTTCAGAATGCACTAAACTCACTTCTAAGACTGCTCGTTGTTGTTTTCTCGATTATAGTGATATTCACAAGGGTTACCTATGCTATGATGTGTTCGGATTGCATGTCATGTTGTTTTCCTTGAGAACATGATGTATCACTCGTCCCTTTCGGTGTCTGATCCTTCATTGTTTGACTTGTATCTTAGTCAACCCTCATTGGAAGATGATGATGATGTGCCTCACGATCCACCAGATGATCCGCTGCCCCCCCCCCCCCGACTCTTCTCCCTCTCCACCATCAAGTTCATCTGCCGAAGAGTCTTCTTCACAATTTCCCTCACCTCCTGCTGTTCCTATTCGCCGGTCTAATCGATCTACGCTCAGGGTTCTCCCTGTTCGCCATCTGGATTATGTTACTTACATTGTTGATCTTGTCCCAATTCCTACTCGTTTTTCGCAGGCACGGGGGAATCCTCATTGGGACGCGGCCATGGCCACGAAATTCGATGCTCTTCATGCCAATGAGACATGGGATTTTTTAGCTTGTCCTCCGCCAGAGGTGCCTGTCATTGGCTCCGTATGGGTGTATACCCTGAAGATGCTCCCCGATGGCACCATTGAACGTTACCGGGCTAGGGTGGTGGCACATGGCTTCTGTCAGGAATATGGTATTGACTTTTAGGAGACTTTTGCACCGGTGGCTGAAATGGTTACTGTTCGGTCTCTTCTCGTGGTGGCTTCTATTCGTGGATGGCCACTTTAACAGATGGACGTAAAGAATGCTTTTTTGCATGGCGACCTCAAGGAAACAGTGTATATGGAACGTTCACCAGGTTATCCTCATGGTACCCCAGATAGGTCTGTCTTCTCCGTCGTTCACTATATGGGTTGAAGCAAGCACCTCGTGCATGGTTTGATAAGTTTCACTCTACTATCTTATATCTTGGTTTTCGAGCAGAGTCTTAATGATCCGTCTTTGTTTACTCGACGAACCTCTGCGAGACTCGTTGTGCTTCTCTTATATGTTGATGACATGATAGTGACAAGTGATGATGCTCTGGGTATTTCGGCTCTCACAAGGGCTTAAACGAATCGTTTAGCCTGAAGGAACTCGGTCTTGTTTCTTATTTCCTGGGGTAGGAAGTCAAGCGGTCTTCGGCTGGGATTCTTCTTAGCCAAGAAAAGTATATTACTGATCTTCTTGAGTCTTCCCAGTTTGATTCGTGTAGCTCGGTTTCCACTCCGATGGAGCTTAATTTGAAACTCAGCCGAAAGTCTGGCGATTTGTTGGCTGATGGGGGAAAGCACTATCGGAGTGTGGTGAGCAGTCTTATCTACTTGACCTCTATGAGACCAGATATCGCCTACGCATTTCAGATTGTCAGTTAGTTTATGTCTGACCCTCGTACCGATCACTTGGCTGCGGTTCACCGCATATTACGTTATTTGAAGGGAACGGGGGAGGTTGGTCTTTTCCTTCCATCGACGGGTTCTTTTGAGTTTCAGGCATTCTCTGATTCTGACTATGCAGGTTGCATCGATACTAGACGCTCCACTACGGGGTGGTGTGTTCGCCCCGGTGCATCTTTTCTTTCCTGGCGTTGTAAAAAGCAGGATCAGGTCTCTAAGTCGTCTACTGAAGCCGAGTAGCGTGCTATGTCTGATGTCACATCTGAGCTAGTCTGGCTTCGTCGACTCTTGGAGGACTTGGGTGTGGAGTTTGCTAGACCTTTTCAGCTCTATGTTGACAACACGAGTGCTATCCAGATTGCTACGAATATAGTACTCCACGAGCGCACTAAGCACATCGAGGTCCATTTGCATTATATACATGACTTGGTCAGAGATGGCATTCTTCGGCTGTTCTATGTTACCTCGAAGGATCAGATAGCCGATCTATTAACCAAGTTGTTCACTGCTGCGCGACACTTCTATCTTTCTCGCAAATTGATGATGAGAGATCCTTAACAATTTGGGGAGGCCGTTGATGTATATGTGGGCTCGGCCCAATCCCCCTTAACGTATGTACTGGGTTTGGCGGGTTTGGGATTAGCCGAGAGGCTAGCTAGGGTTTGAGGACCCTAGCTCATATATATACGTATGTAACCTGTATGCTGGAGTCAAGCTGAATAAAAGAATCGTATAGCTTCAGCCGTGGAATAGTCTCGTTCACATTGAACGGGGAAACCACGTAAATCTGTGTGTTCATTATCTTTTCTGTTTGATATTTCGTATTGCCTAACAGAGTTGGACTTAGTAATTAGGGATTATTATTAGTTAATCGTTAGGTTATTCATGTTATTCTTATTAGTTTATTATGTCTTGTTGAGTAAGTTATTGTTTACTTGTTAGGTTAGGATTAGTTTACCTTGTTTGAGAGGGAAAGGGCTTGTAAGAGAGTCCTATAAATATGTTTGTTATTCTATGGGTTTGATACGTCAATGAATAATAAACCAGTTTAGTAGCAATCGTAGTAGTTTTAGGAGTAGAAGTAAAGTAGATTATCGTTCTCTCGACGCATTAAAAACTATAATGCACCATAAACCTAATCCAATCTGGCAAAGGAAACAGTTGATATCGTTTGATTCAAGTCACATCAACACTTTAATATTATTCAGGACATCTAAAACCTTTAGTTTGGTAGGTCAATGGTCCCTTGCCATCTTTTCTTTCTTAATTCCAATTTATTAAACGCTAGCAATGAATACCAGCCAACTGATCAAAGTGCCTAATATTGAATCCAAGTACAGACATTCCAATTGGCAACTTGCTAAGAACTAAGAATCGACCTTGACGATCACCTAGCTAGCTAGGTAGCTACGCATTTCTATCCCTGATATGTATGATACGCTAAGGGTAAAGTTAAAGTAGAGGAATGTTCAGAAAGAAAGATGATTGATGACGTTCAATGTTATTATTTGTAGTTAGTTAAATCTCAAACTATACTTCAAATCACATGTTTAAATTAAACATCTGGCAACAATTTATATTATCGATGCTCGAAATTTCTTGACATAGTATGTTATTTTATAGTCAAGATGTTATATGTCCGGATCCTAATACCTTGACAATACATCAGATTTAGACATAATTTATTATGATGCACCTATTCTTTAGGGTTCACTAAAAAAAATATTCACCAAGTGATAAAATTTACAAGGAAAATCATGCAATTTGCTTTCAAAACCAAACTAATTGAAGTATTGAAAGCCGCAATTCGAATAGGGGGACATAAGTGAAAAACAGGAGAGCAAAATATGAAACGTGGATGGAATGAGTGAGTTACTACAATGGGATCCACTAGTTTTTGTCCGGAGAATTTATTAATCATTTGATATCCACGTATTCTTAGATTTCTGTCCTTTTCCATTTATTTTTCATATCTGCAACAAAATAACGCTAATGTATTTCACTTTTTTGTAGCTAATCTTTGCCATTAACTGCAAGTCGCAAGAAGAGAATCCTATTTTTTTATCGGTTAGCATGCTAAATCTTGTAAGGATTTGGAAAAATGACACCTCTATTAATTATAGTTATTTTTGTATTAAATTTATATTACATTTAATAATCTTTAGCAATTAAAAACTCATATTAATTACATTTCTTTTTTTAACTACCATTGCACCTATATACTGAACTCATATTATTTACGTTTATTTTCGAACTACTATTGTACTGATACATCTACCATTGCACATGTACACTAATACCATTGCACTGATACAACTACTTGTGCACTGAAAAAAGAAAAGTAATTAATATGTATTTTTAATTCATACAGATTATTAAATGCAAGAGAAATTAATTATCTTAAAAATCTATAATTAATAGGGCATGTCATTTTTCCAACCCTTTTAGGGGTAGGCATGCTATCTCATCATTTTTTTTTTGTGCTAATGATAGGTATTAGTTGTTAAGTACGTTGTAGTATTCGTCTATTTTTCCCTAATAAATCTGTTTAAGGGAAAGGACAAAAGTCCTACGAACGTTCACACTTCGCAGTTTGTAATTAACTAAACTTCTGCGACATGCGAGCTAGCTAACAAGACCAGACTACCAGTAGCTGGATCGATGAAGTTAATAAACAGCTTATTAATCAAGTTGTAAAGTGCAGTCGCGACTCGCGCGTACTAATTAGTGGGTGATGGTCAGTGGGGAGGTGCATGCTCGTAGCTAGCTAGCTATGGGAATATTGTATAAATCGAATCCTAACTTTCAGTTCAGGGTCACCTTGGTACGATATTGTTCGATTTGTAACAAATCCGCATGGATTTACTATTGGATTCTTTTCTCATAATGTCTCGTACTAATTGGAGTAGGTGGACACTTATATACAATGATCAATTCCCTTATATTTTTGATGTGGTAATTAGATTGTAGTATAACAATCTTCACCTCAAAATAAGGACCACAACTTGATGACATCCCCACAACGGTTAACTTGATCTGTCAAACAACTTGTGTCGAAAGGCTTTTCGGTACAAGGATTTACTAAATGCAGATCCCCCCTTGATCCAACAGGCAAACGCAAATCTCACCTGGATCCGCCAAACAAATGCGAATCTCCTTTGATCCGCCAGACAAATGCATATATCAATTCTCGAGGTCACCGAATAAGAGTACTGAGTACACCAAACAGACATCCATTGTCCCGAATCAAATGCGAATCTCCTTTGATTCGACAGACAAATACACATCTCAATTCCCGAGGTTACGAATAAGGATCCACCAAACTGACATCCATTGCCCGAAATCGAAGCCAAACTAGGCTATGATACCACATGTTGAAATAAGATGCTCTATTAATACGATATTATCCCTTTTGAGTCACATCCGAAAAATTTACTTTTAGCCTCCTTCCCAAAAAGTTTCGTTACAGTGGAGTTTGATTAACACTCTTATACAATGATTTTTTTCTCTTGTATTCCGATGTGCTACTTAATTGTACCATAACAATATATTGAAGGTGGTTTATATATACATGAACCAAAAAAAATGGGTGCATATATACTATGCACCCCTCATTAATAGTTTTCTTTTACTTTTGAATTTAAATTTTGATGAATAACATTAGTTGCAAGACGATAGAACATAAACTATAACTAATCCAATGCCCTCAACCTTAACTAATCCAATGCCCTCAACCTTAACCGTAAGCCTTAAAAATACAAGTAGTTTCTAAATTATTTTCGTGCAAATCCATATACTTTTTTGTTCATTGTATTGCGAATTAAAGATTAAGATAACATTTTTACATGAATTGTCTGTTCATAATTATCATATAATAGGTGAATAAGAGAATGTAGTGAAGTAAAAATTATATATATGTATGTATATCCCTAATGATCTGGTCGTAGGATCTACTTTGAGGTACTTTGGTAGATCATTTCGAGTATGTCCAGTCACTTTTATTTAGTGCACAATATGCATTGACATTGAACCTGAAAATCTCATATTCGAAATTTTCAAGTTCGAATTCAAAGTAGCACCTAATAACAATAAAAAAATTATATCGCCCTTATAAAAATAAATTATATGCATTCACATCATAGTCATCCATCTAAGTAGGCAATTAATATCAAAATAATGTTAATTATCATTATCATCCAAAGAAATTCCCTCTTTCTTAATTTTTTTTTTTTTTTGTGCGAGATTTTTTTATCAGTAATAATAAATAAAATAATAAAAGATATAGACAAAATCCCAACCAATAAGACCGAATGCCTTTCGACAAAAAAACAAGAAAAAAAAAGACCGATTGCTCCGGCCAGTAAGTTACCTGAATCGTCTCCAATACATCTGCATTTTCTGAATGTATACAATACTCACGTTCCTTTTTACATCATAAAGATTGTTAATGGTTCCAATTAATTGGACTTCTAAAATTTATTTTATGAATAATTGTACGATTTCAATCAGATTGTTGGAATTGCTTAGATGAGGGTTTTTTCTTTATACTTTAACCTTTATAAATTACTTTCGACCCAGTGAATGCGGAAAATTTCTGCATTGACTAAGTATGGGACATGTATGGTTTTAGACTCCCCCACCTTATAACCATATCCAAACCCAAACCCGCTCCACCAAAAATATTTTATTATATGTAGAAATATAAGGAGTTTATTATAACTTTTCTATGGAAGGAACTAGGAAGCGTAACTAAAAGAAAAGAAATAAAGAATTAAAATGTAATTGATCGATGGCAACCAAATCGTAATTTCATCTTCAATATACCTTAGCCCTTTAGGCCTTCACTCTGTGAATTGCTTCATGAGCCTTCTCTTGAGTCTTGACAGTGAATTACTTCCTGGGCCTTCCCTCACATCTGGTTAATGAGAAGAAAATGGTAGTTCCATTGTGAGTAGAGCAGGGTTACAGAGTAGTTCTACTTGAGAAACTGCATAGTGGCAATTGAAATGTTTACAGATAAATTCAGTCTTATGTATTTGGGAACTGCCTTTGTTTGTTAGTCTTGAATCTATTTACTTTTGTGGTTGTGGCAGATCTGCAAGGTCTCCATTGAAGCTTGTATCTAGATTTTCTAAATGGCTTATTATTGACCATGCATGCTCTGCATACTCTTATGTATCAGTTCCATATTTTTGGACTAGTAGTACCCATACTTTTCACCATATTTATTTTATTGACGATGACTAGCTAGTTGATCTATGGGGTATAGGGATATGTTTGTAAAACCTTTCACCGCATGGGTATGGGGCATGTATGAGTTTAGGTTTAGGTATTTTAAAATGGCGATGGGGATGCTTAGGCAAACCCATCTCATTGCCATCCCTAGATACAACCGTACAAGTGACGTTTTCATTAAAAGTGACTTGCCTTTTTAACAATTGAAAAAACAATCACATATACCAAACATTGTAATCTACAATAACTAAATTCAGCAATATATATTATAATACATGCATTGATCACAATACATCAATTTAACAATCTGAGAAACCAAACAATCCCATAAACACATCACATGAAGCAATAAAAAGTAAAGATAGAAAAATATCAACACCTTCTCTCATATTTCTCTCCCCTATCTCTTCTAAATGACGACTGATCTTCTAATGTTCTAGGGTGCAATAGCCGCTATGGTAGCAGATGGGGGATCAGTTGATTAGGCTTAGTTGTTTGGCGTTGTAGAAGGAATTCGCCTACAGTTTGTTCAACCAGATGTATCTGCTAGGGCAATTCGATGGCGATTCAGGAAGCTAGGGCAATTCGATGGCGAGAAACCATAATGAGTTGTTTTTTCTTATATCCATCGACGCTTCAAGCGATTCAATCCTGAGAAAATCATATGTGGGGGAGGAAGAGTCCTATTCAGGTTTCACATTTTGGTGATTCTCTATCTATTTCATTTTTCTAACTAAACCATGAGAACTTTGTTTTTACAAAGGGTCATTGGCAGAGTCAAAATGTCTCTTTATTCTAGTGTTGTTGGACCCCTAGGATTAAGCCCCTTGATATGCAGCTCTCATCCTTGCCTATAGTGTCTGGGTGTGCATTCTATGTATTCTGCTGGAATATCACACTGTTGATGGTTTGAGTAAGATAGCAAGTCTCTTACAGGTTCTAGTGTGGATAGACCAACCAACAAGGTTAGGTACTCATATAGTTGTGGCGAAGGTTTGTGTGGAGTTGATGGTGCATGTCAGTTTCCAGAAGAATATCAAAGTATAGCCTAAGGGTGAAGCTATGTTTGCCCTATGTGCGTAGTTAGGATGCCCATGCAATTGTAACTAGGCATTTAAAAGGGTGGGATCATATGAATAACTATAACATGTCAGCTTCGGGTCGATTCTTGTTTTTTTATAAATGTTTTGAAGCTTCTTTGTTGTAATATGTTGAGCATTTTCATCGTGTTAGAGTGCTTATTTGAGATTAAAATAGTGTGGTTACTATTTTCAATTGCCCAACCAAGGAAGTTAGTACACTGAATATGTATGAGGAGCTTAATGTTTGTACTTTTCGAGTGTGGTTGTGGCTTCTCTAAGAATCATTGCTTTTGGAATTGGAATGGAGATACGCAATTAGTAGACCATTTAAATTTCAAAGTCATGGTACACCTGGTGCAATAAATGGAAAACATACCCTATACGAAGGAGTATTGATCGAGCGATGACTTATGACCACTGGTTGGATGTTTACAAGTCTAGTTTTATGAGGATAATCAACCTTGGAATGTCACATCACTGTGGATTACTTCTTTCTACTTTTGTGGCACTAAAGAGCCTGCCTGAAGCTTTAAAAATCTTCAAAATTTGGATAATGCACCCTTATTATGCAATTGTTTTTCATGATGCTTGGTTTATCCCTGTAGTAGCTAATACTAACCCAAGCTCTAAATGTTCCATTAGGGTGCATTAATTTAAGAAAGGGTTAAAGTAGCTAAACCACACTCACCACTTAGATATGTCATATTGAGCTTCTAAAGCTAAGCTAGCTTTTGTTTTTTATCAGGAGGCAATTTTCTCTGATCCTATTGAATAAAATATAAAATATTGACAAGTTGGTGTTGGCTCAAGAATGTCATGATGCATATGCATTAGAATAACATTTCTAAATAAAAATCTTGAGAAGAGTGGGTTGCATAGGAGATGCTAATACATTCTTCTTCCACAAATATGTCAAGATCTGCACTAAACAAAGCCATGGAACACCTATATTCTGATGAAGGCGACCTCAATACTAGTGTCTAGCATATAGGGTAGATAGGTGTTAATTTTTAAACAAAATCTCAAGGGAAGTGAATACTAAAGTTGATCGCGATTTTTTTCTTCTTCTCAAGTTGAAGCCAAAATATATGGGGTGCTGGGAGAAGTTGTCACTAGATAAGAAATCAAGTCATCGTCCACGTGATGACTTCATATAAGGCTCATGTACTGGATGGGTAAAATGTTTATTTTTACAAGGCTAATTGCAGCTTGATTGGTCAGGATGTTGCTCTCAGCATCTATGTCTCGTGTTGCAATGTTCTTTATAAAGTTACCTATAAGATATAAACGAGTAGGTTGGCTAAGGTTCTCCCTCAACTCATAGGAATCTCACAGTGTGCCTTTGGAAATGGTCTCCTTATTAGTGACAATAGTTGATGGCATCGAAACTGATCAAAGACTATCATAAATTCTACATTACTCCTTAGTTTGGTAAAAATTGACATACTTAAGGCTTTTGACTTGGTGATTTTTGGGTACTTTGCAATATGTAAAGGGTTAAGGCATAGGGATCCATAGTCCTCTTACCTTTTACCATGGCTATGGAAGTATTTTTTTTTGCATTTGTACAAGGTTGTTGTGGAGGAGAATATCCATTTCCACCCCCTCGGAAATAGTCAGAAGTCACCCACGTGTGCATTGCAGATGATGTCCTAGTGTTTTCAAATGGTTATGTTAGTGGATAGTTATTAGATGTGTGTTGATTGAAGTATATCAAATTTACAGTTTACTCTATAGAAAAGCCAATTTTTTAAGGAGGTATTTATGATAATTGGAAGATATTTATCTTTTCTAATATCCCTTCAGTAAGATATCTGAGGTAACTATTATCTCTTGTAAACTTACCAAGGCTAGTTATCGAATGCTTGTTGAGAAAATTACATCTATGATTTGGGGTAGGCATTCTAATCTTCTAAGTTCTGCAGGTGGCTCCAGTTTGTAACTCCTGTAATCTCTAGTGTGTTGCAATATTGGATAAATAGATTTTTTGGATAATTGTAGAATAAAAAACTCGACGTTTTCTCTCTTTCTTTCTCTCTTTATGCACTTAGCTCTCGTCTAACGGCCTCTCCTTTTGACGTGTGGTTCTTGCCATTGGCATTTACCGAGGAGCATTCGCCGTTCGTTTCTCATTCTTTGGTAAGCGCTCCTCACTGTCGGTTCTCTGTGTTTCTTCATTTTCTTTGTCCTATTTTCCTCCTATGATCCAAATCTAGCAACCATGGGATCGAAAATGGCAAAGTCCTAGGCGGATATTTTTTGGTATAGTAGAAGGAAGTAAGTTGGTTTATATTGAACCAGAAATCATCAACAATGGCCTTTCGCATCCCAGAAGAACTCATCTAGGAAGGGATCCCAAGGTGGTCAAATTGCCTCGTAGGGAAATTTTCATTCCAAGCCTCATATCAAGAAATTGCAAATTTGGGTGAATTGCCAATGAGGGAAATCGTGTCGAATTGGGGTTTTCTGATTGGATGATAATCTCTTCCTAAGCAGGCCTTGAAACTTTCAGAACGATATGTGTTTCTTGCGAAAATGGAATAAAGTATTTGAGCTATTGAATGTCGTTACATTGTTAATGTTTGGGTGAATCTCCATTACCTATTGGCTGAATATGTCACTAGTAGAGTACTTACACATTTTGAGAGTATGTTGGGGCTTCCCCTATGGCTGGATCAATCTACGAGATTGGGAAGGCGAGTTGGGTACCCAAATTTTTTTGTTGAAATGAAGATTGATTCTAAGTTCACTGAGACATTGAAGATAGTTCCAGATTGTAGGCCAACTTTCATGGTCCACATAGAATTTCTAAATCTACCTAAAATTTGTAAGAAGTGTAATGTCTCAAGACATACCTGTGAGGAGGTGATAGCTCAAGAAGAGGTAAATAGTAGGATGGAGACTAAGGAGATTGAGAAAAAAATCAGGTGGCTAAATTTGTGGCAAGAACACTAGTAGCTTAAATGCTTTCCAAGCAGGAGATTCTAGTTGAGGCGCAAGCTGAAACAAGTGACCAGGGGCATAGAAATTTAAACCATGTTGTGGCCAATCTGGTAGCTTTTATGGAACCAAATCCAGCATGGAATGCGACAAGGCTTCCTATTGATGGGGAGTTTCTTACTACAGTCACACAAGAAAGCAGTCCTAAAAAAGGTAATTGGTTTGCAGCTCTTTCATCTCTAGGGAAGTTTGAGGATGGGGGAATTGTTGTATCTCCGGTAAAGAACAATGTGGAGTTCCCAGGATTATAGTCTATTATACGTAAAGAGGTTTTCCAAGGTAAGAAGAGGCCTGGGAGGCCACCAAAAGCAAAGTCTAAATGAAATTCCTCGTTTGGAATATCAGGGGTTTTAATAATATTGAGAAGCAAAGTTTTATAAGTAGTATACTAAGAAAGGAGAAATTTGATCGAGCATCTATAATTGAAACTCGTGTCATTCTAGAAAATGCAAAGAAAATTGTGACAAAAGAGTTTGCGGAATGGAGGTTTCAAGATAACTACTCACAGTCAAGTCTGGGAAGGTTTTGGGTATTATGGAATCCCTCACTTCAGTTTACTGTATTAGATGAAAAATACCAGTATATACATGGCTATGCAATTAAGGATGGTGCAAGGATGTTCTACTCCTTTGTTTATGGTTCGGATGATTTGGGGCAGAGGTATCAGATGTATGTGCAAATTCAGAGTAACAAGATTATCAGTGAGCCTTGGATGGTGCTTGATGACTTCAATGCAATCATGAATGAATCTGAATCCTCAATTCTAATGTACATGGGACCAAGTACTAGAAACTTTAAAGACTAGATTGATCAGATGGAGTTGGAAGACTATAAGATGGTAGGGCCTTGATATACCTGGACTAATAAAAAGGAGGGTAGACTTATTGTGAAAAGACTGGATATGTCCTTCGAAATTTATTTTATGAAGCAATTGACAAAAGTTTGACACTATCATAGTTCAAATCTCTCGGACTATATTTATGGCTTCACTCAAAATTTCTACCTACGAGCAAAGGGAACAAAGCCTGCAATATCCAAACGAGGAAGCTAGTAGACTGGATTTGTATGAGGAGCTTAATGTTTGTAAGAGGGATGATCTTCCATGGGTCTTCATGGGCAATTTCAATGTCATAGCTAAACTTAGGGAAGTATTAGATGTGGTTGTTGTTTCTCGAAGATTCATTGATTTTCGGGATTAGATGGATGATAAGAAGCTAATAGAACATAAGGTTTCAAGGTCATAGGACACCTGGTGGAATAAACAGTAAGCAAACCATATAGCCAGGCGTATTGATCGAGTTTCATATCATTGTGGATTGTTCCTCTCTACTTTTGGGGCACTAAAGAGCCTAACTGAACCATTAAAATTTTCAAATTTTGGAGAATGCATTCTCACTATGCCATTAATATTCTTCATTATGCTTGGTTTATCCCAGTACTAGCTAGCAGTACTGATAAAATCGTTAAATTTTCCATTAGGCTGCATCAATTCAAGAAAGGGTTAAACTAGCTTAACCACACTCACTACTTAGATATTTCATATTGGGCTCGTAAAGATGAACTGACTCTTGTTGCTTAGGAGGCAGTTTTGTGTGATCCTACGAAAAAAATATTGACAAGAAGTTGGGGTTGGCTCAGTAATGCCATAATGCACAGGCCAAAGAGGAACGTTTCTTCCAAAATAAGTCTAGAGTATAGTGGGCTGTAGAGAGGGATGCTGATACATACTTATTCCATAAATATGTGATGAGAGGTGTAGAAGATGTTATAATGAAGGGTCAATGATGCCTCTATTCAAGCTAGCAGCCATAATTAGATATGAAGTGGAATGTCTTGTAGGCGTAGCTTATAATTATGATTTAAATACTAGACTTTCTCATAAATATGATAAAGACATGTATTACAACTCCCATGTTTAGTGTAGCTATCAAAGGTTGGCTTTGTGGGGATTTTGCAACATCTAAAGGGTTCGAGCATATGGATTCATAGTCCCCATAGATTTCAACATAGTTATGTAAATTTTATTATTGTTGTACAATGTTGTTTTATAGAAGAAGATCCCTTTTGCACCCTTATTATAAATATTTGATAATAACTCATGTGTTCTTTGACATAATTCTATCAAATTTCTAACGTAAAGTTTACTCCAGAGAAAAACCAACTCTTTTGTGGAGGTATTTTGTATAATGAGAAAGAGATTTATCTATGATAATAAATGGTTTCTACTTATCTCGGGTACATCTTATTGTTGAGAACAGCTCGGCAAAGACGTGAGCAAATCACAACCAAATGATTCATTTCTCTTATGGAAAGCTGGGATTTCGAAAAGGAAGCAAACAAGTAAAGACGCTGGCACACATCAAACGACTCCAAGATGAAGGTCATCATATATATATATATATATATATATATAGGTAGAGTGATAGAAATAGAAGACACACTTTTCAAGGTTGCAAAATCAAGATAGCTACGGGTTGTGAGTGTGAGATTTTGTGAGAAAAGTCTGTCAGAAGATTGGGTTGACTTCTGGGTTCTAGTACTGGGTTGTATAAGGGATCTCTGTTAGCTGTGTAGTTAATAAAGGGTTTCAGGAGAGTGGATCGATTGAGTTGGGTAGCCGATCGATTAGGGACTAGTGAGCAGTGTATAATCTCAAAGAACATCAACGTCAAATTCATAGTGAAACGTCAGAGAGCGATAGACGCGTAGCTCCAACCGTGGACTAGTCAACGTTGGAAACCACGTAAAATTTTTGGTGTGTTGTGTTCTCCTTTGTGAATTCGGTTTGATTTCCAGTTCATGCTCTATTTTTGGTTTGTTCTTGTGTCTTGAAAGTGCAGGGGAAGTTTGATTTCAAGAACCAACCAAGTTGCCTGCGGAAGTTGTAGTTGATACGGTGAGTTTTGGTTATATTGGACGGAGTGTGTGTGATAGTGGGCTCTCGTATTATTTGGGAAGTATAACTTTGGGCCTATTACATTGAAATAAGCCTACGTGATCTGTTAAGGTGAAAACATCATAGCAGTACTTGTGTTTATTCCATTCTGATCAAACATACATTTCTCTTTGTTCTTTCACTTGTTCTTGCCGAAAAGGTTTCTGTTTCTGCAGAACCCTCTCAATTGAATCCAAGGATCGAAGAAAAGGGAAGACTACATCTCGCGCTCGACTCCCAACACGTGGTATCAGAGCCCGACTCCGTCAAAGAAGATCCTACGATCTCCGGAGATAAAAATATGGTGTCCGCATCTGAAAGTGGAGCTGTGTTGTAACTTGCCAATGGATTCTCCCAGAATCGCCCACCTAGGTTGGAAGGAGTCAACTACGGCTACTGGAAGAATCGCATGGAGCATTTCATCGGATCCACAGATCCTAAGATTTGAGACAGAGTTCTTGATGGCCCTCTTTAGGTTAAAGTCGATCGAGGGAAATGGACGAATGAAATCGAGACAAGCATCAGCAAAATTGCAAGGCCACAAATCTTATGTATTGTGCTCTCGGACCAGAGGAATATCATAAAGTATCACACTGTAAAACGGCGAAGGAAATCTGGGACAAGCTTCAGGTTACCTATGAAGGCACTTCGCAGGTAAAAATCTCACGCATCAACACTCTAAAGACGGAGTTCGAATTGTTTAAGATGGCAGAAGAATAATCTATTAGGCAGATGTATGAGCGGTTTACAACAACAATAAACAGCGTGGAGAATATGGGTATCACATATGAAAGTGGTGATCTGATAAGAAAACTTCTCTTGTCTTTGCCCAAGAAATGGGAAGCCAAAGTCACCTCAATTAAGGAAGCAAAAGACTTGAGCAAGTTGCATGTCGATGAGTTAGTTGGGTCGCTGACTATGTATGAAGGAAAACTAAAGAGGGAGATGAGTGATGATCAGAAGAAGGAAAAACGGGGAATAACATTGAGAGTAAGCAAGCAAGAAGAAGGGGAGTCAGATAACTACGACGATATGGATGACGATGAACTCGCCATGCTAAGTAAGCATATCACGCAACTCATAAGAATGAGGAAAGAAAGAAGACGAGGAAGCTTTCTGAACCATCACAAGGAACGAGAGGCTGAGAAAGATCAAAGCTTTAGGAAGCAAGGCTCAAATCAGATAAATCTTAAAACAAGAAAGGAGAGTGGTATGATAGATAAAAATCTGGGTGGTTGTTACAAGTGTGGAAGACAAGGTCACCTAAAGGTTGAATGTCCATTGTGGAAAAGAGAGAAAGCTATGGCTGCAACATGGAGTTGTAGCGAAGATGACGAAGATGAATATGAAGAACAATCTCATAGGAAAAACACTTGCCTAATGGCAATCGATGACCATATTGATACAGAAGGATGCTCGCTAAGAATGCATAGTCGACCCATGGAGGTAAGTACAAATATCTCTGAAACTTTTAGTGAATCAGATTATTATAGCGAGGATGATCAACTAGCTAGCACAATCAGGAGTATACAAAAGGAGTTTGTTGTGGTTAAGATAAAATATACCAAACTAAAGGAAGATCATGCTAAAATAAGATACGAATATAATCTAGCCTATGAAAAGATTATGAATTACGAAGAGGAATGTAAGCATATGACAAACATAGTAGTAGAACTAGATTCAGATAAATCCAGATTTAGTGAATAATTAAGATTATGTAAAGAGAAAGGGATTAGTAAGGTCATTGGCTACTCTAATACAAGAAAAAGGCAGATTTATGCTAGAAAAGCTGTAGAATACTTTATTGCCATAAGGAAGGACATATGATTAAGAACTGTAGTAAACGTGTATATTCTGAAAATCGGAAAAGATCGTTGAATGGCTCAAGTGTTACCTCAGAATTTCCATGTCATAATTTTTACAAAAGAATTGTACCCAAGCTAGTCTGGGTACGAAAAACAAGTTGACTGCTAATGATGCAGGTCTGTCTTCAAGTGAGCTTGGAGACAAACCAATGGATACTCGACAGTGGATGCTCACACCACATGACTGGCAATTTGAAACTATTCACACAATTTACATAGGTAAGGAAGGTAAGGTTTTCTTTGGAGATAATAACTCTGGCCAAATCATAGGAAGAGGTACAGTAGGTTCAGGTCCTAGTATAACTAACGTAACGTTAGTAGATAAACTCAAACACAATCTAATGTCCGTAAATCAAATCTATAAAATGGGAAATAGGATAGTGTTTGAAGCTGATATTTGCTATATAGAGAGTATTCCTACCAATAGGGTGTTTCTCACTGGCCATCGAAAAGGTAAGGTATATATGATAAATCTAGATAGTAAAATTGTGCCAGAAGAGTTATGTTTAATTACCTCTAGCAAAGATTCACATTATGAATGGCATAAGAGATTAGGCCATATTAATGTAGGTGTTCTGTCAAATCTGGTAAATTTAGATCTGGTTTGAGGGATTCCTAAGATTAAAAAGCAAGAAAGACTTTTTCTGTGACGCGTGTGCAAAAGGGAAACACCACAGGTCTTCTTTCAAGAACAAAATTGTAATCTCAACCAGCAGAGTACTGGAGCTACTTCATCTTGATCTCTTCGGCCCTACAAATGTGGTAAGCTACAGAGGTAAGAGTTATGCTTTCGTGATAGTAGATGATTACTCACGTTTCACTTGAGTTTTGTTTCTTGCTAGCAAAGATGAGGCTTTTGAAAATTTTTGGTTTTTAACCAAGAAATTAGAAAATGAGAAACAAACTAAAGTAGGAAGCATTAGGAGTGATCATGGAGGTGGGTTCATTTCAGATAAGTTTGAGACTTTCTGTAATAATGAGGGCATCCATCATAATTCTCTACTCCTAGGACCCCACAAAAAAATGGAGTAGTGGAGCGTAAGGACAGAACATTAATTGAAATTGCTCGGACCATGTTAAATGACTTTAGCTTACCTAAACACTTCTGGGTCGAAGCTGTTAATACTGCTTTCCACACTATAAACCGAGCCCTAGTAAGGTCTGGCATTAAAAAACTCTCTATGAAATTTGGAAGGGCAGGAAACCCAACTTGGGGTATTTTCATACTTTTGGATGCAAGTGTTTCGTGTTGAACACCAAGGATAATCTTGGGAAATTTGATGCTAAGTCAGACGAAGCTGTGTTTCTAGGATATTCAGATGTGATTAGAGCTTATCGGGTATTTAACAAAAGGACTCTCAAGGTTGAGGAGTCCATAAATGTTATTTTTGATGAATCTGTTTATGAGAGTTCAGAAGAATTTGATGATGATGAAGACTTCTGATTGGGAATAAGAAACATATCTGCAGAAAAACCAGTTGTTATAAGTGAAGAAAATGACACAAGAACTGCAACAATTTCAAGTGGTGAGAATGAAACAGTTGGAGACAAACCCAAACCTGAAGAATTACATCCTTCGCAAACGACATCCTCCATCATTGGTCATAGGTAAGATAACCGAAGGTATGGTCACTCGATCTAAAGCTATTCCTAGTCATAGTACTTTTGTGTCCTTAATTTAACCAAAGTCAGTAGCTGAATCCTTACTAGATGAATTTTGGTTGGAGTCTATGCATGATGAGATTAATCAATTTGAAAGGGCAAAGGTTTGGGATTTAGTACCTAAACCAGAAGGTGTTAATGTCATAGGGACAAAATGGATCTACAAAAACAAATCGAACAATATAGGTGAAATTACCAGGAATAAATCTCGGCTTGTGGCTCAAGGCTACTGCCAAGAGGAAGGCATTGATTTTGAAGATTCATTTGCTTCGGTATCCAGGCTAGAAGCTATTAGGATGTTATGTTCCTTTGCTAGTTTGAATGGGTTTAAACTTTTTCAATTGGACTTAAAAAGCGCATTTCTAAATGGTGATTTTAAAGAAGATGTTTACGTTGCTCAACCCCCTGGTTTTGAGGATTTTAAATTTCCTAATCATGTTTACAAGCTAAAAAAAGCTCTCTATGGTCTTAAACAAGCTCCTAGGGCTTTGTATGAAAAATTGAGCAATGTTCTAATTAACAATGGTTTTCACAAAGGTTCGGTTGACAAAACCCTCTTCACTAAAACAAAGGGATAAAAAATTCTATTAGTACAGGTATATGTAGATGACATAATTTTTGGCTCTTCAGATTTAGATCTTTGTAAAGAATTTGAACGTATCATGAAAGAGTCTTTCGAAATGAGTTTGATGGGGGAACTAACTTACTTCTTGGGTCTTCAAGTGAAACAGTGTCCTAAAGGCATCTTCATAAGTCAGAGCAAATACCTCAGTAACATGATGACTCGCTTTGACCTAGGCAATCTGAAACCAGATTCCACTCCTATGGCCTCCAATGTTAAATTAGATAAGGATGAATCTGGGATTAGGGTCTCCGAAAGGCTGTATAGAGGCATGATCGGTGCTTTATTGTACTTAACAGCTAGTCGTCCAGACATTATGTTTGCAGTATGTTTGTGTGCGCGGTTTCAAAGTTCTCCTAAAGAAAGTCACTTAACTGCAGTCAAGTGTATTTTCCGATATCTGGTGGGAACTGCTTCCTGGGGTCTTTGGTATTCAAATAGTTCAAGTCTAGATCCCATAGGATATAGTGACTCAGACTTTGCCGGTAGTTTGACTGATAGGAAGAGCACTTCTGGAGCGTGTCATTTCATGGTAACGTCTCTTATTTCTTGGTTTAGTAAAAAACAGAATTCCGTAGCTCTCTCCACAGTCGAAGCAGAGTACGTTGATGTCGGGTCTTGTTGCGCGGAGATCCTTTGGATTAAGTATCAACTTCAAGACTATGGTCTTAAGTTTGACTCTCCTCCTGTCCTCTTTGATAATACTAGTGCGATTAACATCGCTAAAAACCCTATTCAACATTCCAGAACGAAACATATAGATGTTAGTTATCATTTTATCAGAGAACTGGTAGAATAGAATAAGATTCATCTTGAGTTTATTCCTACACATTTCCAATGGGCGGATATCTTTACAAAACCTCTAGTTGCGGATCAGTTTGCTCATATTCGTCGGAAAATAGGTATGGTGTCTCTTGATGATATCTCTTCCTAGTGCAGTTACAACTGTGACTTCTTTACAGTCACAGCTCAAGCTTATGAAACCCTTCATGCTCCTCATCCTTCCCATTCCATCCCACTTTACCATTTCTCATCGTCCCACCAGTTATCAAATCCAGCTCTACCCTTCATGCATCTGTTGGCGTCCGTAAGCTTTGCAAAGGGGAGATGTATCATAAGACCTCTCACAAGAATTGGCAGCTTATTCTAAGGGGGAGACTTAGTGGGTGAAAATCTTTCAGATGGGTACATATCTGAATATGAATCTGATCTTGAGTGTGTTTTTTAAGTAGTCGTACGAGAGTGAGGGGGAGAGTGTTTTCAGCTTGCGTGAGTTGAAACATTTGATTTGTTGGTTGACTAGGAATGTTGGTCTTGTTTGTTTTGGATGTTTGGTTTTGACTGTTTTTGTCTCTTTTCTTGATTTTCTTTAAATGATGGATAAGTGTTTGTGGTGTGATAAGACTATCTGTGTACTTTCATATAATCTGTGTTTCTAGCATGTCTTGTGATTAGCTACATGTATGGTCTTTGCCAAGGCTGAGGGGGAGATTGTTGAGAATAGCTCGGCAAAGACGTGAGCAAATCACAACCAGCTCGGCACACCAGCGGGAGAATAATCAGGGGAATCAATCAAACGATTCATTTCTCTTATGGAAAGCTGGGATTTCCATAAGAGAAATCCCAACGTTGGAAACCACGTAAAAATTTTGGTGTGCTATGTTCTCCTTTGTGAATTCAGTTTGATTTCCAGTTCATGCTCTGTTCTTAGTTTGTTCTTGTGTCTCGAAAGTGCAGGGGAAGTTTGATTTCAAGAACCAACTAAGCTGCCTGCGGAAGGTGTAGTTGATATGGTGAGTTTTGGTTATATTGGACGGAGTGTGTGTGATAGTGGGCTCTCGTATTATTTGGGAAGTATAACTTTGGGCCTATTACATTGAAATAATCCCACATGATCTGTTAAGGAGAAAACATCAGAGCAGTACTTGTGTTTATTCCATTCCGATCAAACATACATTTTTCTTTGTTCTTTCACTTGTTCTTGCCGACAAGGTTTCTGTTTCTGCAGAACCCTCTCAATTGAAGCCAAGGATCGAAGAAATTGGAAGACTATGTATCGCGCTCGACGCCCAATACTTATCTCTAGTAAACTTACCAAGGCTAACTGTCAAATGCGTGTTCATAAAATCACAACTAGGGTTCAGGGTTGTCATTTTAAGCTTCTTAATTATGAAGGGGGCTCTAGCTTGTAACTCATTTCATCCCAAGTTTGTTTTAATACTGAATGAATATTTTTCTTCTTCCACGGTGCGTTCTTAGAGACTTAGATGCAAGCTTCCCTTTTACAATGGTCGATCTAAAACTCTTGTAACTTGGAAATATGTGGTTATATTGAAGGAAAAAGATAAACTTTGCGTCAAAGACTTCAGAGTATGGAACAAGGTTTGTGTCATTAGACACATGTGGGATGTTCTGGCAGGAAGTTGCTATTTTGGGTTGTCTAGATTAGAAAGTACATCAACACTTATTTGGTATCATTTGGTTTGGGGTAAGTTTTTTTTATCTCTAAGCATAGTCTTTTGAGTTGCTCATTATTACGAACATAAGTGTTACTACAAGACATTATACTTTCTTGGATAATGACTCGTGATATCATGTGTATGTTGTGCCTTTTAGGGTTGGAATGTCGGGACCAATTGTTTGTCGTTTGCCCCTACACGCTTTATGTTCTGCAAATCTGTATTTCTGCTTCCACTCCTCTCCTTAGATGTTATGATTGTAATGCTACTTTAACTTGGGTAGTCTCTTTTTAGAAATGAAGCACTGATACTACAAGAACTAGGAAACTCATTTGGACCATGGTAATGATCCATGAATGGAACGAGAGGTGTAGGAGATGTTATGGTGAAGGGTTTGTGATGTCTCTCGTTAAGCTAGTAGACATAATTCGATCTAAAGTGTAATGTCTTGCAGCATATCGTTCTTATTTAAGCACTAGAGTTTCTCATATTCGGTTTTGAACAGTTTTATCATAGTCGGTTATTCTTTTTTGGCAAAAAACATTTTCATAACCATAACTATTCGCGTTGTGACAATAATAGCCAATTTTTAAAAAACAATTACACTAAAATAGTCATTCCGTCCATAACTTTAGCAGAAATATCCAAGCTGCTGACTAGACTAACCTTTTTGGTGACGTGGTATTTTTAGTTAAAAAACAATACAAGTGGAAATGGCTATTTTCTTATATTGTAATAAAATGAAAAAACATAGATGGAAGCAACTAGATGCCTCCTCTCACCGCCTTCACCAAGCTTCCTTGGGTGTCTACATGCAGAAAGAAGAAGAACAAACAAAATCAACGAATCATCTCCTCCTCCCACCGTCGTCACCAAGCTTCCTCTGATAGGCATTTTTGGTTTGGAATCTAACCGCTGCTCAGGAATTTCTAACTCTAATACAAAAAAAATCCCTAATTTTTAAAACAAAGTGTTCTCTTCCAATCAATTGAAACTAAACCCTTAATCGAAAGTTTAGGGAACCAGAGAAAGAAAAAGGGAAGGCTTTTGTGAATGGAGATGAGTTAATTGCCCATAGGAGATCGCAAAGGCCATGCGGCCATATTCTCCCTCTATCTCTCTCTCTCTCTCTCTCTCACATCAGTCATCGCTCCAAATCGATCCGCAGATGCCTTCCAGCTCCAAATCGCTCCAAATCGACCCTCACACTGCATTATCCCATCTCCCACAACCCACACCGAGAGAAAAGAAGGCACAGCCAAGAAATTCATCACCCATGGCCGTTGCTGCTCTCTTCTTCCTGGTCCCGACTCATCGGCCGACGACCTGCGCAGGGAGTTCGCCGGATTGGGGTAAGGCCAGATGGCGTTGGTGTGGGGGTGAAACTGGAACGGGACGGCCCCCGCGAGGTTGCTGCCCAGGAAAGAGAGGGCTTTGAAGGGAGGAGTCATGGATATGGATCTGGTGAAGAAGGCGGAAGACGTATCCATTCCAGCTCCTCGCAAAAGTAGGCAGAGGGGGATTTGGAAAAACAAGTAGGCGGTGGGGAAGGGATTTGGGGGAGGGACGAAGGAATAGTGAGAGAAAAAGAAAATAAAACTAAAATTATTTTTTCCTTTCTAAATATTTTTATTTTAGTAAAATTAATTTTTTAAATTACTTTTAATATGATGTGGCATCTAGGTTGCATGAACATGTTCTGTTGGCGATGATATGTCGTCCAAGTGGCATCCACCTCACTGACCTCAGCGACACGCAAATGTTATTAACGGCGTTTGTGACGACGTTAAAGTTTGTACTAGAAATAGCTAAAGTTGTCAAGAAAGTTTGAAAAAATGGTTGTATCTGTGTATTTTTTTAAAATGTGACTATTATTATCACAATGTGAATAGTTATGACTATCGAAGTGTGTTTTGTCTTTCTTAATGAGTATTAATTTGTAAGATGACAATCGTATATTTTGAGAGGGGTGTTGATCTTAAGGGATATTGGAGTTAATAGATTTTCTATTAACCAGAAGCAATCCACCAATGAAATAATACCATGAAACAAATATTGAGCTATGGACTCTCAAATGTCACATGCCATGGTTAGAAATACTCGTAAAATCATAAAATAAACATACTCTATAACTAAAAATATGGCTAATACTACTACAAGTCCCAAACTATGACCAAAATGTCACTTGTGTCCTATTCTTTCAAATATTCCATTTGTGTCCTATCATATTATAATTTTGTGTTATTTGTATCCTGGCAATTTCGTTGACTGTTAAATATAACAGTTGACCGGACGAAAGTCAAATTGTTGTTGACTTTTGCTGATGTGGAAAAATTGTGGTGGCCAAGTAGATTCCACGTCATTGACATGTCAGATTTTCAATTCAAAATAAATTAATATTTATAAAAGAAAATCCCAAAAATCAAATTTCCTCTTTCTCGAAAAAAGACTTTTATCCTTCCTTGGTAGGGTTGGCAACGGGGCGGATCGGGGACGGGTAGCTAGTTCCCGTTACCCATCCGTCAAGGCGGACGGATTTCCCCGTCCCCGTCCCCGTCCCTTTGTCGGGGCGCGTTTGGTTTCCGTCACCGTCCCCAGACGGATTCGGGTAAACCACGGATCACCACGGATCCTGAGTAAAATACAAAAAAAAGGAAAAAACTAATAAAAAATCCCTGAAATTCAAACTTCAAAGTACCTTGATGTTCAAGGCACATAAATTCAAAACACAAAAGAGAAGATCTGGGGCTGTAACCCTCCCACCACCCAACACCCAGATCTTCATTGTTCAAACAATGAAACAAAAGTGATAGGTTGCAGCAACCAAACAAGCTGCTGCAACCAAAACCCACCACCCAAAACCCATATAACATGTTCTTCACTACACTAGTGTTCAAGTTCAAAACTCAAAAGGAAGAGATAAAAAAACAAAGGCAGACAGCCCCAATAACATCATCCATAAATCGAACTAAAACCTATACTAATAGCACACACGAGTTCCTTTGATCTTTTCTTCCAAAAAGTAAGCAACACTATGCTGCTGGAAACCAACTCAACACTCAACAGCAGCATTCATCCTTGAAAAATGAAAAGCAATCACTGCAAGAAACAGAGTAGCAACCACAGTTAGATAAGTGAAAGTCACGTTTAAATTGAACAAGTTAAAAGGCTCAAGTCTAGCTCAATACCTTGAACCTTTCATTGCATTGAACAAATCAGTCGTCTAGGGATATTAGATGCTTCCTCATCACAAGTCCCCCCTGAACTGTAAGAATAAAAAATTACAGTTAGAGATTGAAACTATCAAACTAAGTACCAATCTAAATTGAACTAATTACCAGCTTCGTCTTGATCTTCAGTACTGGAATCTGAAAATGCTAGAGCAGAGAACACCCCTTCCATTGCCTCTACAGCAGCCTTCGATGATTCTGCAGATTGAAGAAAACAATGAAAAAGATAATTAATATTCAATCAAGTTAACATTTTAATGAAAAAGACAAGTAATTGCAGATTACCTTGTTGCATTTCCTCCATAATCCAACTTCTAGTACACATCATTGCCTCTATTGTATCATAGTGCAATCTATTCCGATGAGGGTCTATTAACCTCCCACCAGAGCTAAAAGCAGATTCAGAAGCCACTGATGTAATTGGTATGGCCAAGAAATCCCTTGCAATTGCTTGCAAAGTGGGGTACTTAAGGCCATTCAGTTTCCACCACATCAGTATATCAAAGTCAGGAGACCTTTTAGGAATCAGTTCCTCAAGAAGATAGTGATCCAGTTCAGTATGGACCAGAGTTGCTTTGCTTTTTTTCCTCCGACTCACAAACAGTTCAAAATCAAGATCATCATTTGCAGGAGTAGAAGAACTATCATAAGCAGTTGAAGAACCAGAATTGTTCCTCTCAGACTTGGTTTGGTAATCAAGCACCAAACCACATATACATTGCTTAATCTTATCAGCCACCAAGTCAGTATTAGTACTGCCAAACTTAGCAGCATAATACTCAATCACATGCAACTTGTATCTAGGATCAAGAACCACTGACACAGCGAGAACCAAGTGTATATCATCCCAATACTTAGAAAATTTCTCCCACATACTCTCAGCCATAGCCGAGATAAGAGAATTGGTATCAGCACACTATTCCAACAATTTCAGTCTCAGATCACAAACCTTGGGGAAAAACAAATTAGCAGTGGGATACTTGCTGCCAGAAAACAGCTTTGTGATCTCACTGAAAATTTCTAGCTTATCAATGACCATAGCAGCAAACTCCCAGTGCATACTAGTAGGGACAGTGGTGTATTGACTATCCCACTGCCTCAAACGAGAGAAAACATCTCTATACACAATGGCTGTAGATAGCATATCATAGGTGGAGTTCCACCTAGTTGGACAATCAAGCACAAGTTGCTTCTCACAAGGCACTTTAAGCTGCTTAGCAGTTTCAAAGAAGGTTTGTACCCTCTTAGGAGTGGACTTCCAGTACACAACACTATCTCTAACCAATTCAATGCCATCTTTGATGACTTCCAACCCTTCTTTCACAATGAGATTCAAAACATGAGCAGAACATCTCATTTGAACCAGCACACCATCCAACAACAGATCATCAATAGCAAGTTTAGTTTTCATATGAGTAATCATGGCATCATTGGTGGTACAGTTATCCAAGGTAATCGAGGACAACTTTCTATCAAGATTCCAACCAAGCAAACACTTGAACAACCTATCTCCCAACCTCTTACTAGTATGAGGGGCAGGGACATAGATGAAACTCAACATCATGTTTTTAAGTTTCCAAGAATTGTCAATAAAATGACCAGTAACCGCCATATACCCCATCTTTTGGTTAGTTGCAGTCCACATATCAGTTGTGACTGCAACTCTACCAATATTACCATCTAAAACCTTCTGAAGCTTTGCCATCTCAGCCCCATATAAAGCAAATATGTCCCTCTTCACTGTATTTCTACAAGGGACAGTGAACTGGGGTTGCAAAGAACAACAGAAACGTTTAAACCCCACATGTTCAACAATGTTCAGGGGATACTCATGCACCATAATCATAGAGCACAATTCCTTCCTAGACACATCAGAATTGAATTGAGTAGCAGATAGGAGGGGTTTTCCAGTTGGTTTATAATCAGGACCAAGAACTCTCTGCCTACCATCATGTATCTTTCTTTGGGTGCAAGTTTTGTAATGGTTCCTCAAGTGGGAGGTTCCATTACTAGTATCACCACCTAAACGTTTTCGACAGTATTTACACTTGGCTTTAATCTCCCAATTAAACTTGACCCTCACAAAATGTGGCCAGACATCAGAAGTCAATTTACGATCTTCAGCCAGAATTATTTCAACATTTTCATTCCCAGAACCATTAGCATCATTCCCAGAACCATTACCATCATTCCCAGAACCATTACCATTAACATTGCCATTACCATTACCATTACCATTACCATTACCGTTTTGATTAGAAGGCACAGTAGGATCATTCGCATTCAAAGCACAATTTTCAGTAGCACCATCCATCTACATAAACAATTAAATAATTGCATTCAATCAATCAACCAAAACTATAAACTACCCAGACAAATCACACAACACACAATACAAATTACAATCGACTAAATCGAGAGTTGAATTGGACCTATAAAAAAGGAAAGTCTTCGATTGGAAGTTACCTGTAATCTGGAGAGGGACTGAGGGAGACTCTGTTCACCAGACTGCAGATGGTGAGCACTGAGCTGATGCCTCGAATGATAGACACAGCTGATGCCTCGAATGCAAAGCTAAACAACTCCCAAACAAAGCCAAAAAAACAAAAGAAAATTAGCATGCATGCATCGAATGATAGACACAGCTCATGAATCTGGAAAAATATTGGGTTAAGTTTGTGCTTACCTCGACTGTGCTCTGAGCAGAGTGCAGGTAATGGGTTTAAGGAAGAAGGCTGACCAGTGACCTGAAATTAATCGAGGGGTTGATTTATATACGAGAAGAAGGAAGAAGGCAAGAAAGTTGCAGCAGAATACGAAAGGAAAAGGGGGAGAAGGAACTTATCTCGCTTGATGTGCGATATCACGTCGATTTCCCCCAATAGCTGCAAATCGAAGATTGCAGCGGGCAATTTAGGGCTCTGCATGCTGTTTCCCGACAAAATCGCCGGCAAAACTAGCATCCAATTGGCCAAATTGAGAGATAATGATTGCCAGTAGGCAATCATAATTGTATAAAGAAGCTGGATTGGGAGGAAATCGTGGGGAACAGAGAGATTTTTGAGCGGATTAGATGTTTGGAGATTCGATGGAGAGAAAGAAGCTAGGGTTTCGGGAGGTTCTCGAAGAGGAAGTTGAGAGGATTAGAGGAATGGGAGCAGTCGTTTGGGACGGCGGAGAGTGGAAAATGAGAGATTAGGGTTTGCTGGGCTCGTTTTGTGGTTTATATACGATGTCTAAGCGACGTCGTTTTATGATTCGGGGCGGGGCGGATACCACTAATACCGTCCCCACCCATCGCCCGCGACCCACGGGTTTCGGGTAAATCCGAATCCGCCTATAACCCACAACGGACGGATTTTTAGGGTATACTTCGGGCGGGTTTCGGGTGGATACCCGCTGGGTCGGTCAGGGTTGCCAAGCCTATTCCTTGGCTTATGCATCAACGGTTGTCTGCTCCTTCGTCTCCTCCGGCGAAACAGCTTCATCTTCCTCTTCCTCCAAGCCAGCTCAATCTGCTGGCGGATTTAAGTTCGCAAGATGGGAAGTCACTCAGTTAGGTTCCTCCCCAGCACAATAGCCGCCCTGAAGTCGACGCAACCGTGGCGTTTTGGTTTGAAGGATGTTAGATGAACATTGTGCGAATTTAGTCGCTTCGGGAGCCAACGTTGAGCGAGAACGAGGGAAGGAAGATGTTGCGATGGGCGAGGAAGCCGGCGAGAGTAGACCTAGATTTCGTCGAGAGCCCCCGGATCTTGTTTCTCTTTTTGCAAGAGCCCAATTTTCTTCTACCCCTGCTAGTTGCTGCAAATCTGAAATTTGGGGGAAAAGAGTTTGTGGTTAGGAACTGAATTGTTGATGAGCTCCTTGGGGTGGGGACTTCAAAGATTAGGGGTTAGAGATGAGAGTGGACAAACGGGGGAGTGGATGTGATTAATTTCTCAAGGCTCTCTCCTCGTCGCCACTGGAACAAAAAAGGTTCAATGAGATGGAACGACTCGATGCCAGATAGGTTCCGAAGTTGGGCAAGAACAAGGGAAGGAAGCAGCTGCGAAGGGCGAGGGAGGCAATTTCGAATCCGATTGGACGGGGGTAGTAGAAGAAGGATATGCGGCAGGTGCCGGGGCGGGAGATCGGTGGTGGGTCAATGGGCGAATTGGCGTGGTGAAGGATTTTTTTTTAGGGTAAATTGCGGATGAAGCCATACCGGTTACTTTTTATGTTTTTTAAGTGAGATGAAAAGTAATTAAGAATTAAAATTAAAATTTTCATGTCGAATGCCACGACAGCGCTGATTGGATTTTCTGTTAAGAACTAACGATCAACATCGGTAGACACTAACAGAATAATAATTTAAGACATAAATGGAATATCTGAAAGAATAGGATACAAGTAACATTTTTGTCATAGTTCGAGTGTTGTAGTGGTATTATCCCTTAAAAAAAATATATGTGCCTTCTACGATACCCAGAGTGAAATCCGGGGTACCGCATACCTTGGGTATGAAAACGCTATCTAGACCTCGAATTAGCAGGATTTTTGGGCATGATACTATACCCTAACCCTTAATGAGTGAACCCTAGATCCTAATTATCTAAATCATAAACTATAAACCCTAAGATGTTGCATTGATTTTTTTGCCTATATTTGGACGAATCATAACCGTCGATTATTGTTTCTAATTAAATTAATCTTGGGGTATAAGATTTAGAGAATTAGTACCTAGATTTTGATCTTTAAGGGTTAGAGTATAGTATCATGTCCGAAAAATTAGCCAATTCAAGTTCTGGATAGCGTTTTCTTACTCAAGGTATGCGGTATCCCGGATTTCAACCCTAGATATATATATATATATGCTGGCTACTTCAGTTCACTTACATAAATGAGTGCATTCAATGCACCCAACTCTAAAAGTAGCCTTAAGACATCAATTTTTTATTTTAATTGGTAAGATTAGTGTAATATGATAATATTATATAAGATCACAACTAATCAATGCATTAGCCTAAGCCCTAAACCTTCAATTTTGAACTTCTGCCCTAAACCCCAAATCATGAACCCTAACCCTAACCCTAAATCTATAAATCATAATTTCTTCAAATTAATGTAAATCTTGAATAAATTTTGTGCTAATTCATGGGGTTTTTTGTTCATCGTATCATACGTGATGATTAACATCGTTTTGACATGAATCGCATGCTCATAATGACAAATATGAAGCGAGTGCATTGAATGCACCCAAAAAAGTGAGTGCACCGAAGACATAACCATATATATATGGGTCACACTCGTATGCTCCTGACGCATACTATGGTCCAGATTTTCTACACCGTTGATCTAATCTAACAGTGCTTATTAATTTCAATTATATTATTTATTATTTACAATTTCAAAATAACTAGTTGATCCTATTATATTTTTATGCGTGCTCTTTAATCCCAATACAAATATTTTCATATATTTTTATATTGCAGTACCTTATCTTGTTCAAATCATAACTTGAACACCTAATTTTTCTTATTGTATCCCCCATCAACTCCAAACGAATTCATGTTCTATTTGTAAAAATACATAGTGTTATCGATTTTTCCAAAATTCCCAGGGGCCGCAGCTTCTGCACTAGCTCCGCCGCCGATCGAATTCATCTTCTCAACACTCGACGGTCATGAAATTCCCAAGGGGATCACGGCCTCTGCACTGGCTCCACCGCTGATCTAATTCATCTTCTCAACAATCCACGGCCATGAAATTCCCAGGGGACTACGGACTTTGGCTCCGCCACTAATCGAATTCATCTTCTCAACAATCCACGGCCATGAGATTAGTAGGGGGCCGAAGTTCATGGCTTCTGAACAATTGACGGAACAATCATCTTCCCTCTTCCAACACATTGAGCCCCGTCGTCGCCCTGATCGAATTCCACCCTAGGCTCGTAAATCCTAAGGTTTAGGATCTCTTATCTCCCGGAGCTCGGGTGGCGCAACCGCAGCGGCAAATTCACCTGCCGCCTCAACAGGCCCACATCCAAGTGAAATCCTCCTCCGCCCGGCAAGCTTCTTAACCCCACCGCCGCCCCCAATAAAATCCACCCTAGACTCGTAAATCCTCACCAACGGAACTCCCTCTCCGGCGGAGCTCGGTTCTCGCAATCGCAACATCAAATTTACCAGTAGCCTCTCCCTAACATTGATGACGATCAGTCCCAACTGATCCGCGTGATCCAACCCTCGGAATTCAAAACTCGATGTCGGAACAATCAGTCGGAATATGGAAGTGGGTTTATCTGAATCTTTCCGAAGTGAAGTCTCAAGAGATTCTCTGCTTTCACGTTAACGATAGCCTTTCACGACAGTTTTGATTAACTGATAATCAAATTTTAATGGAAACAATTTTGAGCAATTATATAAACTTGGGGTGTTGAAGAATAGAGATCTACGAAATGAGGTACCATACGAGAAAACATAATAATATATATTGTTGTGGGGCTTTATTGTATGTATTATTATTTATAGGGTGAAGGTTGTAATCATAATTCTTATTAAATAAATACATTTAATACAATTAATATTAGTCATTTGATTAGATCAACGATCTGAAAATCTGGTGCATGCTATGTGCTTGGACCATACAAGTCGTATTCATATATAACCAAAATTTAGTACATGAGGCAATTGGCAAAAGTTCAATATTATCATATTTCAAATCTCTTAAACTTTATGTATAGCTTCGCTCGAAATTTCTACCTAGAGCACAAAGGGAAAGAATGCAATATCTAAACAATGAGAAAGTTGAAAACTTTTCAGTTTCTCCCAAAATGCAATGGGCCATGGAGGCAAGGCAAATAGAATATAGGGACAACGAGCACAAAACCTTGGATGGCTATAAGCTAAGGTAAGCCACCTCTCTTCCCCCATTCTCTTCCTTTTCCTTTTTCTCCTTTCAACCTTTTGGGGCTTTCATCTCTTCAAATAGTTCCATCACCCCATGATAGGTTGCCCTTAACCGTATCATACAAACCATCAAAACTAAAAATTGCATCTCATATAAGAATCTCTCATGACCTCCACTAGCCTGTTCCCTTACACATGCTTCTGTCCTCTTTCAAATCAAACAAACAAATATATGTGTACAGTGTAACCAAACCCTGTTGTACCATGTTTCACCGTTTAAAAAATAGACAAGGCCACATAAGATCAAATAATGATTTTGCTTAAAAAATTCCATTGGCCATCCAATAGGAGGGTGAGTTCGGGTAAGGCAAAATCAAAATCCGAAGATCAAAACACACTATATGAAAATATGAAGAGTTGATATGCCGTCAGATTTTTAGCTAAACCCGAAACCAAAACCAACAATAAAACTCAAAAAACGAAAACTCGAACCGAAACCGAAAACCCAATACTACATCTTACCTATTTGGGTTCGGTTAAAATCGGAAAATATGAACCCAAGTTGACACCCCTATCCAATAATACTATAAATACCACAGGACTAATTGAGCAGAAGGGTCATGAGAGGCCTATTTGAGTGATAGAAAGAGAGACATAGATTCCTTCTTCAGTTCTTCTTTTGTACCTTGGCACCTTTCATAGCATGGCGATCAACAGAGAAATAGCAGTTTGTCTCCTTCTAATCTTCCTTGTTACGTCACGTAACCATAGATTTATGTGCGTAGAAGGCAGGCATTTGAGGCGGCCGGGGAGTAGCCACCACAAACACCCAACGTCGGTAAAGAGCGGCGCCGCCGGTAAGCAATATGATCCTTCTACCAACGTGGCGTCCAAACTAAATGGAGGGAAGGTGGCGGCGGCCGGCGGCGGCGTGGAGAGGAAGATGGATTACAATGTGGATGATTTCCGACCAACCATGCGGGGCCATAGCCCGGGGGTTGGCCACTCCATCAACAATTAAAAGATGCATGCCAAGCAAAAAAAAAAAAAAAAACCCCACATTTCTATTGTTCTTTGTTTCTTTTTCTCTCCATTGTTTTCTAGCTTTTTGCAAGTGGGTATGGCGGTGGGGAACAGCAGGAAATGTAGTGTACATAAGAGGAGCTTGTTAATTAATATGTTGAAACTCGACCTAAATACACTTGTTCTTTTAATATATGATGATAATGATTACGTGTACTAGACAAAGGAGTGGATAGTCGAAGTATGAGCTGTGTTCACCCTCTAAAGCGGGAAGTAAACCGAAAATAAGTGTACTTATCCTAGATTAGGGTAGTTAGTATTGTCGACGAACCGCGAGTTATAGATTGTAAAGTTTGATGTTGACTGTATCAGAATCTCTAGGGTCCACAAATCTAAACAACAAACGAACTACCACTCATATGGATAAAAAAAATATCACAAACATCGACATCTTCTGGATTTTTTTATCGTCTAAATAAATTGGTTGTTAATTAAGGGATACTCTCTAGGAGCACTTCTACTATGCTATATAGTATTGGTACTTTAATGTACAACTTAAAGTTGTACCATAACATTAAATGTATAAGTTTAGGTTGTACCATAAAGCAATTTGTACTATTATGTTATGGTACAACTTTACAACTTGAATCCCCTTCTGTTTTGGCTGAAATCTGCTTAAAAGGCCATCAGTGGCCAAAGCACGGTCGAGGGCACGGCCGTGCTTTGCCTCAGCCCGCCCGTGCTTTGGCTAGGGTTAATTACACGGCCATTGTGTTGGGAGAAACACGGCCGTGCTTTTGGGAGGACACGGCCGTGCTTTGGTGGACACGGCCGTGCTTTCAGCCCGTGTTTGCAGCTTGAATTTGCCAAACTCAATTAGCTCTCGGCAGTAAAAGCACGGCCACAGAACACGGCCGTGTTCTGTTTTAGGTGTGCCCGTGTTTTGGCTCCAGCTCGACGAAATGACTTCAGAATGCCCCGAAACTCGTGCTTAGCCTTTCCTTTGACGCCTGGGACCTGAAATATGACAAAATAGCACAACCCGGTGTAAAATAGGCAAAAAATACACGACTATGCCCCTCAAACGGATAAGAACTAGGGGCGCAAATACGTGCAATTACATCGTTATCAAATTCCCCCACACTTAACCGTTTGCTTGTCCCCAAGCAAACCAAGTCAGACACAAGGTAAGCTCAAAACAGGGCATGTCATATCGGCACAAAACACGTGGATCATACTGGCTTTCGATCAGTAACACATGGACAACCTCAATGACAACCTAGACAACCACCACATAGACTTGACTCCCTTCTGTTCACCAACCAACATAGACTTGACTCAACCACTTGTTCAAAACAGTCACGTCATGCACAAAGTTCAAGATATCAGAATTAAGACCGAGCAATCTAGGTCCTCACCGGGATAAAGGGTATAGAGAATAAGAGAAAATGAATCGCTTACTCTCGACCAGTGGGGTCAGGACAATATGATGCGAAAAATGCGCATGCTTAATCTCTCAATCCCTAACATCTCTTCATCATGAATGCAGCCTCTAAGTGCTAGAGTTCACAGATGGGGTGTCACCACTAACTAATCTGGAGGTCTTAGACACAGGTTCAGATGACTGGCTAGGGTCTTGGACATGGGGAAAAAGGCCTTTTAGGTGGTGGAAGTATACATACAGCACAAGGTTCCACATTTCCAAACCCAACAGACTCACAATCAATCAAACCAATAACTTTCTTTCTGCTATTCTGCATTACTCAAGTTCAAAGCACAAGAGCGAAGGAGGTTACATAAATGCTAGTATTTCTAAGCCAGACTGCTAAGAAACACTACTACATGGGCATTATTCGGATTTTTGGTGGTGGCTCTCTTTTGCCTTCATTTTTTTCTTTGTTTTTCTTTCATTATTTTTCATTTCATAAGAGAACCACCGCCTCTGCAAATTTGCAAACACCTGCCCAACTTTTAAGCACTACCTCCAACCCTCACATTACATTTAGCATAAACAGCAGAGAACATGTAAAAATCACTCTGTGGAACCTTCTAAAAGATGCAAAAGGGTGACTTTTCATTGAAGACCGAAAGAAAGAAAACACACGGCTCAAAGGGGCTGACTAGGGGTATGACACACCAGGACAGTCAATTTGGTCGTGGGCTAATCCTATGCCTCCATCATCTTAGCTAATGACAACGTGAATGCTGCACATCATGGAAGAGGAAACTATCGCACAAGAAAGAAACGAGCAGGCTCAAATCTCACATGGCTACCTATATGCTCAATTTCTCGTTCTGATTCCCTGAACTAGATGCATAAATGACTGTCAAAAGCAAGTGATCAAACCAAGTCACATTTGATGAGCAGACAGTTGAAAAACTAAACCCCTACACAATTCTACTGCACATCTCAGTCATCACAATAAGTTGTCTAAGTTACACTCAAGTTGTCATGTATCAAGTCAAAAGCCATTCAATTCACTAATCACATCCACAGTGCCAATACGATCAATCATCAAGCAAACAGCCGCGCTTGGAGCCCTCAAATCTCAAGATTTGGACAGTGGACTAGGCTCCAAGCACACATATATACGTTCCAATTCATACAAAGAACCCCCCCACACTTAAATGCGACAATGTCCTCAATGGAGCAGAGGGAAGGGGAATGATGTTACCGTGAAACAGTGGTCAGGAACGTTGACTGGATGGCGGACCAGTCAAAAGAAGGAGGCATAGAGCTAGAGACAACAAAAACACACACACTGGGTGATAGACATCAGAGTACCAAGTCTACAATCCAAGATAAAAAAAAAAAAAAACAAAACGAAACCACAAAACACGGAGTCTCAGTCTGGAAAACAAGTAAAGCATAAAACCCGCTCTAGAAGGCATCACCACCATCGCCGGTGGGGGAGGGTACTCATCCTCAAACCCTGGGGACTGCACGAACGGGTAGTGGACCGCGTTCGGGTCAAAGCCCAAGTAGGACATGATGTAGTGTTGCCCCGACATGAGACGACGCCCTCGGTCCCGCTCACGATCAAGGCAGGTGTGGATGCGCTCCTGGCCGGCCAGGATGCGCTCATTCTGCTGCGAGATCGCCACCAACTGGTCGGAGATGGGCACCACCACTGGAGGAGGTAACCCTGGAGAAGGAGACCGGGGAGCAGGAGAGGGGCTCGCGGGAGCCTGGGCACGACGGGGAACGCGACGGGGAACTCGGCGCCCATCAGCGGCGCTCGACTCGGCCTGGTCGCCCTCTGCAGGTATAGGTGGCTGAGGAAGGCCCGCGATCCAGCGCACACGCCCGTGGCGAGCAACCAAGTGCTGGTGGCGGAGAGTAGCCTCGCCGAGTGGGGTTGGTCCGCGGACCAATGTCATCCCTGTGTAGTCCACCCCGTAGTTGCGGGCCAAGGCGGTGATCACCGGGCCACAAACGAGGCAGCGAGTCGTGCTGATGGCTGCCTTAGTGAACGTCCGGGCAAGCACAGAGCCCAGCTGGATGGTGTCCTTGGAATGACCCATCGCATGCATAACCAGAGAGTCCGGAGTGTGACCCGGTTGGACGAGCCCTTGCTGGGTGTGTAGGAAGTGCACATCAGGTGGTTGAGGATCCGCCATTCCGAACGGAGGAGAGCAGCCCGCGTCTGGCTGGCCACGTACTCTTCATCCACACTGTCCGGCAGGCAAATGCTCTGAAAGTACGCCTGGCAAGCGAAGTCGGTGGGATCAGAGAGGTCCAAGCGTAGGGGCGGCCCGCCTGCTGCCCGGGAATTGAGACGAAGGGCATTGGCGAACTCCCAGTAACTGAGGGAGTGCTCCACCCCACCGAGGGTGAACTGAACTGCATCAGCATGGTCGAAGTTCCCCTTCGAGTTGTGGTGGAAGGTGGTGTAGAACTCCTAGACTAGCTCCTTGTAGGTCGGCTCGGCGAGGGTGAGAAGATGCCGCCAAGCAGAGGAGCGGACCATGGCCTCCATCTGTGGCCTGGCATGAAGCTCCTCGAACACCTCCCAATCGAGGTGATAGTGCTCGGCGATGCTGCGGTCACGGAGGTTCCGCAGCTTATGGCGCTGGACGATGTTCATCTGGTCGAGATAAACCTCCATGATCCTGCAAAACACAATGAAGGACAAAGTGTACACAAGCAAACGGGGTCAATGTTAGGCCAAACCCACACCGGGAGCCCTCATATCGAAAGATATGGACAATGAATTAGACTCCCGGCGAAACAAGCATACCCATCATACGAGATTTACACTGCAAAATACACCGGGGACCCTCAAATCGAGCGATTCGGGCAGTGGACTAGGCCCCGGTGAAACAAGCATACCCATCATACGAGATTTACACAGCAAAATACACCGGGGACCCTCAAATCGAGCGATTCGGGCAGTGGACTAGGCCCCCGGTGAAACAAGCATACCCAAACCCGTATGAAATAAGCACCAATCGATCCACCACACAAAAACCATACTAGCCCGCATACAATGCAACATGCAATCATCCCAATCATCCCCCAAACCCAAAATATTCCCAAAACAGTCATTCAACAATCAGAAGTTCTTCACCGAACTCTAGGTATCGATTCTCCATAAATATAGGAAAAGACAAGGAGAACACACCTGGAGACGCAAGAAGAGACCACCAGAGAGGTGAAGAAAGTGGAAAGAAGCACCCCAAGTCGCCGGAAAACACACCGGAGACTCGCCGGAAAACTCACCGCCGGCGACCCAACCTCAGCCAAACCAGCCCAAATCTTTGGGGAATGTGCTCCTCGACGCCAGGAGCGTGGGGGCGTTCGCGGTTTGTGATTTGGAGGTCGGGAGAGGAAGTTATGGCCGGAAAATGGAAGGAGAAGGTGAAAAGGCCGAGTTTCCGGCGAGAGGAGGCTGGGAAATTTGAAAAAAAATGAGGCTGGAGAGTTTGGGGGGCGGAAAAATCGAATTTATAGGGGGAGAAGCGAAACACGGGTGGGGCAGAACACGGCCGTGTTCTGCCTGCTCCGCGCCCGTGTTTTCACTGCCGAGGGCGAAATGCTCCTTTAATAAAACACGGGCGGGCTCCTTTCAAAACACGGCCGTGTTTTCGAAGGACCCGTGCCCGTGCTTTTTATGCCGAGGCTAAAAGGCAAAACACGGCCGTGTTTTGGCCCCCTGCTGCCCGTGTTTCTACTGCCGAGCCTAAAATGCCTTTTTTCAGTTTTTTCAATCTCAAACCACCAACACTCATTCGTGCCCCGGCTCTAAAATTTACTCAATCACACATTAAAAAGAACCGCCCAAGGCACGAAAAACTTTCCAGACTGACTCCAGATAGACTCAAAGACTCAAAAACCGACAAAAATGAAATAAATAAATAAAAACAAAGGGTAGAAATGCAAACCGTGGTGGGGTTGCCTCCCTACAAGCGCTTCTTTACCTTCTTTTAGCTGGACGCCCATGGTGGATACTCAGGGAGGTGAAGGAACAGGTGCCTCCAAGAGCGGATCCACGTCGCTCTTGAGGTACAGCTTCAGGTTGTGGCCATGCACCCGACGGATGCGACCACTATCATCGGTCAGCTCGACCTGGCCATCCGGCAAGATGCAGGCGAGTGAGTACCCGGACGGCCAGGGTGGTCGTGGTGCAGGAGGTGGGACCAGCTCGTAGTGGTCTCCACCCTTCTTCCGTGCAGGCTTGGCAACCTGCTGCTTCGGCCGCCACTCCTCCTTGATCTTTTTGTTCGGAGGCGAGGCTGGATGGAGTGGCGGCGAAGGAATGATAGGAGGGTCCTGCAAAATGAGAGGTGCAGAAGGATACATGACAGGCCCGTGTACCTGATCAGAAGAGGCATGCACAGGTGTGACAGCAATCATAGCACAGTGATCAAATTCAGTCACCGAAAAAGTAGCTTGTTCATTCCCAGCACGCAGGATCAGTTTACCATCATGCACATCAATAAGTGCCTTGGCGGTGGCAAGAAATGGCCTACCCAGAATCAAAGGTACATCCACATCCTCATGTATATCAAGAATAACAAAATCCACAGGATATGTGAATGCACCGACACTGACAAGCAGATCCTCTATGATTCCCCTAGGATGCACAATGGAACAATCAGCCAGCTGAATGCTCATCCTAGTAGGGCTAAGTTCACCTAGGTCTAGCTTTTTATACAACTTATATGGCATGACATTTATGCTAGAGCCTAGGTCCGCCAAGGACTTGCCTACATGCATGCTGCCAATAGTAAGAGGGATAGTAAAACTCCCTGGATCCTTGCGCTTTTCGGGCAGCTTGTTCTGCAGGATTTGCGGAACACTCCTCGCTCAGCAACACTGTCGAGAGATCCCCAAGTTTCTTCTTGTAGGTGAGGAGGTCTTTCATGAACTTGGCATACTTGGGCATCTTCGACAGTGCCTCCACGAACGGTATGCTGATGTTGAGCTGCTTCAACATTGCCATAAAATTGGCAAACTCAGTCTCCAACTTGTCTTTGTGTAGGCGAGTGGGTAAGGGAAGCTGGGGTACATGCTCCTTAACCACCGGTTGTAGCTTGGGAGCAGGGGCTTCCTTCTCCACCCGTACTTCTGCATCGTCAGCTGGAAGTGCTGAAGCAGGTAGTGGTTCCTCCTGTCTGGCCGGGACAGGATCAGCAGATATGGTCTTACCGCTCCTGGTAAAAATGGCATCCATCTGCTGGAGCTGGTGAGGATCCCGAGGATTCGGGATAGTGGTGGCAGGCAGATTCCCCGGTGCCCTGGTAGTGTTTTGGCGGGCCAAGATGCCCACCTGGGTCTGCAGATCTTGCAAAATGGCACCCTGGTTCCGCTGACCTGCCTCCAGTGACGTGATAGCAGCCTGAGTGCTAGTCATGAATGAAGCTAGAATATTTTCCAGCTTTGTCATCCGGTCATCTGGGGCAGGGGCTGCTGCTGGCTCGACAAACTGACGCTGGGGCTGTTGGAATGGTTGCCCCTGCCTAGGCTGGTAGGGCTGCTGCTGTGGGGCTGGCCCCTGTGGAGCCTGGAAGGGCTGCCTCTGCTGAAAACCACATGCTGGTGCTGGGAAACCAGGTGGTTTAGTGGTGTTGCTGCCCCAAGAGAAGTTGGGATGCTGGCGCCACCCCTCATTATAGGTATTGCTGTACGGGTCGAGGCGCCGAGCATTGGTCATGAAGTCCAACTGCTCTTGGGGAGTAGTAGACTCCCTCATAGCCTGGCAGTCTTCCACTAAGTGATTCGAGCTCTCACACCACTGACATTGAGCTACTGGAGGTGTAGCCACACCTCTGCCCGGAATAAGACTGTTGGGCTGCTTCAATGTCTGCACTAGCTCAGCTACCTGCTGCTCGAGCCCGGATCTGGTCTCCATGGCGTGCACACCACGGTCCCGGGAATGTCTGCCTCTGCTGCTCTGTCCCCAAGAATGATCTCTGGCAGCCAAGGTATTGATCATCTGGTTCAGCTCGGGTGGAGTCTTAGTAAGAATATCCCCTCCTGGGCATAGAGACTCAATCACCCTCTGGCTATCTGGAGAGAGAGCACTGTAGAAGTTCCCCACTGTGAAAGCATCACTAAAGCCATGATGGGGACACTGTCAGAAGTATCCCATGTACCGCTCCCATGCATCACGAAGTGACTCATCTGGCTCTTGGCGGAAGTGAGTGATCTCCCGCTGGATCTCTGTAGTCTTCGATGCCGGATAGTACCTGTGCACGAATTTGTCAGCCAGATCGTCCCAAGAGGTGATGGACAATGGGGGCTGGGTCTCCAACCACCTCTTAGCATTCCCCGCCAGAGAATGGGGGAAGAGATGAAGGCGGATTGCATCATCAGGGACACCATTCAGCTTGAACCCGTTCGTCAGCTGCAGAAAACGGGAAAGATGCACCCTGGCCTCCTCATCCTTCAAGCCATGGAACTGGATGGAGGATGTAATGAGCTGAATCCAGCATGGCTTGATCTCGAAGTTGTTTGCTGGAATAGGCGGGTAGAGGATGACCGGGCGGATGTCAGCAATCCGTGGAGTGTAGTAGTACTCCAAGGTGGGACACGGCGGCGGGTGATGATGATGAACCCCATATGATCCTGGGGTATGGGTTTGTTCCCCAGGACCTGATTCACCGGGGGAGCCTGCTGAGAATTCCCCTGGTGTTGATTGTACTCTCCGTCCATCCCGTACTCTTCTTCAGAATCGCTGCTCAGGTGGCCGTCTATGCGCTCTTCCGTAGCCAGTCTAGCTCGATGTTGTCTCCTGAGCTGGCGACAGGTGCGGTCAATCTCTGGATTCAACGGCAGTAAACCTCCTGACTGGCTACGGGTCATGCACTACCTGCACACACTCAAGCAAGCAAACCCGTGAAGGCACAAGTGGGACAAAGCAAACAAAGCGAAAAGAAAAGCTAAATTAACATAAATCACTTTTCTTCAACAACCTAGCCGTCCCCGGCAACGGCGCCAAAAACTTGACTCACTTCTACTGTCACTCCAGGAATTGGCCAAGTGAAACCACTTCCTAAAGCGTAGTATAGCGGGTATCGGGCTATACAAAAGAAACAAAAATGTTAAAAAGTAAAATTATTAGGAATATGTTAGACATCTATATGTCGCCAAAGCCATGATTCTACCGTGGTCAACGGGTTTTTATGTAAATTTTAACAAAATGGCATGTTGTAATTGTTTCAAAGTACAGGGACATGTTTGATGTAAAAATAGTAAAGGGCATGTTTGATAAAAATGTATAGTAGAGGGACATATTATACATAAATATAACTCTATAAGATATCTATTAAACACTTCACGGATTCAAATTTTATCTTCTCTCAATCTTCCACACTAGCCTTGATTTTCCACGTCACTTTTAATAATTTAACTCAAAACTGACTAAAAGATGAACAAACAAGTGTTACTATGATTTGAATATACAACCTACATGGTTTAGATTATTAAGGTGTCTAACCAGTAAGACAAACTCTATTTGATTATATTAATTGGAAAAAAACCAGATAAACACCACAAATTAGATTAGTTACTATAACAAATTGAGACAACCATGTCATCAAACGCGTCTAATATGTTTCTTCTAATTTTTTTAATCTTTTCACATCATTAGTAAAATCAATATTGAATCACATTTTGGATGAATTTATAGTAGATCTCATGTATAAACATAAATTTTATGATTACAAATAAATTACATCAATTCGATTCATCAACTCATCCAAAATCAATACAATATATCATATAATTTCTTGAATTAGGCTTAAGACTTTCAAACTTTCTCAATTGTTAAGAATCCATGTCAGCCTTGATTTTCCATGTCACTCTTATTATTTTAAATTTTTAAACTCAACACCGATTAAAAATAAATGAACATATATATAAATAAGTGTTACTAGGATTCAAACACACAACCTATAATGCCTATATATATTATAGTGTAAAGTTTCTGACGAGTAAGACAAACTATATATGACGATATTGATTGCAAAACTAATAAGATTAAATCCATTGATTATATGAATTATTAAAAAGATTGATACTATCATGTCATTAAACATGTTTGATATGTTCATTCTAAATTTTTTATCCTTTCACTTCATCAATAAAATAGATATTTAATCAAAATTTAGTTGAATTAAGAGTGGATCTTATGATATGAGCATAAGTTTTATGATTACAAATAAATTACATCAATTCAAATTATCAACTAATCTAAAAACAATTTAATTATAATTTTGACTCAATAATAATTATAAAAACAATTCAGCCAATGGCCAAAAACAAAACTAGTATATAATAAACATTGGTTATGTGTTCGATATTTTAAATTGACTTTGTAGTAATATATATTTGTATATATTTTCCAACCATGAAACTCTAACCAGGTATTTGAAATAACTTTGATGTCTATAATATATTCATTATACAATCTAGTCTCTGCACGGTAAAAACTAAACTTTTGAAGAATTTCGTGGGGAATCCTAGAAGCGTGGAGCTTATTGAAGAATTTAACAACTTCATTGGCTCTTACAACCTAGTGGATCTTCCACTCCAAGGATCTAAATTCACCTGGAGCAAAGGGGGTTTGGAGAATTCGCTTTCTCGTATCGACAAAGCTCTTATTAATGTAAGCTTTGAAGAGGATTTTGGCCCTGATGCACTCTCTGCTCTGGAAAGAGTGAAATCTGATCATAACCCAATTCTTATGCAGTGGGGAATGAAGGATAACTTCCGTCATTCGTGGCGCTTTGAGAATATGTGGCTCGCTGAAGAGAGTTTCTTTCAGGGTTTGGTGGCCTGGTGGAGCGTTCCTGTTTCAGGGACGAGTCATCTGGTCAGGTTTGGTCAAAAAGGGAAACAATCAAAGCTCCTAATTAAGCAGTGGAACAGAGATCATTTTGGGAAAGTGGACAGAAAGATTGCTGACCTTATGACTAGTATTAACGTTATTAACTGAGGGTAAGGAGCCAGAATCATCAATGAAAACCTGCTAGTGGAGAGAGACCTTCTGAAGTGTGAACTAGAAAGAACTTCGTTACTTGAGGAGATTTCTTGGCGGCAGAAGTCCCGTGAATTGTGGCTCAAAGTGGGAGATAAAAACTCGGGTTTTTCCATATAATGGCTAATCAAAACAGAAGGAAAAATAGAGTGAAGAGGCTGAAAATCGATGGTTGTGTGACTGAGGATGAGACGGGGTTTAAATCGCAATTCAAGATTCTTTCAAGATTCAGCTCTCTTAAGAAGATGATAACAGGTCGTTTCCTAGTAATTACAGGCCTCTTTTGCTCAAGGATGAGGGGAATGCTGCTCTATCAAAGCCATTTGTTGAGGCTGAGATTTGGGAGGCCATTCGATGTTGCAATGGAGACAAAGCGCCAGGGCCGGATGGCTATACACTGGAATTTTTCAAAAAATGTTGGGATATCATAAAATCGGATCTCCTAAAGGCGTTGGATGATTTCTACCTCTCTGCAACTCTTCCTCATGCGATCGCCCACTCTTTTATCTGCCTTATTCCTAATAGGGAAGCTTTCAAAGAAAACTCGGACTTCAGACCAATAAGCTTACTGGGCAGCTTAAACAAGATAATTTCCAAGGTATTATTCAACCGGTTTCAGCCTTTCATTAATAGAATTATCTCCAGAAACCAGTTTGGAGGGAAAAAGGGTCGTGTGATCCACGGAGATAGTCTCATAGCTAATGAAATTATCGATTGTCGCAACCGCCCCTCGAGATCGGGGGATCCGTCGCGTCACGCTCGGAGTCGCCATCGACCTTAAAAGTAGTGGGCCGAACACTAATTGGATCGGTCTCGACCATAGGGTCAAAATCGGGATTTGGTCTGCGAAATTTTAGAAATTCGGATTTGGGAGTACGGTTACGTGTGGGGAAGTGTATTCACACCCCACAATGCCCAAAAAAGGTACTACTTAAATTGATAAGTTTTAAAGGGTTGGGTGTTTAAATTGTTAATGATTTAACTTAAAGTCCTATTGGACTAGTTAAGATAATTTGAATTTCGTATACTATTGATACACGATGAGATTTTACGTCTATTGAAATATATCTCGAAAAATGAGAAGTTATGGTTAATTGGAATCAATTGATTAATGATTATGAAAAGATTCCACCATAAAAAGTTATTATGCACTATTAACCATGATTTCATTTTATTGGATCTTTAGGAAAAAAATATATATACAAATGCGTAATGACGTAGTGAAAAAGATATTTAGAAGATTTTGATGTATAAAAATAATGACGATCTAACTAGATCAAAATTTCTAATACGTTTAATTAATTACGTATTAAGCATGATAAGGAATAAAATTAGACGAGGGGCCTAAAAGGTTCAAGGATTGTGATATTACTCAATGGTTCGTTGTGTTGAGTAGTGGCGAGGTTTGAGGTAAAGGTCACTGCTTCAATCCTCGAGAGCACCATTTTTTTTTCTAATTTAAAGAGGGGAGGGGCAGATCAGTCATTTAGATAGCGGCCAGAGGTATATAAGGGACTTAACCTAGGAAACCCTAGGCGTCGTTCGAATCTTCCTCCCTCTTGTCTCTTCACTCTATGACACGAACCAAGAAGGAAAAACCCCAAAAAAAAAATCATCTCTCCCTTTTTCATTTTGCCTTCTGAAAACCGAAACCCTCTCCTTTTATTAACTTTCTTCTTCCTCCCGAGATAAAAAAGGAGTAAATCCCTCCCATATCTCACGTTCCACAGCAAAATCGGACGGGATCCCAGCCTAAAATACGCCATTGGAGCGCCGATCAGCCTCCAAATCGACGGTAAGTTGCGGATTATGTTTGCATGTTTGATTTTCTGGCTTTTTTGGAGTTTAGGGGTGCTGACTTTCCTTCTCTTGATTTTTTGTTTCTGTTTGCGGGTAAGGGAAGGAAGAACGAAAGTTATCGGCGGTCGTGGTTCTCGCCGTCAGCGAAGGAAGATCGACTGCCAGACGCGACGAAAGGGGATCTGGGTAAGTTTACTTTTGATATTTGAATTTGATTTCGGGTTTCTTTGTTATTTTTATTTTGATTTTTGGAATTTGGCTTTCTGTTGGGAGGAGACGGAGAGTCAACAGCGACGAGGGAGGATTGATTTCGTCGGCGATGACAAAATCGAAGGATAACAAAAGGTAGGCTTTGCGGATTTTTGTAACTTTGATGCTACTCTCTTTGATTGTGCAAGTACCGACTCTTCTTTCCTTATTTTTTTCAGGTTTTGGAAACGGGCAGAGAGCTAGGTGAGGTTTTCCTAAACTCTGCTCGAAGTGGTTTGGGAGAAACACTAAAAAACGGATTATGATGTAGGTTTGAAAACGATTTACAGATCTGAGGGGTCGTTTGAAAGTTGAGATTCTTCAAATATGTGTATTTGATGAATACATCTATTGTAAATACAAAGATTGTAAGAATTAGATGATTGAAAGAATGTCTTGTTTGGTTGTAGTCATTCAAAAAATTTAAAGAAAAGAAAAAATCACTTTATGAGCTAAAAGTGAAAAAAATTAAAGCCAACAATCTCAAAGAAAGAATCATCTTTTCTCGTTTGGAAGTTGGGATTTCAAATGATGTATTTAACCAATACATGTAATCAGAAGAATTCATCGTTTTTTTGGCTTAAAATGAAACAAAATGCTTGTATTTGAACAGCAGATGGGCCCACCAGAATCATTCATTATGAATGATTGTCAATCTCAACTTTTAGTAGAGATTGTGTTTGAGGGATTGTTGTCTTACTATTTGTTCCTTATTCTTTGAGGGACCACCAAAATCATTCAATTTCCAAACAATGTATTTTTCAAATTCATACATTGAAACAATGCATCTAATTATAATACATACATTGATTAAATACATCAATTTAGAGAATCCTAACTTCCAAACATGTTGAGATTTAAAATGAGTGATTGTGGGTGATATGAGATTTGAGGGCCCACCTCAAATGCATGTATTGAATAAAGTTTTGGAACAAAAAACGATGGATTCTCCAGAATACATGAATTCAAAGAATCATTCATCTAGAATCATAACTTCCAAACTACTCCTAAGTTTTAGGAATGAATGTGTGTTTGTCCTAATCCGGATTTGGAGGTTTATTTGGTGGGTTCTAATAAAAATCAATGGTTTTGAAACTGAGAATCAATTATAAATTTGGCCTTTCGGTTAACATACTAGTGTCTTTCGGTAAATATAGCTTTGTTGAAATGGATGTGCTTTTTGGGTATTTAGGAAAAATGACGAATATGTTTTTGGTGATCTCATCTATATTCTAGTTCTAGAAAATAAAGGGATCGAAATATGACATAAATAAAGGAATTGTAAAATGACGAAAAGTAAATAGCACAATTGGTAGCAACAATACTACGTAATTAGAAGTCTAACTGATAAGTAGAAAGTCAGCTATTGTAGGTTAATATAATTAATAAAGTTAGTAAGCTTGAAATAAGTAAATAATGGCACTGGAAATAAGAAAGCCGAATGAACAAGTTGACAGTTATGGGATTGATTAGTTTAAATCACTCTTTTAAATCAATTTGGTCATGGTGAACTTTGATTGGAGTTGATTGATTTTTAAAAATATTGTGAAGAAAGATAAAGAAAGAGATGCTGATAATGGCAATAGTAGAATGATATTGACAAAAAAAAAAAGCAGAAGAGAAGAGATTAAATCAATAGTATATTATTATAACTGGAATATAAACCACCTTGTTGGCTCAATACAAACCTTGTTGTGCTTTTGTTTGCCTTGAGGTTTTCTGCTTCTATTTGACAGAAGATAAAGAAGGGGGAAAAATGTTGTATTTCTCTTTCTATTTTCTCAGCACTTTCTCTCTCTGAACTTACTAAGAAGAAAAAGAGAGCTCTGAAAGAAAGAGCTCTGAACTCTGAAAGAAAGAAAAGATGGTGTTTTCTCCAGCTGACTTCGGTTTTGCACGATGCCAGAAGATTTTGCCGGTGGAGATTTTGGTGATAGAAATTAGAAAGAGAATTATGTGGTGGACAAACAATTCACCTAGGCTGAAATCTGTCTTTATTTAAGACAAAGAATCCCTTACAATAGTTTGGCCGAATCAATTTCTAGAAAGTAAAGATGTAGTGGGCTAAGAGTAAGAAGTCCAAATTTGACCAGCGCCCGCAGCGGAGTGCGGCCCTAGCAATCTAGTTATATTTAAAAAGGCCAAATTAAGCTTGGATGGAAATATATTTGTTACGGAGAGGAAACCTCCAAAATGCCCTGCCGTGGTTTGCGCACAGCCCACGAAAAAAGAAATTAAATGGGTGCTGGAGTAGAAACTCCATATATGTATTGTTAGATTAGATGTTAGATAGATTAGATTAGATAGATAGATAGATGGATGTTAGATTAGATGCCTTTCTAATATTTAAACGTAACAAAAACACCATTTCATCTAATTATATGTTAAGTGATTGTTAAATAGACTGAAAAATTACCTAGCTACCCTCATTTGCTCTAAACACTCACAATTTATGTTTTAATTATTTTATGTCTCCACTAGGGGTGTCAGTTGGGGTCGGGTTCGGTTACCCGAACCGAAACCCGAAAAAACCCCAAAACCCGAAACCGAAACCACTAAAACCGAACCCGAATCTGATAAGGACTTGCGGGTTTCGGTTACCCGAAACCCAAAAATTCCTTATCGGGTTTGGGTTCGGTTAAAGCAAAACCGAAACCCGAAAACCCGAACTCCTAAAAATACGGGTTGAGTTCTATTCATTGGAGGTTTTAGCCGGAACCCGAAAAGCAAAACCGAACCCGAAACCGAAAAACCCGAAACCCGAAACAAACCCGAACCCGAAAAACCGAAAATGTATATACCCGGGTTGGTTTCGGGTAAACCCGAAAAACCGAACCCGAATGGACACCCCTGGTCTCCACTCAATTAATGAAAAATTAAAACAAAGGGCTCCCAACCTCTCCTCAACTCCTCCGACTCCTTCATTCAAAAAAAAAAAAAAAAACTCCAACTCCTGCGAACAGACATCTCCGGCGCCCATCAACTCCAGCAACCTTTCATTGACGGCGGCTGGAGCAGGCAAAGAAAGATATGGCGAATCTGTCTTCTCCATCTTCGTAGCTGATGAAAAGTGCGCTAACTGTAGCAGCCTCCCAAGTAGCCACCCATATCCGATGAGGCTGTGCTCAGAGGAACAAAAAAGAGGGGAAGAAACGAAATAAGAAAAAGAAAAGAAACCCACAAGAAATCCAACTAGCGAAACTGCGCATTGATGGCTGACCTCGATGATGAATTTTGTGAAGAAGCTATCGAAGTGAGTGATAGAGATTAATAATAATAATAATAATAATAATAATAATAACGTTATTCTTTGTAATTAGTCAGCCGGTTATGTATATAAACCCAATTCCATTTTCAATTAATAATCAAGTCATTATTCCCACATGGTATTAGAGCACGTCTGATCCCTTAACCCTAAAATCCTAAATCGAAACCGCCGTTTCCTTTCTTCTTCTTCGCCGGCTTCTTCTCAATCATGGCCGGTGAGGATTCATCAAGCGGTACTGATGAAATGCGTTCAGTCCTCATTTTATACATAACCTATTTGCTATCAGTGAACTATCCATATATTCTTTGAAAATCGGTTTAAAAGTGGTTAAATCCGATTTGACTATTGAAACACAAATTACTTGTCAAACTGACTCAATAGTTTAATCACTGGTGAAACTATAATTGAAATATGAGAAAATTAAATAGATAATGAAGAAAATTGAGATAGGACGGGTAAAAAATGAAACCATACGGGATGTGACAAGTTGGAAGTAGGAATTCATGCATGTCCATACTACAGTAGGTTGGGTAATACTCACCCAAATACCGATCCAATCGAATAATATCCAACAAAACGGGTAGAAATTGCCATCCCTACTTCGAAGACCCAATTCACCCTCCTTGATGCCATTGAAAAAATGAGGGCTCTTACAAATCAAGTCGGTAGTGAGCCTTACCATCTCCGGGTAAAATACATCGAGTATCACTTAAGTTTGAGAATTGGGGAGCCAAAATTTTTTGGTACTAGGGTAAAATACCTCAATTAATTATGGGATATATTAATGATTTAATTATGGGATTGCCAAAAAAATTTGGTCTCGGAATTTAAAAAATAATCTATCGAAATAATTGTATTAAAAAATGACAACGAACTATAGAAAAATTAATATGAACAAATTATATTAACGCTTTCATAATTACATTTTTAAGTAAACGAAAAAAGGAAAAATGAGAGATCCCCAAATTTGGAAATTGTAGCATTGAAGCAAAATAGGTATGATCCCCAAATTTGGGGACTTAACATTGAAGTTGGCCTTTAACTCCTTATTTTCAAATCCAACAAGCAAACGAGTTAATCTCAAAACCCTTATTTTCAAATCCAACAAAGTAACCTAAATAAAACATTTCTCATTATGCAGAATTTTAATCATTTCTCATTTGGTAAGTATGAAGGTTTTTACAATTAGGAATTTTGAAAACCCTCAAATTATTATGTAAATATTGATATATGGATGATCATTGCCATTACCACATTAGATGCTCACTTGGGAGTTACATGTAACCCCCATTCCTACATTGGATATCTCCTTTATGTTTCATTATCTCTCATTGATATAAGGATGTAGTGGTTACCAAGGTGTGCCTATAAATAAAGCACATCATTGTATCAAAAGAGATAGGATGAATAAGAAAGCTCACTTCCCCCTATCTTTCTTGTGTCTTTTCCTCTCTAATCTTCTCTTGTAGTTGTTTATATTACAATAGTTTCATAACACGTTATCAGCACGAAGCTCTGCCAAAATTATCATTGCTCAAGCCTCAAAGACTCTCGACATAATCTAAGATATTGGAGTAAGATCACAATATGATCAAGGTATGTAAATCTTAGATCCTTTCTTATCGTATTGTCTTATTTGTGTTGAGATTATCTCATTCCAATATATCAAGATGGGTGCTAATTCTCATATCCATTGATATTTTATCACGTCGATCTATCTGGATTAACAAGAAAAGTAATATAAGTGATGAGTTAATTTCTCAGTTCTCCGTGTTATCCTATTCTTATCAATCATACATTGATATGTAGAAAATGCAAATTCCAAGAGCCCATATATTCCCCAGAAGTGGAAATTGAAGAATCCAATGGGATAGAAAGAAGTGGACATGGTAACAAGAATATTTGCTCTGTATGTTACCATTGTAATGGAAAATTGCATTTGTCTCGTACCCGTTGTACGCAAAAGACCTTATTCTACCAAGAATCAAAGGGGAAAGCTAATTCATATACGCTCCTGCAATATCAATATTATAGAACATATTATTTGTATTATAAGTTGGTATATTCTCCATTAAAGAAGAAAATGATATTGCACTTGAGACATTTCCATTCCCAGAAGTGAATGAAACAATCTATTCCCCGAAGTGAATGAAACTATAAACATAATTATATATATGGTAAATGTATTGTTTGGATTTTTTCACCAGAAGTGAGAAAAGAGGAGAAAATGAGAATTATAAATAAGTATGACACAATAATTATATTATCAAAGTCATGATAACATAATGTACCTATTGTACATTGAAATGTATAATGAAAGACATATATAAATTTAAAATCACCTGGTTAGTGATGATATTGTTCCAAATAAAGCTTACTTAAATTTTCACAATTGTAGTATTATGATTCTTGTTTTCTATTATGTTTCATTGTGCCATTATTTTCATGCATAATTTAACTTGATAACTTTTATCTAGAACGATTAACTTGATAAGTTTGTCATTTTTGTCTTAAATTTGAATACTCATTTATTATTTTAGTGTGTTTTAGTAAAGTATGATTGTTAGAAAAATTCCATATAAACTATATGGTAGAGTACATAAATGAGAAAAGGCTCCCGAAGAGCTTATGTTTGGTTACTTGAAGTAACTAAATTATGTACTCGCGATAATAATTTGTGATAATATTCACTATGAATATATGTTTACTAAGAATGCATCAAATCATAAGTCCCCAGAAGGGTGGAATATGGTACAAAATATGGTAAAGCTTTAAAGGAGCTAATTTTGTGGCCTGAAGGAACTAAACTAGTGATGATGCATTACCCAATTAAAAGGATATTCGTAAAATGAATATCTTATCAAGAAAATAGTGAAACTAATATTTGCATCACAAATATGTACTACATGTATATTAGTACAATCCGTACACATAAAAGTGTAAACCAGAAGTTTACAAGATTTGATAACTTGATAATTGGTTGGTCCGGTTAGACCATCCTGGATCTTGATGTGAAAAAAAAGTTCTTTGAGAATTCATGAGAACATCATATGAGAAGTCAAAGAACTCTTCAGCTAAAAGAGTTATTATGCCATGTTTGTTCTCAAGGAGAATAGAACAATTGATCAGAGCTTGTATAAGGGTTGGCAAATCTCTTGAGATTTTATATGATCACTTTTATTTTATCTAATCGCAACCCGTTGTTTGCGAGATTGATTGCCTCACTATGGATACATTTTTATGATTATCCAATCAAACATCACTTTGCTTAAGAGAACAAACTAAGCCTTCTGATCTCTTGTCGAGGACATGCTAGCTGGCAAGTGATAGTATTGGTTGACATCTAACCAACAAGTTATCATAAGTTTCCCCCTTTTTACAAATGGTTTTGGTCAGAAACCTAACATTTCCCATATAAGAATATAAGGGTGTGCCGCATACATCCCAATTGCTCCACCATAGTATTTTAAGTTGATTTTGATTAGAGATTGAGAATTTGTGTTGAGGTTTGAATCCCAAATGGGAAATTTGTTTGCGGAATTATTGTTTTGATGGATTACTTTTCCAACATTAAAGGGGGAGAAAAAAAAACAAAGAGATGAGTTGGAATGAGTTATCATTATCTAGCTTTGATCCTCAAAGTAAGAAACATGAACCTGAAGTTCATAAGATGAATTATCGTTACCAACTATCAAATGCATTTATTGGCCATACGAAGTGACCAAGTCACATCTACTGGCTGTGAATGCTCCAATTAAATTTGATATCCTTGTTGGATACTCTAATATATAAAAAAATGTGTATGAAAGAGCGCATGAAGCGTGATAGACCAATCGGTTCCAATGATAAACATCCTCGAGAAAGAAAAGGAGCTATAATTAGAATGGTCAACTCGAGGACATGAAAACTCAAGAAGAGTAACCAAGAATTAAGTATAATTTTAGTTCCAGAAGAACACATGTCTCTGAAAGTTGTGAAAGGGAAGAGATCTCAAAAACATATTAGACTACAATACTGGAACCGAAATGAAGTCATTGTCGACTAAATTTGTTTGTTGTACTTCAGTACTAAATATGATATATACAAGTGAGGATCAAGAGTAAAACTCTATTGATGCATGCAAATGATGATGTATTGGCCAATATAGAAAGAAATCTCGAAATTTGCTCAAAGAGCATAAAGTTTAAGGACCAGAAGTCCTTACACCTGAAAAGGGCAAAAATAGCGGGATACAAACAAATTTTGTGCTACTGGAAAGTATGAAATTGTTTGAGATATCGCACAATGTTTTGCAATGGGTTTCTCGAAAAGACCTATCATTGTTTAAGAGGAGTTATACTCCCCTGTGGAGGGTGCAACTACTTTTTCAAATCAATGTTTGAAAATTGTTGTGATAGCTTATTTGTTTGAATTCCCAGAAGATGTAAAATATATTTGAAACTCCCAGAAGGATTAATTACTCCTAGAAGGATTAATTTACCTGAAGTATACAAGTAAAGTTCTCGAGAACATATAATGATAGACTAAGAATATCCCCTGCATGGGTTGAGAAAATATAGACGAATGTGAAATACTCGTCTAAGTGAACACCTACAAACAACAGTGGGGTGAATGGACCTTAAAAGGTTAAATCCGGATAGAGTGCATTAGAGCATTTGCATTGTGCATATATAGTTGTGTTGTTTGTATGTGCTTCGAGGATTTTAAAATCTTGGTTTATGAGTTGTGTTTTACTTTAAAGTATGAGTTGTGTTTTATGACTGTGCATTGTCTAGTTCATATGTTTCTATGATGTGTGTTTTGTTATTATCTTTCGTTATATGAAAGAATTGCTTGCATCAATTTGTGTTAGTTAAGTTGTTTTTGTGACGATCTCATATTATGTTGATGATATGACTATTATTGGATCTCCTGAAGAGCTTCCTAAAGCAGTTGATTGCTTAGAGACATAAGTTAAATTGAAGGATTTAAGATCCTTTTTATGGGCAAGGAAGGTAATGTTGAAAAAGTGGGAAAGTAATTTTGCATGAACGAATTGTGTTCATCAAATAACATTAGGATCCTATGATCACTAGAAGTGACCAAAGATCCATTTAGGCATCAAGAAAGAAGTGAGACATTAGGTCCTGAAGTACTTTATGTTGATGTACTAGGTCCTGAAGTACCATATGTTGATGCATCAAAGCACCAATGCACATTGCTAGCCAAACACCATATAAACTATCATTTTGGTGTTGATAATATTAACAAAATACAATGTTTCCCTCAATGGAAAGTTGGAAATACTTTGTTACCTTCAGGAACAATATATGCGATTGTTCTATTATGGTACTATCAAAGAGAGATTTGGTGAACTATATATCCAAATCATACATATTATTTGATCCTCATATTGGTTGATCAGAGACGAGCTATCTCTTACATATGGTGATGTGATTGTTTCATAGATATCCAAAACAAACTATAGTAGGCAAGTCCTGAATGTATTTCGTTACACTTTCTGATTCACCATATCTAAAGGACTTGTGGTTGTAAACTATTTCTAAAGGAAATGATCCTGACGATCATGGTCCATGGATAAAGAAAATCTAAAGATCATGCATAAGATTGAAAATCTAGAAGATTGTTCACTAACTAACTCCCGGCAACAATCTTTCTAAAAGTTGTTCGTGAAATTTGAGTTCAACGACTCAAAGATTTGAAGTGATGTGGTCATGAGGGGGAGCATATACGCATTGCACTCTTTTTCCCTTAACCATGGTTTTTTCCCACTGGGTTTTCCCGGTAAGGTTTTTAACGAGGCAGTATGAGATAGCGTAATGCAATATAGTGGTCATCCAAGGGGGAGTATTATGTAAATATTGATATATGGATGACCATTGCCATTACCACATTAGATGCTCACTTGGGAATTACATGTAACCCCCATTCCTACATTTGATAGCTCCTTTATGTTTCATTATCTCTCATTTATATAAGGATGTAGTGGTTACCAAGGTGTGCCTATAAATAAAGCACACCATTGTATCAAAAGAGATAGGATGAATAAGAAAGCTCACTTCCCCCTATCTTTCTTGTGTCTTTTCCTCTCTAATCTTCTCTTGTAGTTGTTTATATTACAATAGTTTCATAAGACAAATGAGAATTTTTAAAATAACTGATCATCATCTACTATTTTCAAATCCCTCATTTTTAATTCATTTTTTCCAAACCTTACCCCTAATCGGTTGCTTTCTTCATCTTCCTCTTTACGACCAGCAACCTTTTTTCTTCCTTTTTTTCTCCAGTCGTCTTCGACTTCTACCTTTCTCCGACAACCTCAAACTCCGAGCAGCTTCTTCCGGCAGCCAAGCTAAGCTCTGTCTATTGACACTCAGTCCCGCCTCGTTCCCTCGGCCCTCGCAGGCCTCATCTGCTTCGCCATCGGCTCGCCTTCCTCTCAAGCCTGCTACAATCAGATCCATTCGCCGCCAAGCAGATCGATTCAAAATAAAGGTAATCGCCGTCCATTTCTTTTGGCTTTCCTCGCTATCTCTACCCTCGTCGGAAATCGACCTCGCCTTCAGTTCGTCACATGCGTTGCTCCTCGTTCGGCGAAAAAGTTAGTCTCCTAACAGGCCATTTTGTTAGGAGATACTGACAGGGTCAAATTTTGGGCCACGTTTGCTTGAGCTTCATCCAACGGAGGAGACTGGCGGCTGGGTGGTGGCTCACTTAAATGAGCTGGAGATGGGCTTCCGTGTAGAAGCCGGCCCAGCGTGCGGCGCAGAAGGCGAGCCGAGCAAGTGGCGTGATGGGCCCGGCTTCAGTTTGGGCGGGATTTTGGGTTGGAGTGGAAAGAGAACCAAATTTTTGGGCCCCATGTGATATATATATGTTTGTTTGTGTGGATATTTATTTGTTTTCAGTCGATATTATTATGTGTTGTGTTGATATTACTTTGCATCATTGTTGAAATGAACTAGTATTCTTCCTTCGCAAACCAATATCCATCATTAAATTAATATTTACCAAACCCCAAAATAACCCAACCACCCGAAACTGATTACACCAATTTAGAGTTTAAGTTTTAGGGTTTATGGTTCGGTTTTCAATTTGTGAAGGATTGGAATATTGTTTCTTACATAAAATTAAACACACTAGGAAATTAAAGACACTAGGAAGTCCTAACACGTAAGGCTTGCAACCTTAGTTAGGGCTGCCCGCCGAGGGCCCATGGGCCGAAGGCCCATTAAACAATAATAGTTTTATGATTTAGGGTTTGTGTTACGGTTTAATGTTAAGGGTTTAGGGTCTAGCTTAGGTTTGAATTGATATTAGTTCATGTTTTCGAAATTTTCTTGGACTTTTGGATATTCTAATAGGGCTTTTTTGGTAAAGTGATTAGGGTGTTAGTGTTAGGGTTTAGGTGATAAAATATTATTATGTGATTGGGTTAGTTGATTTTTGTCTGTGGTGATAAAATATTATTATGTGATCGGAGGATATTAGTTGGCGATGTGTGGATATTTTGGTTGTGTAGCAGGATATTAGTTTGTAATCGATGGATATTAGTTAGGGTTGGTGAGGATATTTATTATGGGAGAAACGAATATTAGTCTGGGTGGTGCGGATATTTTTTATGGTAGGAATAAATATTAGTCTGGGTGATGTGGATATTTTTTTTATGTAGTACGGATATTGGGGCACTTTTGGTAACTATTCAGATGTGATCCTTTGTTTATTTAAGCATCTAGCATCACACACTTAGCCAACCATATTACACCAATTTACGGTTTAGCGGTTAGGATTTAGGGTTAAGGATTTAGTGTTTAGTGTTTAGCGATTAAGGTTTAGAGTTTATGTGTAGTTGGTATTAGTCTGCGATGGCCAGATATTAATCTGTGTGTGGTGGGTATTAGTATGTGATGGGCAGATATTTATATGTGTGTGGTGGGTATTATTTTGCTACGGTCAGATAATAGTCTGGGTAGTTTGGATATTTGTTCTGTGTGGATGTTTATCTACTGATTTGTATATGATTACATCAATTTAGGGTTTAGTGTTAGGGTTTAGACTTTAGGGTTTAGAATTAGGGTTTGGAGTTTATGATTTAGCATTTGACTTTGGGGTTGAGGTTTAGAGTTAAGGGTTCAGGGTTCAAGCTTTGTGTTTAGTGTCTACAATTAGGGTTTCAGGTATAGGCGTTGAGTTTTGGTTTCGGGTTTAGAAGACAATATTGTGGAAATGATTTTGAACACAATGTAGGGTGATCAATTTTAGTGTGTGGTGATAAGATATTATTATGTGATTGGAGGATATTAGTTCATGATGTGTTGATATTTTTGCTGTGTAGCCGTATATTAGTCTAAGACATCCATATATTAATCTGTGTGTGGTGGGTATTAGTCTGTATGGTGAAGATATTGATTACGGGCTGACTCGATATTGGTATTAGGCGGTGAGATATTAGTCTGGGTGTTCTGGATTTTGTTTATGGTGAACGGATATTATTCTGGGTGGTTTTCATTTGTTTTTTTGTGGATGTTTATCTATGTTTGTTTGTGTTGATATTTAGTTTAAGCAAATTCATAATAAAACAAAGTCGTTTTTCGATAAACTGCGATACAACTAGTATTTATAGTCATTCCAACTTGGCAATCCCATAATCTAAAATCTAAAAAAGTATAACTGCATACAAAAATAGAAAAGGAATAGTTCAAATGTTGTCTTGCTTGTGCAAATTCTCGATTATCTTCTTTCTCATGTCCCTCCGAGCCCCCCACGTTTCGATCATGCCACGACGAGGTTGGGATGATCCTTCTCTTACGGTCTCTTCGTTGTTGTTTTTTGTTCTTGCCATTGTCCAATATCTCTGGAGCATATATAAATATCCACGTATAAATCAACTGATATCCTGGCCACACAGAACTAATATAAGGTAACTATAATCCATACAATAAAGAGCAAACAAATATCCAAACATGGAGAACAAATATCCAAACATGGAGTACAAATATCCAGACATAATATTTTCAATATCTGGACATCACAGAACTAACATTATAGAAGTAATATCCAGATACAACGAACAAATATCCAGACATAATATAACAGATATCTCAACTGCACAGACCCATATCCAATCAAATCCACAAACCCAGAAAACATATCCACAAGCATGCTAATTGTTATCCACTATGAAAGAAACTAATGTTTTGGATCTACAATTCGAATCTCAGATCTCAACCACACAACTATCCAGACAATTGAAAACTGATATCCTGCCCGAACATAGCTAATATCGAAACGCACACAAAACATATCCACAAAACCCAGAAAACAAAGAAACCCAGATCCAGTAAAATCCACAAAATCCACAAACCCAGCAACCCAAACCCAGATCCAGTCGAATCATGCAACCCTAACTCAAATCTGTCCAAACGAAACCTAATATCCACGAAACTATGCTTGAAAACTTACTTGATCAAGAACCCGAGTCACCTGCAAACCGCCGCCGCCGAGATTGCTGCTTCGTCGCCGCCAACAAGATCGCTGACGCCGAGATTGCCGCCGCCGAGTTCGCTGCAAAGTCGTCGCCGCCGAGATCTCCGAGTTCGCTGCAAGGTCGCCGCCGTCGAGATCTCCGACTTCGCTGCTTCGCCGCCGAGATCTCCGACTTCGCAGCAAGGTCGCCGCCGAGATCTCCGCCTTCGCTGCAAGGTCGCCGCCTATATCGTCGCCGCCGCCAGACTTTGTTGTCGCCGAGTTCGCTACACCGCGCGCCGCTTCGTCTGCGTTCGGGAGAGGAAGAAAGGGAGAGGAAAGGGAGAGAGAAAAGGGGGGGGGGGGGGAGAGAGGGGAAAGTGATTTGGGGAAGAACGTGAAAAGGGTAGGGTTTAGGGTATTTTTTTTTTGGGTTTTTGAATTAGTGGGCCCGGCGGGCCCGCAAGCCGGAGTGGGCTTGGCCTAGCCGATGGAATCGGCTCTCATCCCTCACACGGGATGGTGCGTTTTCTCCTCCACCGATGGATGGCGGCTTGGCGACGTGGCCATCTATCCTACCCTGTCAGTATCTCCTAACAAATTGGCCTGTTAGGAGCATAACTAGATTGCTCGTTCGGAGTCGGCGGTTGCAGGTATGAAATTGTCTTGGTCTGCAATTAAAGCCCAGCGATTCTCTGATTGTACGTTCTAGGGGTAGATTTGTGGTTTCCCCTTTGCAGAAGGTGAACGAAGTTCACATCTTTGCAGAAGATGAGATGAAGAAACGAAGAGGAGGAAGACGAAGAAGAGAGGGCTAAACATGTAATTGGGCTAAAATCTCTTACCTATTTCCTAACGCAGAATTGATCTAATCCCTCATTTTAAAACAACTGATCCAAACGGGGTCATAGTGTATTGAATTTTTTTAGTATCGACTGTACTCAAAACTCTGGCAAGGCCACTCGCACCAGCCATGAAGTCCTCTCTGCGAAGCCCAAATCCTCCCTGCTGGCCAGTCGCCACACTATCTTCTTCCTCTCCGCGAGTCGCGGTATCTCTTCATCTCCTTCTTCCTCTCGCGGAGACGGTCGAAATAGTCCACCCTCCGCGAAGCCCTCAAGCGTTCCCCGCCTTCAAGCTCTCGCCACAGACCAGCCTCGTTGCCTGCCCTCGCACGTCCAGCTATCGTCTGCTCTCTTCCTGGCTGACCAGCTCTTCCCTAAACTGAACATTCCTCCATCACCAGGTTCCGAAAAATTACCCACTCCCTTCCTCAATTTCGTATGATCAGGTTTAGAAATCGTTGAATTAAAAGGTTTATAGGTGGAGAAACCAAGTTGAGCTACAGAGCGATCGATAATATCATTTGCTTTTACTTTGTTTATCTGAAGCATTGTTTATGTATTGCAGCTTGGTGGAACGGCTTTCTTGCCGCCGGTTACCTTTACCCTAAGTTTGAGACTCCGTGTAAGTGATAAAACTTCTCCACGCCAGAGCAACCATGGGTTCACCGAGAGGGGAAGTAACTCCATTCGCATCACTTTTCCCTGTGGACGAGGCTCAGAAAGCAGTGAAGCGAGTTGAGGAAAAAATTGCAGAGAAGCACAAGGAGATGGACCATCTCAAAGAGTTCATCGCTGATAATAACAGCATTATAAACCTCGTCTCTAAACTACCCGAGGAGCTTCACCATGATATCATGGCAAGTGGAATATCTCTTATGGATCATTATGCTTGCATCGTAAATCGTTTTTGTTTCCATGTGGCTTTGCGTTTTTAATTCTTGTTCTGTGTCATGTAGGTTCCTTTCGGAAAGGCAGCATTTTTTCCTGGCCGGTTGATACACACCAATGAGTTTGTGGTACGATATGTTCTTCTTTGGATTACCGTTATGCATAATGGTGTTGGTTTCTTTCATTTTCTTTAAAACTGTATGTTTGTGAGTAATCAGTATTTTCTTGGATTCTATGTATCTCGTTAGTGGAATTGTTATGTCTCCTCAAGAAGGGTAGATGCCAAGTTCTCGACAGAGTTATTTTGATGTGCAGGTTCTTCTCGGAGAAGGATACTATGCCGAAAGAACATCGAAGCAAACTGCTGACATTTTGAAAAGGAGAGGGAAGGCTTTGGATTCTCAAGTTGAATCTCTTAAGGCCAACATTAAGGATCTTAAAGCTGAGGCTTCCTTTTTTGATACTACGGCTTCAGAAGCAGCTGTAAGTTCATACTATCTCGCTTCTGTGTTGTTTCTCTTTGGAGGACTGTTATCCAATTGATCAATGGATCATGTATGGGCATGCATGTGTCTCCATCTTTATGAGTGTCTCTCTGCTCTGCTGTGGCTGTTGACATTCATTGATGACTCCATGACAGTGAGTTTTGGTATTGCATGTTTAGTAGGATATTCATGTGTTGAGGAAGTGCTGATCAATAACCTAAATTGCATCGAGGAATGTTTTTGTCATATGTTCATGTTGCTACTTTATTATGTGACAACATTTGATTTACAGTTCGCTATACATTACTTATTTGGATTCTTGTTCACAGTACAGCAAACTAGTCTTTGACTAAACCACGTGCTTTCAACATGAATCAATTACCTGTATTATCTGTAACTCTTTTCCCCTACTGTATTGAAGCTTCTTGCATCAAACATTTATGTATTATCTGCAACTCTTTTCATACCTACTGTGTCAATTCTGTGTGTTTGAAATTCAACGGAATTTTTTTCTCTGTGTTTGAAAAGCTGCTTCCTTTTATTCAACTTATATATGAGACTAATGCAAATTTTTTACTTAATGTGACACAGGAGGGTCTAGTGGAGATAAGGGAAGATTATGTGGATGAAGATCTCGGTGAAGAACATTTTGAATCAGGCAGGTGATCGAATCTTACATCAGTAGTTTGCTTTAAAGTTTATGACACCGTCAACCTCAAAGCAGTTTGGCTGTTTGAAATGTTTTCTTTTTTCTGTAGTTACTTTGATCTTTATGTTTGGTTATGTTCATTCTTATGGTTAGCTCTCTTCTGTGCGGTTCAGCTTTCAAAGGTAAAGGAGAGAGTCTTGGGTTGAATGAGAAGACACATATGGTTGAAGATGATGATGAATATACTCGTTTGATGGCGAGGTTGGATGAGCTTGAGAAAGAAGAACTTGCAGCTGAAGATGATGACGAGAGTATTGAAGATGATCCGGTGGCTAATGGTGCCCTTGAGGATGAGAATGAACAAAAAGAACAAAGTAACTCTATAGAAAGTGATACTGTGAACTCTGAGCACTTTCAAAATGCAATATCTGGCGATCTGCTGCTATATCAGACTCACTCAATGGTAACTTCTGCTATTAATGGCTTCTAATTGGTCAAAGACTAGGGTTATAGATGATTGATTATCTTGTGGTCAGTGATTTACCATCTCTATAGCTAACAAACTATGATTACCAGCAAAGGAAACCACAAGAGCAGGAGAAAATTGAGGATGTCGCAGCTGAAGCTTTATCCAATAAGTATCAGAGCGACTTGAGTTTAAAGGACGAGCAAAATGTAAGAGATCTTGCCATCAAGTAATTTTTCAATTTGTTTTCCCATTGCATTGATATTATTTATCTGTTTTTTCGGACATGCAGCGTACTGGATAAACAATTCAGCCGCTTCCCAAAGGTTAGTTTTTTCAAGGTTGTGCATAATCATCAAAGCATCAGTACGGAACAAAAGGGTTTAGATGATAAATGAAAGTTCCGACAACTAATTGGAATGCTCTCTTGTTACTTTATCTTCAGCGTAGCAACCGTAGTGTTCTTTTGCCGAGGATAGCTATACTTACATGACTGTTTTGTCAGTGTGTCTACTAATCACTTATGTGCATAACTAGGCTTTGCCCTCTCATTATTTTGCGTACCTCAGAGCAGAAGGTTGCCTGTCCTTTTCTTTCTGTTTGAATTCTTTCTTGGTATGATTGTTCTTATGCCATTCCACGTGTTTTTTTATGGCTAGCATTTCTTTGGATATTGTGCTTGAAACTCGTGAACGTTAAAAATGCATTAGTGGTTGGCTATAATTCGAACTGACATTTTATTGATCATGTTCCTTCTTGGCTTTAGCTGAAAAGTTGAGTGGCAAAAGTTCAACTCACGAGACAAAGAGGCATTTACACAATGAGAAGGCTTCAGTACTTCCCGAAGGGAAAATAGAAGCAATGTCCTCAGCTACACAACCGGTACATAATTTATATACTCATTATCTATAGAGTTCTTACATCCGATTAGTCTTCTGAGCTATCTGTACTCGCCAAAGCAGTTAGAAAATTTGTGGCCTTTCTTGCTGCAATACATATGCAAGTTGAATAGGCATCTCTCTATGTGCTGCATGGATCTCTTCTGAATGTTTTCGTTCCCCTAAAATCTCTTTACAGTGTTGGATGTCTTAACTTGACGAATGACAATTCCTCTTTTCGTTTAGGTACATATGCAGTCTGCAAGACCACCTTCTAATAGCTCCAAGGTACAACTGCACTTATTTGTATTATCCTCTCACCTCGCTTGTTTGCTACTGTTGGTTGCTTATCATGCATCCATCTCTTTAATTTCCCACGGTCTTGTGAACTCTATCACTGAGCGCAATGACAACACGCAAGCTAAGTCACTGGTTGCCTTGTGTGTTCACTTTGTCTGCCCCCTATCATTTTCCTTTCAAGGAGGAAGAGTTTGCAATTAGTCGCGGCTCAAATGTTCTGAAATCCTAATCTAATGATCACTTCTAACTTTATTGCTCTCTTTTCCTGTAGACCGAGGCCTCACAATATGGTTTTGGCAGCTCCAAGGTATTTTTTTAGTCCTTGTGGTACGGTTATGACAATGGAAGAACTTGGATTTTACGTTTAGATTTTTGTTAATGCATACCACATCCCCATGTGATGTAGGCTTTTACCGGCTCTATCGTGGAACGTTCAACTGATGTACTCACCACCAAGTCTGCAACTTTGCCGGTACCTACTAGAAAGAAAGAGATTTGCGCATTGTCATTTCCTTGGTTGTTTATCGTTACCAGTTCTTGACACTGTGCACTCAACCTTTTCAGCCTTCTGATTCTCAACCCAAGCCTTCAAGACCAGTTTCCAGATTCAAGATGCAGAGAAGATAGCTGCCATGTTAAATGTCGAGTGTAAGGTAGATTGTTACTCCTTTTAGCTACATCAGGTATTGTTTAGGGAGAGCTTCAAGACTGGGAAACCATATCCGAGTGGTAATCCAAAACATTTAGAGCCAGTTTTTAGAATTAAGATAGATCTTACATCCACCAATGACTCATAAGGAGCTCTTAAGAGTTTTTTTTTTTAATTATTCTAGTTAATGGTGGGGAACAAAGCTAGGGTTATTGATAGCTAAATTTGCAAAAGAAACCCAGTTAGGGCTAGAACAATAACCTATACAATCCATTTACGAAATTACCCTTGTTTAATACATGATATTCCCGTCCAAAGTGGCATGAAAATCGCAAACACTCCACTTCGAAAGAAGTGCATGAAACTACTCGACACGAAGTGCCTTGGTGAAGATGTTTGCAACTTGTTGCGTTGTGTTAATCTTCGACGAAGCAAAACCAATGGAAATGATACATTCTTTAACAAAATAGTAGTTCAATCACTACATGGTTGGTCCACTCATGAAAAGCTAGATTAGAAGGAATGTGGAGAGTTGTCTAATTGTCATTATAATTAGGAGTCCACTGAAGCTGGAGAGCTTATAATAAAAATAGCCAATGTAGGATACTCGGCTATAGCTGCAGAGCGAAAAATAAAAATGTGCTTTCTCCACCAAAAAATAGGAGCGGATACGTAGTGTTAGCACCCTGCTAACACTTTCATTAAAGATATTATGGTAAACGACAACAACCATCCAAACTCTATCAACCCTGAGGTAGCACTCTGCTAACACTTTCATTAAAGACATCAGTGCAGTCAAAATCGCGCATTAAAACGTAAAAACTTACGTTTTTACGTATCCAGACCACCAAAACGTTTCAGTTTCTACCTAAAGTCGCTTAGTCACAAAAATTGTTAAAAACATGAGTAAAATCGGTAAAATTGCTTAAAATCGGTAAATCACGATTCTGAAGCATTTTTATACGATTTTGATCATCTCATAAAAATGTGCTAATTGGCCCAAAATGATGTAATTTTGTAGACATATTAGCAAAAAATCAAAAAGGAAAACATGATCATCACTCGTTCTACAACTAGTGTCGAGATAGGGGCTTCACATTAGGTTGAAAGGACACCTAATGGTATTCTCAACAGCCGCTGACCTTCTATCAGCCTTCTCCCTTAATCTTCACCTATGGCTCTTACCTGGGTTACGATAAAATTTTATGGGTAATTGATCGTATGTAATTATGTAAACTCAAACCTGCTTATGAGAATTTGGATTCTCATGCTCGTTTACGGGTTACGATATACGTTTAAGAGCTTATTATTAAGATATTACATTTTAATTATGAATCTCAATTAATTATTCACTTATCTAAAATCTACACTCACAATTTACATACTATATATGTTGTAATTAATATATTTTAGCTATTTTAGAGGGTGCGTCAAAAACTTACGCTTTTACGCTTTAATTCTACGTTTTACGATTTTTACCCATTTCCCGAACAGTGCGGTCAATCACCCTCAACTGGTTTCACAGTGTGGTCGGCGTTCGAGGAGCTGGCGGCTGAGACCTCTGCAGGAAATGTTGGCCTTCCGTATAAGTTCGTGTGGCAGAGTTTGATTCCAAGCAAGATATGTATTTTCCTTTGGATCGTGTTTCACAAAAGGATTTTGACTCTAGACAACTTGAAGAAGGGAGGAACCAGCTTACCGAACAGATGCTCGCTTTGCAAACAGGAAGAAGAAAGCTTAAATCACATCTTTGTGAGCTGTAAGTTCACAAAGGAGCTTTGGAGTATCCTGAAATCTTTCATTAAAATAGAGGAATCGGTTGCAGAGCTACTAATATTACAGACAGGATCAAGTTGTGGAATAAGAACAATTCGGCGGATCCCGCTCAATGGGCCTCAAGGATGTTTCTCCACGCTTTTTGTTGGAACTTATGGCTCGAAAGAAATGCGAGAATTTTCAATGAGTTGGAAGCTCCCCTCGAGTAGTGGCTTTCAGAACAGGGAGTGCTATTGCTCAATGGTTGAATGCAGCAAAGAAAGTTGACAGAGAGATCTCCAAGAGCTGGTTAAATGTGCTAAAGTTGAGGTTGTTCTCTCCCAGGAACTGAGCCTTTCCTTCTTTTGTTTACTTCGTCCCTGCCTGGCAACAGCTCCCTCTTTTGCTTTGTTAGTGTTAGCTTTTAGTCCTTCTGATGTGCTTCTGTTGTTGTTTTTCTTTTGCTCCCTTTTCTTGATCCCTTGTGCAGTTTTTCTCCGTTGTGTCTTTTCTGGAGACTGTCAAGGGTTTCTATCTTTGTTTCTTTCGCCTTCCTCTGGCTACTGTTTGTCTGTTTCATTCTTTTTTAATTAATACTATATCATCTTTATAAAAAAAAACTAAACATTTTTTTAGTTCCGGTGTGTCTTTTCTGGAGACTGTCAAGGGTTTCTATCTTTATTTCTTTCGCCTTCCTCTGGCTACTGTTTGTCTGTTTCATTATTTTGTAATTAATATTATATCATCCTTATAAAAAACTAAACTTTTTTTTAGTTTCCATGTATTTATTTGTCAACTAGTTTTCTTGCTATTGAATGACACTTCAACTAATGTAAAAAAAACATTTTTCTGCAATGATTTACAACAACACCATCCAAATTTGAACAAGATACAAAATAATGAATGATTATTTTGTCTGACATTTACGAACTCCATAATTTGGAGTATGAACTTAATTTAAAAATTTTCTGAAAAATGAGAATATAAAAGTCCATATATAACATAAATAGCGCATTTTATTATCAACAAATTTTTATAACGTGAACTCATATTAAACGAAATTCTGACTATGTTGCTGATTGTAATTCGTTCTAAAGTGTACGTAGCTCCATCCCTGAATTACATATCATTTTAAACCCTTGTTTTCATGCATGCATGTTCATATGTGTTTCATTTCTCAAACGTATATGAGGAATATGGAAATTAAACAACTAAACTTTACATCTGAGATCGTTAGTGCCAAGTAATAAGTATTCCGGGGTAGAAAAAAGACTGGCTAGTTAGCTGGGTTGGCGTTGTCCCTTTATCATGAAAAGATGTTCGATACAGAAAAGGTGAGGCAGAGCCTGAAGAAGAATTAGCACACAATTCTGTGTCAGCCTGTCAGGTTCAAATAGGCCAAGCAGCAGCCGCAAATTTGAACCGGCCGGCATGTTTATATAATATAACTTATAACCCCACATATGTACTGTTTGTTCCTAATACGCCTTTCAACACAGTGGTAAAAACCGAGGATTAAAATACAGTATCATACTGGCGGTTCGATCTGAAACCTCTTCTAACGGAAGTAAAATCGGTAGGTAGTATTTAGTGATATAATACGGTTGAACCATAATTAAACCACGGTTTTAGCATAAAATACCCTACCGCTGACTTTTTCGTTATGACCTCCAGTACGATATTTCAATCATTGGTAAAAACAGTCATAGGTCGAGGGAGCGGGATTGGGAAATGTCACGGTACAAAAATAAGTATTGATGGGAAGGAAAAATATTTTCATATATGTTTATGTCGAGGATCAAATTTCCTACCTTGAAGTGGTATAATTATACTCTTATATTAACATAAATTAATTTATTAACAAGTGGATTTTCGAGATAAAACTCCATGTTGATGGCACAGTGAACAGGTTCAAGACAAGGTTAGTTGTCAAAGGCTTCACACAGGTATATGATTTGGGCTTTCTTGATACATTTTCTCCAATAGTGAAGATGATCGCATTAAAAAAAATTACTTTCAGTAGCCGCCATTAAAAGCTTGCACCTTAAACATCTAGATATCGGCAATGCATTTCTGCATGGAGATCTAGAAGATTAGGTGTTTATGAAATTGCCTTTGTGATTGGAATCTGATGAACCTTTGCAGCGAAAGATTTGTAAACTGAAGAAATCATTGTATGGCTTGAAAGAAGTCGGTAGATAGTAGTTCTCCAAACTATATGAGGTTCTGGTCAAGTATGGTTTTATTCAGTTTGTTTTATATTATTCCTTGTTTAGAAAAGACACTGATAGGGTTCAATGAGTATGGATCATTCCTCGAATATGACCGGGGATTTGACTGGGTTGAATGAGTATGGATCTAACTATGAGGCTCTTCATAACAGTGAGAAGAAGAGGGCGTTTCAGAAGATGGATGGGGATGATTGTGAGCTCCCTACGCCGAAACGCCAATTTGTGGAAGACAGAGATTTTGCTGCTACGGTGGAGGAAACCAGCCTAAAGTGGTCCCAGCAGGATAAATGAAGATACTGGCTTGGAATGTGAGAGGCCTTGGACCAACCCTCACATTCCGTTCTGCTTTAAGTTTAGTTCAGTCAAATAAACCGGACATTGTGTTCTTTTCAGAAACAAGAGCTCGCCGAAAATTAGTCTCTCGTCGTCTTCGTGGGTTAGGTTTTGAGTTTTTGCACACTTTCTTTGTAGATGCGATTGATGCATCAGGTGGTCTAGTTGTTACGTGGTCCCCCGAAGTTGCGGCTTCGGTGTTTTTCCAGTCGGATTTTTGTATTGGTATTGAAGTTAATGAAATGGCGTTTTCTTACGTTGTTCTTTGTGTTTATATTAGCTGTAACCCTGCTAAAAGAGCTAGCCAGTTGCTGCATCTTCGGGATGTCTGTGCCGATATCCATCTCCCTTTTGTGGTTATTGGTGACTTCAATACCACCCTTCACGCTCATGAAAAAGATGGAGGCAATGCCTGGAATAGTACGAATTCGATTAGTCTTCGGGACTTCATTGTTGATCTTGGTCTCCATGACCCTGGCTACCAGGGAGACACGTTCACTTGGACGAATAAGCGCCTTGGAAATGCTTGTATTCGTGAACGGTTGGATAGGGCTCTTTGCTCCCAGCAGTGGATAGATCGTTTCCCTGATACCCTTGTTAAACATTGCACTGACCTTGGTTCAGATCACCGGGCGCTGCTCCTAGCTGATAAACCTTTTGTTCGACAAAGTCGACCCCTGTTCAGGTTTGACGCCCGCTGGGCAACCAATCCGGAAGTAAGGGAAATGGTCAGGTATGTGTGGGATGAGCAAATTTCTGGGACTCCGATGTATCAACTCTGGGAAAAACTTAAGAATCTGAGGCATCTTCTCTATGATTGGAGTAGGGCTGGGACCACCAACTCGCTTCGTAACATCAAAACGCTCCAAGTAGAGATTGAACATGTTAAATCTAACCACCCCATTGACTGGAATGAGGTCAAAACCCTTGAAATGGAATTGAACCGTCAATGGGAGGCGGAGGAGATATACTGGCAACAGAAATCAAGGATTCATTGGCTTAAAAGAGGTGACAAAAACACCTCTTATTTCCACACAGTCACTAGAGCGCGGCGAAAAAGGAATTTTGTGGCTGGTCTTTATAATGATAATGGGGAGTGGGTTACTGAAGAGAAAGGGAAAGCTGATATCGCCTGCCATTTTTATCAGAACCTTTTTACCTCGGAAAATCAGGTGATGAACATGGCAGAGCGAGTGGAGGGTCTACCTATTGATCAAAGGGTTACCCAAGAGATGAATGAGATGCTCACGGTGGAGGTCCTACCTCAAGAGATTCGGAAGACGGTATTCTCCATGGGATCCAAACAGGCTCCTGGATCTGATGGTTTTACGGGGAAGTTTTTCAAATCCTACTGGGATATTGTAGGCGATTCTGTGATTGAAGCGGTTCGCTCCTTCTTTGGTACAAGTAGAATGCTTGGCAGCTTCAATCACACGTGGATAACTTTGATTCCAAAGGTGGATAGTGTGGAAAGCATCCGGCAATTGCGGCCTATTAGCCTGTGCCAATTTGTATACAAAATAATTACTAAAATCATGGCTGCTCGGCTAGCTGATATCCTCCCAGGCATTGTTTCTGAAGGACAAAATGCGTTCATTCGGGAAAGACAAATTATTGAGAACATCCTGATTGGGCATGAATTGATGCACTATTTGAAAATCAAGACGCGAGGTAAGCAAGGGTACATGGCTCTAAAGGTTGATATGGAAAAGGCCTATGATAGAGTTGAGTGGCCCTTCTTACTTGCCGTCCTTGAAAAAATGGGTTTCAATTCCGTCTGGATAGGATGGATCCAGGAGTGTCTGCGCTCGACGTCTTTCTCGGTCTTAATGAATGGAACCCCTTCAGGGTATTTCAGGCCCACTCGTGGACTTCGCCAAGGGGATCCTCTTTCTCCCCTTCTGTTTGTGCTTTGTACAGAAGGCTTTGCGGCGCTTCTTCGGAAGGCTATTGCTGAGAAGAGATTGGGTGGAGTGAAGGTTGCACCTAGAGCTCCTCGTATCGCTCATTTATTCTTTGCTGATGATTCTTACTTATTCCTGAGAGGGAATCTTCAGGAATGTGAAAATCTGATCGAAGTACTTAATGAGTATGAGGAGCTCAGTGGTCAACGTGTGAACTTGGATAAGTCGGCGGTTTGTTTTAGTAAAAATATAGTCCCTGCTGATCAGGAGTTTCTAGCTGCGATACTGGGGGTGGGTGCGGTAGGGGTCCAGGATAAATACTTGGGACTCCCGACCCTCATAGCCCGATCGAAGATGGCTACCTTCCGATACCTGGAGGAAAAGCTGCTGGAGAAGTTACAAGGGTGGAAGCAACGAACTTTGTCTTCGGCAGCGAAAGAAACGCTGATTAAGTCCGTAGCCCTTGCTTTACCGCTACATGCCATGGGCTGCTTTAAGATGCCTCTGTCCCTCTGTAGACTACTGGACAAGCACGTCGCCCGGTTCTGGTGGGGTGTGACTGAGGGTCAGCCCAGGATCCACTGGATTTCCTGGCGGAATATGTGCAAAAGTAAGCATGATGGGGGTATGGGGTTCAGACGATTTGAACATGTCAATCAGGCTCTGCTGGCGAAAATTGGGTGGCGAATTCTCCAGGACCCACAATCATTACTAGCCCAAGTGTATAAAGACAAAT